TCGTTGACGATGATAAATCTATCAGTAGCATGTGTATGTGTACAATCGTTCTAATCGTATTAGGGGCTTCTGTTGAAGCAGAAGACGATGATGATGTACATTCTTCTTTCGACAGTGCTGATTGTACGTCTACACTTTTGTACATACACGAAGTGTATACATCTATATTGTTCTTTCTGTCTCGTTTAGAAATTAATGATAACCTTGTATAACTCTTAACAGTAAGTAGAGACAATTTGATCTTATTGATAAAGGCCTCTTTTTTCGATCTTTGACTTAAGACAAATCTGTCAGCTAGTCTCGCTGTATACTCTCTCTCTCTTTCTCTCCCTAGTCATTGTTTGTTATTCATCCACTGTACAGATTTCGGCGCGTTGGACGAACAAATATTTGTTGGCATGTTCTTTTTTCTTTATTCACTCTAGACAAATGTAAAGTGACATGCGCTGATGAGTGTATGTCTCTCTGATTCGTTTTTGTCCTATTATCTGTATAGATTATTTTTCTTCTCTAACTCGAAAGGATTCGACAGCTGTCAAGTCCATATAATAAATATGGATGAGAATTTAACCATCACTTAAATTCAAGTGATCATCAGCGTCAGGTATGAGCAATTTCGTTGAGTGACAGTTCTTTAATGTACAAACCCTATGGGGTATATGATCAACTAGTTAGCTCTAATAATTTCAATTGTAAATGCATTAGCACGGATATGTTCAAACAAAAGAAGTGTGTGTATGTGCGCGAGCGCGGTGTTTTGAAGTTGAGCAAATAGTTGTCTCAGGTATTCGAACCAATCAGTCACTGTCGAAAGAAGAATGTACATCATCATCATCTTCTGCTTCAACAGAAGCTCCTAATACGATTAGAACGATTGCACACATACACGTACATCCTACTGATAGATTTATCATCGTCAACGACAAGCTTCTGTGAACCAGTCAGTCATTTATCTACTCGTTACACTTCGCCCTAAGCAAAGACAAACATTGATTGTATATATGTTGCAGATGAATGGATGTTATCATTACCTACTGTTACTGAGCATACTCAGTTGTTCATTAGTGAAAACGAGTTCAATCACTCTCCCAAATGTAACGATCCAACATGTGTGCGAACATGATGTTCTATTTCTCAAATGTCCGAAAACCAATGAAACGATTCAAATCGTTCGTTCGATGTACGGACGAACGTCACAACGCATCTGTAATAATGATTTAACAAATCAAGTTTTCTACAAAACATGTGCAAATATTGAACAGTCAAAGCATCAGATTAAACTGCGGTAAGAAAGAATAGCAAAATGATTCGATCGCTGTTTTCTCTATTTTTACAGATGTCAGAGAAAATCAAGTTGTCAAGTTCTCATCGATAATTCCCTCTTCACCGATCCATGTGGTCCAACAATCCCAAAACATTTCGAAATTCACTATCGTTGTCTGAACTCGGATGAAATATGTTTACAACTATTTCAAAACTGTTCGAAAGCAAACGATTTTACATGCGTGGACAAAGTTCAAGATGAATACTCATGTCGATGTCCGTCGAACGTATGCGAATACAATGCAGATAATCAACTGATTGGTTTTACCGAAACGACATGTCCTACAGAACACTTTCAGGGAATTCATTGGCCAAAAACACTTGTTAATAAAGGCCAACATATGCCTTGTCCTTATCCGTGTACTGGTATGAGATATATTAACATATTTATCTTTTCTTTCTTACATCATTCGGGAATTCCGATTGCTTATAGGTCAAATATTTCGTTTTTGCGACCGTAATAGTCAGTGGACAACGGCGAATTATACGAATTGTCAATGTCCAATAAAAACTTTATCTCAAGTAATTCAATTGTGATTTACTAACCATTGCATTTTCTCATCTTGTCTATTTTAATTAGTCATCAATGCATCATTTAGCTCATGACTATGTATTTCAATGTAATTTCTGGTTAATCAATAGACTTTTGCCTAAGGACAAGCAATGCAGTTTTGTATGTAGATTTGCATCTCGTCTTTATTGAATATCTAAGAGATTTTCTTTCCTTTTGGTCATTCAGAGAGCAGACGAGAATGATAATGGATCGTCTACTTGTCTATTTCATGCATTTGACAACATGTTAGCAACGTCCTGTTCGTCATTTGGTTTCGATTTTCAAAATCTTGGTTTGTCAAAATGAATGCTTTTAATACGATTGAAGAAATCATTTTCTTTGCATTAATCACATTTAGGCTTCGAAATCTTCATACCTGTACATAATCAAAGTCAATTTCATTTACCTACAATGCACACCGATCAATTTGGTTTCAATCAAATCCTAATTACTAAAAACGAAAATTCATATCGAAATCTACCGATGATGTTCATCGACACGAAAAGTTTAAGTCCATCAGTCAAATCAGTGATCTTAGTCGAACAACCGATTAGTGCAAGTTCGATTCAAACAGCTAATGTGACAGTTATATTCAATCATCAAGTTCGTATCAAACGTGAACTTCATCTAATAGATTAGTGTCTAATAGGCATACAGCTGTTTCATAAGGCATTACGTCTAGTAGATTAGAAGATGTAAACAAAAGATGCTAATCGATTGTTGATTGCATCTGATTCGGAAAGAAAAGATTGACCATGGTAGACCATGACGGCATAAGGAAATCAAGGTTGAATTGGCAAGACAGTATCCTTGATTGTATTGTATTCAATAGCACTTCATCTGTTGTTCGTCGACATCGAATTCTAAGGTTATGCACGTATATTAAACAGAACTCGGACTGGTCTATAAAGCAAATACTTCAAGATCAAATTCAGTTCTTGACCTTCAAGAGCACGAGAAGCAAAAGATTAATTATGTTCAAAAAAGGTCTATTACCATTCTCGGAAGTTGTCACAATAGGATATGAGATAATGATCTATTCAGTTACTTTGATAACTAGACTAGTGTCTCCAGTTTAGGTGATTGTCAGCTGTTGCGACTAAGAATAACAAATGTTAATGATATGAGATAATCATTATATTTTTAGTCATCGGATTCCCGTTATCAATGTCGTGCATACCGATCCAGTAGTGCATCATTTCAATTCGAGTAAATTCTCTCATTTGTTTGCCGCATACCTTCAATATGATTCTCGGTTCATTTAGTTCTTCCGATATGTTCTTTGCGTGTCAATTACTATGTTCAAATGGTAGTCATACAATCTGTCAATGCCCATTTTATAATCCATTTATGCGTTATGTATTACATCAGGATGTAAGATACGTGTAACATTTGTTCGTTTGTAATTTGTATGTTTGTGAAGGCAACAATATCTCGAGATGATTATGAATTATCGATGATCGAAAATGATCTTCAAGACAAATGTGCATCTGTTGATCATCGAAATAGATCGATGGGAGAGTCGTTGAACAAAGTCGATTTCTATTTAAAGAAATTTCCATCGTTCAATCAAAAGAAAAATTTCGCTAAAGTTTGTTAGGTCTCTTCTTCAATTCTTCAGTTAACTTTATTCTTTCGTGTAGAAACTCCTTTCATTTCTCGATACACTCATTGATAATGAAGATGAATGGGTCAGTGATACATGGAATACGACCGTGCGAATCATTCACCAAATTGAATTTATTGGTTTACAATTACTTGATCTGCCGAATTCATTTGTGTCAATTAACAATCATATTGAGTTATTCGTAAACTCACAACAATTAGAAAATCTTGACCGATCAGTGGTGATTTCGGGTGATGACAAAGGCAATTCAACCTTGTTCGTGCTATCAAAGTTGAATTCGTATCTAAACAGACGAGCGATCAATAAATTGAATAGTCATCTGGTTGATTTCAATCGAAATGAAAAACTCCGAAGAAATATTCAAATAACATTTCAACATCTGGTAATAAAATGTTAGTAAAATGAAATAATAGCAATAAAATTCTTTTTGAAAATAGGATCTTTTGAACGATTCCAACCAGATATCTACTTGCGTCGCTTTGAAACAGATAGAAGACAAAGTTCAATGGAGTACAGATGGATGCTATTTACTATCGTCGAATCTGACTCATTCGATCTGTTCGTGTGATCGTCTGTCCACATTTGCAGTATTGAAGAATTTTCCAATCAATTCCATCAAAGTTTGTTGACCTTATTCGGTGAGAATTCCTTTCCATTTTCATATTTTTCAGTCAATGGCAAGTGGACATACATATCGTTTGTCAGTGATCGCGAAAATTGGAAATATAATATCCATTGTCTGTTTGATACTAACGATTACTGCATTGGGGATGAAGTAAGACTGACAAAGAGAAAGTAGCAGTTCACACAAGTTTTTTTATCTAGATGTCGGATGGATGTAAATGATGATCTTATGCTTGTTCGTACTGTTCTACACATAAACATGTCTATTTGTTTGTTAATCTCTCAATTTATCTACCTGTTCGGCATCGAATTATCTCCATATCGAGTAAATAAGAAGATATTCACTTTTCCCATTCATTCTCCTTGTTGAAACTAGTTCGACTGTCGAATCTTGGTTATTCTCTATCATTATTGCCTTTTGGCAACCTTGTCATGGATGTTTGTCGACGATATCGAACTGATCATTGCATTGAAACACGCATTCAAAATCGATCGCATTCGCATCGTTGCGTATGCATTCTATTCGTATGGTTTTCCATTGTTAATTGTTATTCTTTCGATTTCTCTGTCAAATCATGGACATGTTTCGAACAAAAAGTATGTGCATCTTGATCAAAAACATCCGTTTGGAATAAATTATCTTGGTTCTATTCTAGTTGCTGGTTTTCTTATCAAAATGCATTTGTCTGGGCCTTTGCAATTCCACTTGTTCTTTTAATACTCGTAAGTTATTAGATACAACAAAAGATGAATTCATCGTGCTGCTGGTTTTTGTTTCTATCTGACAAGGCGAACATCTGCTTTTTTACAATATCGATTTATATCATCTGCAAACATTTGACAAGTTCGTTCAACTCTTCCCAAGCAATTCGGTAAGATTGAAAAAGGAAATTTGTTCGCTGTGAAGTCGCTCGTCTTCTCATGTAGATTTTCTTTGCGAAATATAACAACATTATCAATCCTATTTGGTTTAACATGGCTAATCGATTTATTTCACATACATGAACAAATTTTGCCGATTTTCTCCTATATATTCACTGTATTAAATACATTTCAAGGCTTATTCATATTTATTTTCTATTGTTTGCTTCAAAAACAAATTCAACACTTTTATCTTCATCAACTCTCAATTCTTTACAAGAAATCAGCCAATATCAAAGAAGAAAAACCTACGCAGCATTATAATGCTAGTAGTAGCGGTTATAGTTCAGCTCAATCGTCTGAAATCAATAAACAAATTCTTGCTCCGGACCATTCAACAACATTTTGCCTCAATACGGAATATCTTTCGACTATGCCCAACGGATTACTAAGCACATTTCGTTATCCAACATCAAATATCACCTTACCCGTCACAACGCCCGAGCAAAATGAACAATTGTTAAAGAGACACAAGATCGATTCGCATCAGGACGATCATCAGTATTACGAAATCGGCTAAGGACTCGTTTTATTTGTATTCGTTTTCCGGTGTTTTGTTTATAATCAAAAGAAATTAATAAAAGCAAGAAACAATAAAGATCTATTGAAAAAAGTCTCTTTTCCATGGCTGAGCTGATGACAGACGACACTACATGACCGTAGACGAATTCCAAGTCGGCTTACAAACCCTCCTGAATCACTGTGTTCGACGTTATCTTATATGATTTACTATAATCTGTCGTATTTGAAAGCTGTCTTCGCGTTAGATCTAAATTTGATGATTGAAATTGTCGAGTGTCTCTGACGCCACAATGACAAGCTTCCCGAACGTGTAATTGAATTTGTTCACGAAAACCGCTTAATGATAGAGCGTAAATTAATGGGTTCATACATGCCGCAAATTTGGTCAGGATGCCAAGCATTGATGTTGTATACGCATTGACTAAATAGTTAAAACCAGCGAGAGAGATCAGAGCCATGAGCGCGTATGGGCCCCACGCTAAACAAAATAGCGCACATATGAATAAGGCTGTACGTGTAGCACGAGCTTCGGTTCGACGCATGTTTCGTGTATAACTATTTTCGTCTTGATAATCAAGAACTGTCGATCCTCCTCGACTAGTTTTAATGTCATTGGCGTTGTTTAATTGATTGAAACTATAGCTGCCAGCGTTACTTTGTTGACTTGACTTTCCATCGCTTTCTTTTGATACCAAAACGCGACCGCGTTGGGAAAGTTTAGATAATATTGAAGAATATGAGAGTAGAATAACTGTCAACGGTATGAAAAAGCCACCTGTGACTAGCATTATTATGAATAGTCGATCGGTAAGATCATTCGACACATAATCGAATGTGCACGACGTTCCAAAAGCTTCGAGAATAAATCGATTCCAGCCAAATAACGGCGGCATAATCCACATTGAGCCGTAGATCCATGTGAATACCAGACAACCTAAAAAAGGAAAGACAAATCCAAGGATTATCTTCAGTCGTCTGTTCTTTGAATAAACTAACGTAAAGTAGATCGGCTACTCAGTTTCAGTGAACTGAATGGATCATTTACAGCAGATAGACGATTCAACGAAATCGAGGCCATCGTTGCAATGGATGTTAATCCAAATACACCACCGCACACAGAGTAAAAGTTACAACCTTTAAATACAATGAACTAATAGTACGATAGTGTGACCTTGATGTAAATGTTTACCACTCTGTCCAAATATCCACCGTTTTCGAAACGACGATATAACATGCATAGAATTATTTGTTAATAGCAGACCCAGATCTGTAATGGCAAGATTGATGAGAAAATAATTTCGTGGACGTTGTAGACCATTGTTTCTAGACGCAAATAACGATGAACAAAAGCTTCGTTTTGTTTTTTCATCGAGTCTTACCTGAAAAACACGAATATGACTAAACCGTTCGAAATCATGCCGAATAGTAAACACGCTAAAGAAATCACTCCTGAGACGTAGTGCCAAACAGCAGGAACAGCCACTGTTTGATTAGAATACCAAAAACGGTCAACGTTCATTGAGACAATGTATGCTTCTAACTAATGGAAAAAGAAAGATGCTAATCATATTGCAGAATTGCATTCTAGTCAGTAGATGCTTTTTTTTTCTTCTTCTTTTTTGTTCGTGGTGCTCATATCTATCCGGGAAAACAACGGAAACTATATGCACACGCTCCTTCCCAAAAGATTTACCTAATCTTTCTGGAAAATGCTCAACTTTCTATCTATCTATCTATATAAGTCAAAGTTGAGCATTAAGAGAGAAAAAAGGCATATGTCTCGTAAATCAACTCATAAGAAAAGATAGCGTGGTAGATGCTATTGAGATAGAAACAGCAAACTTCATTATTTGAAATGTCGCGAATCATATTTCATGCGACATATTCACGATGATGTATTGTTTTGATTAACAAACGGATAAATTATCAATATTTCAAAGCAAACTTATCTGATTAGTATCTGGTTTTAAAAGAGCGCGCACACAGGCTTTTTTATCCGTTCTATCCTACTATGAAATTTATAGGATGCATCTTCTTTTCAACAACTTTCATCTAAGCGTCTGCCTATTGTAATTAATTATAATTGCTCGTGTTCTTCGTCGATAACATTGAGATCTGATGGTAGATTTTGAAATAAAACACATCTGCGCTCTTTCATTACAAGGAGACAGCATAGTTTCGATATAATACACATGTATTAGTGCTGAAATTCTCGGGAACATTCTCTATTCGATCGTATTCAAGGAATTAAACAAGTTAGTGTACAAAAATAGACTAATTCGCATCGAGCGTGCCCTTCAAACAAAATAATCGTCTACACAAGCTGAAACTGTGCTGATTTCTTCTTTTACATTATGATTGTCACTTTCCACATACATAGAAGGATATTTGTAAGAAAAAGTCTACTAAAATTGACACGATGAATGTATATACAGTGATCATGAGACTTTTGCTCGTGAAAATACACTTGAGGTATCTATTTCAGATTGAATCGCGTGCGGCATTCTATTATTACTCTAATAAAGATGTCGATATAGACTGACAATTTCCTATCTCTCCACCTCAAAGGAGAAAAACAATCGAACTCAATAAACCTTAATTACGCATGATAAGAAAGAATTAAGATTACGTTAAGAAGGTTTTCTAGATAAGTTGCACATTTATTAAAATTGACAAAGCCTTTCTCGAACCTTTCTTCTGACTAGTGTACGAGCTGAACGTCGCAGTCGTTTCCTTTTAAACTTATCCGTAGCTTTTCAGTTTAGATTACAATCAACCAATGCTAAGAACGAGAGAAGATCAACATTGTAGTACATGGGATTGTTCGAGATGAGATCTGTAGTTTATGACAGATCTTCTCAGTTCATAAGCAAAGAAATGATCTTCGTCGCTGATGAATGTCATGGAAAACGTGATCGTATTCGCTAGACGAAATCATCGAAGTGAATGAGTACTATCGGTTCGGGATTTCGTCATTTATACCTACGTAATCTAAGAAAACATGACGAGCGATTGTTACTCATCAGGGTTTTGACTTTCCTTTTATTACCAATCAGAGAAATAAGAAACAAAGCAGATTAGATTTCATTGGATGAATCCGTTCCTTCAAGATTATAATTGTTCATCGCTGATTTGATGTCTTCGTCAAATAGATGCTGCATTGTACCTAATGATGGAAAATCTAGTAATTCATCGATCTTCGACGGCGACACGAGTATGAATAAAGCTAAATTTTTCATAACATGACCTTCGTCTGTTAAAGGAAGTACTTGAGGCTGGTTAGATGATGAATTGGGATAATTACTAAGTCGTTGAAGTTTGAACTTTTTGTTGAATATCGACCATGTCGATTGTGTATGTTGCTGCTCGAGATCATTCTGCATCGACGAATAGATGATTGTCGATGTTTTGCGAGATTTTTTCGTTGTTTTCGAGCTTTTCTTATTGTCCATCGAAAGATCATTCAGTGATTTGCGATGGCCGGACTCGATGGATTGCAGTTCATTGTTTGGATTTAAGTGAAAGGTTTGTTGTAAAGCATTCTCTAGTAAATCATGCTGGGATAATTGTTTTTGGTTTTGATGATAAACGATCGAACGTTTAAATGCAAGAACACATAATTGACGAAGTGAAAGAACCGATGACGTCGAATGATTATCATCATAGTCATTATGAGAGAGTATAGCATAATTACGCTTGTAATTGAGTATCGTCAATAAATAAATAATTGTATGAATTTGATTGAGGTATGCGAGATCAAGTAGAGTTCGACTAAGATTGTCTTGTGCAAAGTGAAAATCGACATATTGAATCAGACGAAAGAATAAACGTATGTGGCGTTTGAGAATAACGCTGGAAGATAACATCGCATGTAGACACGTTTGGTGTTCATTATCTAGATGATAAACATTAGCACCGGCGTGAAGAAAGGTAACAGCGATGTCGAGATGGCCTTCGAGACAAGCGTAGAACAATGGTGTTTGATTTCGATTGTCACCTTGATTTAAAACTTGAGCGAGAGTTTCGTCATCGGTCGAACAGTTCATTAGTTCGTGAACGAGAGCTAAGGAACCGAGAAAGGCGGCGATATGAAAAACATTCATACCACGATTGTTAACACAATTCATATCAGCACCATGGGTCAGAAGTAGAGTACAAACCGAGGGATGGTTGTTTGCACAAGCAATCATTAATGCAGTCCAGTTTTGACTAAAAACAAGCCAGATTTATGATTTCGAAATCTTTGAAAGATAACTTACGCGTCCTGTACGTGAATAATATTTGGTTCTGTCTCGATACCATAGAGAAAATGGTGAATCAATCGATGATTTCCAGTTGAGACAGCTAAATGAAATGCGTTCCGACCGGTATCATCTTGAAGAAACACATCAGCACCATGTGTGAGAAGAATCTGTACAATCTATTTTGAACGATATGAGCATCATTTTCCTAACCTCGTACTAACTCCGAAAAAGAACATTTTATCTTACTTCTTCATATCCCATATAAGCCGCGATGTGAAGTGGTGTAGATAAACTTGTATCACATGCATTCACTTGCGCACCTGCTTGCAGCAACAATTGTATAGCACGAAGATTCGCTGTTTCAACAGCATTATGAAGTGCAGTGACTTTCGTTATTGGATCAGGTTGATCAGGCGGGAAACCTGAAATTGTCACCATTCGGTTCAATTTGCTTTATTTCGTTATTCTCACCTGAAAGGAGATATTTATGCAACGTACTTGTATCTTTACCTACCGCAGCATTGATAAATGTATTTGTATCGAGTACCGGTATGATGGACGAAGTAAGTTTTCGTTCATGGTTCGGTTGACTACGAAAGAAATCACGTAAACGCTACGTAGAAAATTGAATCTCAAAGTTAACATGTGAAATTCATCTTTTGACAACTTACCATCTTTCAAATGTGCACGCGCACGAATTCGATCAATATGAAATAGAAAAAAAAACGACGCAAAGAACAAGAGGAGAAAAAGGTGAGGTAGCTGTTACGATTAGAATTTGTCATGTGAGTTTTTTTTTACTTTCATACGTAAAACAAAATGATTCACATTCTACATCAGTTTTGTTCTAGTAAAGATGGTAATCGTTTGTCAAAACTGATGACACATACTGTATGTTATTAATGCAAAAAGAATCTGTCTACGTAGGCCGATATGAGGAAGAAATCGATGATTTATTGTGTGTGCTGGTGAGAAAAAAAAACAAGAAGAACGATGATGACAGAGTAAGAAATCGATATGATGATGATGATGATGATAAAAGCAAAGGCTGTTCTTGTTGTACGATTTGTAGACAACAGAAAGGAATCGATTGTATTTATTACAGATTCTCATGCGCATGAAAAAAAAAGAACGCATGTGTTACACCTTTTTTTTTACAGGTCTTCGCTCCTGTGCTACAACGGAAGGTCGCATCGAAAGAAAATAAAGATGACATGTTTGATTGAATCCGCCATGATTCTTTGCATATATGACTTTTCAAACAGAAGGAAAACGTTGAAGAGATTCTTGCTTAATGAATTCATTCGTTTTCAAATATACGTCGAATGTCAGTAAGATTATGAAGTACGGCTTCTTCGTTTTCTCGTCAAATACAAAATTGTATAGTCAGAATATTTTAATAAATCACAATCTTATCGCAAAAGTTTCGTATATACATGTACGAGGTAATTCTATAGTGTGTGACGAAGGAAACAAAACCGAGAGATAGATGTTCTCGTTTTCGTTTCGATACATTGATTGAAAGGAGTACAAAAATAATGAATCGGTTAGGGAAAATTTTTTGTTCTTAATTCCATGAGTGTCTTCATAGCAAAAATGAACATAGCAGCAAACATAATACCTATAAATGACAAATTACATAAACAAAATGAAAAAGCGACATTTTTCTTCAAACGCGTTCGTCCTTCTTGTTGTTTCAGAAGACTCTGCTTGGTTTGAAATTTTCGTCGTGCATCTAATTGAGCAAATGTATCCAATTGGACGTCTTCGTCGTTGATCGATCGACCGAGAACAAGATCACGTGTACTTATCGAGTACACTCGTCCGTCACGTTCGACGTGAACCACTTCATTCAGCGGAATAGCTTTGATTTCCAAAGCGCTCTTAGGGGATATCTTCAATGTTCCATCGTACTGTTGACGAAGAACGGACATTTCGCGCATTTCTAGTACTTGCTGACGTATGAGTTCACGTAAATGTATCCAACGTAGGTCGCGTTCAATAAGTCGCATCCGAGCGTACGATTCGCTCATCATCGCAATATCGGAAAGATGATTACGAACGAAATGCCATTTGGAATTTCGAGGTAAATAGAACGGTTGCTGGCGGTTCACGCGTGGCGACATATTTTGTAGTGGAAGACGTCGACTCAACGAACGTAGTGTTGATGATGATGAAGAGAATGTCGAGTGAATGCGTCGACCAATCCGACGTTCGAGAATGTGACGACGTAATTGTTCAGTTCGACTTTGTTTCGATGCTTTACTATCGAGTAACGATGGATCTGAACGAAGTAGTTCATCATTTTGCGTCGAGAGTGACAAAGGATTTGCTTGTTCATGCAAACGTCGACGAGGTGCGTCAGGCATGACAATTAAACGTAATTCAGACGGTGTTTGTCGATCTTGTGAAACAATTAATGAATGTTTTTGACTTGAGTTGGTTGTTGTGGTTGTTGTTGTTACTGTTTCATAATGATCGTATAAATCGTCATCTGTTGTATCGATTGAGGATTGATTAATATTCAGAAAATCGGATGCAGAACGAGCGTGAGGTAAACGATGTCTTCGATCCATTTCGACCGATTTGCGAATACTTTGTGGAAGTGATTTGTATATTATCGGCGTGTTAGGCAAGGAAGTCTGTTCCCGTTCATTTCTGGATGGAATTTCTTCATCCGATGGACTATTCACAATGATGGTCGTGGCCATTTCGATCAGAATTATATTAGAACATCTGGAACAAAGGATGTAATTCGAAGACATTGAAGAATATCAACTGATACTACAAATGCTTGCTGACTGATAGATAGAGCGGCGAAGAGAAAAACACGAGAACTTAAACAGATGCATGACAAATTGTAAAACATGATTACGAATCGTTTTCTATGTAGGTGTGTGGCGTGTGTTAAGAGAGACGTGAAACTCTAATCAAGGACCTTGCTTTATCTTTATGATCAGAGAGTTAGTCTTGAAGAAATCTTAAGAAAATATTGACTAAGATCAAACTAGTAAGTCGTTTTGAAACAAAGATTAAATATTGATTTACTACTCGAGTCAGATCATTAAATCTACCTGCAACCTTGACAGAAATTGTCATTTGCGCAGTGCAATCTATTTGAAGATCCAAATTAGAACTGGTGGAAGATTACGATAAACAGCTTCGAACACTAATGAAGTCGATTCGTCAATAACAATGATATTGTCTTCTGACACAAGAGCGACAGACCATTGTCACATGTCAATCTGGAAGGCGAGTTAAGGAGGAAAAACGCCTAGTGTATTACTTTTTTTCTCCGTTTCCCAGTGTTCACTAGTCAAGATCATTTAGTAGCATAGATTTCAAGTCTTACTTGTCGGTATTCTAGAAAAAATAACTTACGGCAATCTCAGAGGAAGGAGAAACTGCGAAGAGAAAACTCGAGTAAATTTGAAAAAGTTTATTCAAAGTTGACTGGTAAAACTAACTGAGTCGATTGCATGGAGACGTTTTAGAAGATGAAATCTCGAGGAAAAAAAGGCATTTTTACTTCTGCTTAAGAACGCAAGATGACTTGCGCTTTCATAAAACTGATCATTATTTTGTGCTTTGGATGTATTTCTTCTCGGTGAATAATCGTACCCGAAAGGTTTTTCCTGTAGGTCGATGAGCTAACAGTGATATGTAAAGAATATTTATATATGAATCAAATTGATTTATGATATTCTTCGTCTTTTTTTTGCAGGCAAGTTGTATTCATTTGTAACTTTATTGAGAAAAAATAACATATTGTTGAATAAAAGAACGGCAAATGGATATATTTTTCTGATGCCATCCGACCTTGATATCAATCAGTGTACTGAGCTCGATCTACGATTAGCTTGAAACTAGCAATCGACTTGTCGACAGATATGCCTACTCCAAACTCTTTTATTTATCCATCAAAAGAAAATCAGTCCAATGTTTCACGAAATGGACAAAACATATGGTAAAACAACCATAAACAAAAAGCAACACACACCCATGTACACAGAGCTCGTTTATTTGGTCGTAGTTTAGCATTTTTTATGAGAAGTACGCCCGTCCAAGTAAGACTAATGATATCCGAGAGAATTAAACCAATATTTCTTGCTAATTGATCGGCATTTAATTCCCCAAAAGCCAAGAGAATGTGTAATGAAGCTATTGTACAGAGTAGATAAATAAACGAACACGGAATATGCAATTTGTTGCGTGCGGAGAGACATTGGTAAAAAATATAACTCGCGACTAATTCTGTTATCGAAAAATAGATCTGAGATTTTAACATTCGTTGATAATCATGATCATTGAGATAATTAATGATAGACCAAATACCATAGAAATTCGAATAGAGTGAAGGAATGAACAGAACCAAGAGCAATTGCCTTCGTAGAACAAGATTTAGTAGAACATGACGTAAGAGTTCAGCGTAGAAGAGAACGACACAGAGAATAGTAATCATTTGTCGTTCGTAATTGAAATAGAACGTCTTGTAACCGCCTCGCGAATATTTCCCACGGAAAAATCCATCCCAGCATTCGCACTGACAGTTATTTTTCTGTACAGGAAAATACATATTTTGTAAATGATAACCTGATATTTGAGTGGAGGTGACAAGACCAATCGATATCACCAAGCCAGCAGCGATTACGGACAGGATGAAATAAGCAATGGATTTCAATTGAGAATAGATCGGATATTCGTTGACAGATAAAAGCATTCTGGATTTAGTGACTAAAATATTCAGGTGAAAAAAAACCGTAATCGAGTTTGTCTTTTATTAGCTGAACAGAATGGATAGAATAAAAAGAATTACCACGTGTTCTCTTCTTGCAGAAAAAACGTTTTTAAAAATTGTGAAAGTTTTTTCTTTCTGAAGGAGAAAGATATTCTGTTTACCATTTCTTTTCTTGGCGACATATACTGTCATTCTGAGAATTTCGTTGAGAAAAAAGTTACGATTATTTAAATTAAACTAAATTTAAAAATCTTCTTTCACTCTATTGGAAATGAAATCAAATGTTCCATAATTTCAAGTTATAGATTGCGCTCTAAATTCTACATAAAATGATATTATATTTTTAAATTGAGTAAGGATACTGCTCGAAATAGAAGTTACTTTGTTACAACGTGACATACGATATGCACCTCATTAAGTCGAAATGTATACAATGCAAATAGAAGAGCGCAGTGAACATATTGGAAGTATGTCTTCTGTGGAAGCTGACTTACTAGTAACTGAACGAGAGAATGAAAGTTTGGGCATGAATTTTTCAAGAACGAAGTCTCCTATGACGTGAAAATGAACTTTGTTTATCGATGTCAAGGAAAATCAATCTTTCAATAGATGTAAAAAAGTATTTGCTTTGACTTTCATAGTTATGCTCATCGTTTGTCATCACTAAAACGAGTCGTCGATTTCTCTTCTTGTGCTCAAAATTTGACAACATTATAGTTACTCTTACCTTAAACTTAAAAGTTGAGTCATAACTTTAAATGTAAATGTCACGTCAGACGGACGCAATGGCGCATATGAAGGTATGAATACAGTTCTTTTTCATTTTAAACTTGTACCATACGATACACCAAGCAGAATGTTTAACTTTGCGTTCTCTCTTGGCACGTAGATTTTTTTTTTTGGTAGAGAACATTCTTTCGTTAATATTCTCCTCATTCTTTATTAGTGCAATGGAAGAAAGAGAAACAATCGAACAAGTAGTATAGAATGAAAAAAAAAAACTGAAATACATGCATATATGAGTGTATCAATTGTATGAAGGAAACCTATGTTATGCTTCTGTTCTTGTAACACTGAGAAGATGATGATCTTTAATAGCCACCGCGTGGTTTGGGATAGTCATCTTGTTGTGAATAACTGGATTTATCTTCGTAATTTCCTGGATAACTTGGACGAGGAAACGAACGGAATTCGGTACGGACACCACCCTTGAAACCACCTTTAGCTGTATCAACGGTTGGTACACCAGGACCGACAACTATTCGTATGAGTAATAAAACAAAGAGGTATTACATTTTTTCATGAAAGAACATCATTTACCTGGACCAGGTTGTACAAGTGGTGCAACATCGACAGCGGGTGGTGGCGGGGCGCCACTGCTAACCAAACTAGCATAGCCAGAAGCAACTAGTTGAGCGATTGAAATAAGTTTTCCATAGAAGTTGATCACTGGTGGAAGAATGTAAACTGTGCAGATAGAAATAGAAATTTAATGAAGTTTTTTTTGTTCAGACGATGAGAAAATTGTTCTTACCACCGCCAGTTGGTGAATAGATGATTGTTTGTTTAGTGAGACGATCAGCAAAAATTGGTACCCATGGCATGAAGCTGATCAATGGTCCAAATGTTCTAGCTAGAAAAGATCGATTTCGACGAGATTTTCTTGAAATAAATCAATTGAAGTACGTACGAAAATGTTCGCGTTCGTATCGAGCAGTTGGAAAACGGAAACGTTTGGGCTTTCGGCGTTTGCCATCTCTTGATGGTTCACGAAGGTAGATGTTCATATGACCAACATCTTTTGGCTTGTTTTCCTACAAATAAGAAAGTTAACAGAACGATTGCCTTAATTTTGAAGGAAAAGCGCTTACATATTTCGATGGGTGACGTGGTTTGGGTTTATAATTATCGTAATCGTCATCATCATCATCATAATTATCAGAACCTTTGTAAGATGGTCGTTTGCCATAGGAATCATCATCGTCATCATAATTATCGGAATCTTTGTATGATGGTCCATTGTCATATGTATCATCGTCATCGTCATAGTTGTATTTTGACGATTTTCTATCCTTCGTGTAATCTCTATCTTCTATGCCGGCTCCACCGCGGTATGATTTTCGATTATATGACTTATCGTCATATTCATCGTTGTCTTCCGGTAATTTATATTGATTTTTGAAATCCCATCCATCATCATTATCTAAAGCTGAATTGAATACATTAGCGAGGAGAGATAAATGCTCGATCATACCTGGTGCACATTGAATTCCGCAAATGACTGCGAACGCAACTACGAACAAAGTCTAGCAAAACAAGAATGGAAATAGGAATCTCAAAGAAAGAAAACATGGACACGAACTTGTAAATGCATCTGTGTTCGTTATTCTGAAACTAAAAGTGAAGCCACTTCCGAATTCGTCGAGGATTTTTATATCCATGCAACGCATGAATGAATGTGAACTATTCTTTCTTTACTGCTACCTACGCAGTACTTTTTATCAGATCTACGTGGAAAAATTTTCCTTTGGAATCAGCGAAAAATGCTGTTTAGATTAGCGAAACGGCATGTGAATTTTGCATCGCTTTCTGTTAGGTGCTAATTCGTTCTCCATACATTCACTGTAATCATGACAGAATGCTGTTTATACATTATTTCCATTGAATATACAATGTGCATCATTTATTCAAAGACAAAAGTCGATCTTTCGTAACTATGGCCTTAGAAATCGAATCGAAACACCTTGAAATCGTTGTTTTGTTTTCATATGAGACAACAACACAATAACATCTATTTGAAAAAGTTTTATTCTAAATATGATTCATATCTTGCACAGATTTAGTTTAACATTTACCTTTCATAATCCTCTTTCTGAATGTTCTATTTTTTGACATTCATTTGTCGTACAAGCAACCATGGTCGGCCGAAAGACGCTCGCTTCGATTATCATCTGTATTTATTGGCAGCAATTTCTAGCCTTCAGTCAATTCGAATGTCCATCGGATTCACTGATTCAACCGTGTTCTTGTGTATTAACTATCCCGTCTCATACCTATTTGCTATTCAATGATTTTAATCCCGAAACCATTTATATTCAACAGAGATCGATCGTTTGCGAACATATTCATAATTCTACGTTTGATCTACAAACAGTATTCGTCAATCTAAGTGATAATGAAACAGATTTTGACAGTTTTCTTCTCTATAACACGACCATTGCGCATATACCAGCAAATGTTTTCAGTAATGTCACGTTTAAAAGTTTAATGTTTCAAGATAATCCAATGTTAACCACGATCGATGAAAATGCCTTTACAAGTTTTAAAGATTCGGTAGAAGTGTTCGAAACTTTGAATACGAATCTTTCGGATAGTAAGCAAATATTCTCGATATTGAAGCAATTTACAAACCTACGTCGTGTCAGTATGCACAATGATCGATTAACAATCATTCCGGATTATGCATTCAATCATACAAACTTAACAAATATTTGGTTTGGATTAGAAAATCGACGAACAAGTCAACCGATTGAAACGATTGGACAATATGCATTCTATGATGTGCCAAATTTGCGTTTATTGCGTATTTTCTCTCCGAATCTGACGCATATAGACAAATATTCGTATGCTCAACGTAAACGATCATCGTCCAATATCACTCTGCATATCTATCTCGGTGGTCAAAATTTAAATTCGACAAGTTTTTCTCCAACATCGCTGAGTCGTTTTCGTAGTCGATCAGTTTTCTTACGACTTTACTATACAAATATGACTTATCTAGATGAACTGATCTTTCAACCCTTTCTCGAAACACATCCGTCATCAATTGTTGATATCAATTATACGAATACGAACTTGAGATGTGATTGTCACTCAGCATGGATTCAGTATGATTATTTACGTGATCTCGATCAACTAGACAATCGTGTTTATGGATATCGCTGTTGGGCAACGGATTTTGCCAATTGTACGTTGAATATCTGATCGATTGTAGAGCTACGATTTCGAACCAAACAAACTTTCTTTTTCCGACAAGTTTGTACAGTGCTTTCTCTTCCGGAATGTCCTATACGTTCTTTTCCGTTCTTTATGATCGATCTTTCTCTTTTCCTGCCCGCGTATCTACACAGACAAAGTATCTACAATGATGGTACTGTCGTGGAAATATATCTTTTTCTGCCTTTTTTCCTTCTCATTGCCGTCTGTAATGTATGTACGGAAAAAAAGAATAGATGAAGAAGAGAGAGAGAAAAAAAGAAAGAGACATCTTTGTTTATATATTTATCAGTTCCTTTATTGTGTCATTGATACATAAAAAAAAAGATTTCTTCGTCATCAAAAATGAGTCGATATAGATCAACAAATAGTTCGATCAAAAGTCATCTATCAACAGCAAGTTTACCGAAAGAAGAAGTAAATATTGTTTTATTGGGAAAGCAAAGTGTCGGCAAATCTGCATTAGTTGTTAAATACCTAACAAAACGATTTATTCGTGAATATGATCCATTTCTTGGTACGAAAATGATTGATTTGATGGCACAAAGACCGACTAAGTTTGCTCTTTTTTTTTCTATGTACAGAAGATACTTATTGGAAACCAGATGCTGTCGATCAACAAGAGGTGCTCGTCAAGGTCATGGATACTTATGGCAAAGTAATCACATAAAAGAAAGTGTGTTCTTCGAAATATACAATGTGAATTTCTTTCTAGGATGATAAACAGTTACCTTATTATCTCAAATGGGCTGATGCGGTTTTGATTACTTATAGTATAACTCAACTTGATAGTTTTGAAATGGCATTAGCGTACTTAGATGCGATAAATACGTATTCGAAAGGTCTGACTGTGTCAACCAATGAACTTGTAATTATGTTACTTGGAAATAAACTAGATCTCGAACGAACCAGGTATTGACTCGATCGTCGAAGGAGAATTTTTTTTATGATGTTTGGTTCTAGAGTTGTTTCAAAATCTGAAGGTGAATCCGTCGCACTGAAGTTCAGTTGTGCGTTTTGTGAGACGACAGCAGCTGATGATTATGAGTATGTTCAACAATTGTTTCATCGTACAGTCCGTGAAGTACGGAAAGAACGTGAACGTGCAATGGCATCAAGTTCTATCGATGAAGAGCCGCCAACAGCTGCAATCAATATCAATACAAATGTCAATGTACCTTCGTCATCGTCGTCAGCTTCATCAAACTCTTCTATTCCTTTTACGAATTTCAATGAAACAGACAAACATTCATCCTCGAATATTCCTTTGCCGCCACCAATGCCAGCTACACTTGCCCATCGGGTCGCCAAACCTGTCAAAACAGAATCTCAAACATCAGTGACGTCTTCCACTTCGTCTTTGCCACTATCATCGTCAATGAAATCAGGTTCACTATCAACTATTGCTTCGACATCAACGTTAGCGTCCGTTGCCAGTGCACCACCTCCAGCATCAGCGACAACGAAACGAACGCCCTCGAAAACATCGGTATTTTCGAAGATTTTCAAAAACTGATTCTTAGGTTATTATTGTTTTCTTTTTTCGTATTTTGTCATTGGTGGAAAATAAATATAAACGAATTGTTGTCAAAATATCGAATGTTATTTATTTTCAGATATCTCTATCGTAGTAATTAAGTGAAATTCAAGTGTCAGTGTAAATAGAGAAGATAGAACGCAAACAGCTCGCAGTCGAAGCACAGTTGGATTTCCATCAGTGCTATCGAATAAAGTACAGAAATTGAAAATCATCGGTCTTAGTAATATGGTGAACTCAATAAAAAGATCATTGAATGATATTATTGGAAAAATGTACAATAAACGAAGATTATACTTTCGAATTTTGAATTAAACAGCACTGGGAAGCATTTGTCCGTGATATTTCACTCCGCTATCATCACTAATGTAACTATAACTGAGTTTGTCATCATTAATATGCAATTCATACGGAATTTTCACCGGTGGCATCGATACATCATCGACGACAGAATTTGCTGGCGTAATAACTAATGATGATGTCAACGTTTTTGTTAACAGATGATTCGCATCGGCAGCTATTGAGGGTGATAATTTTTGAGCTGGACGCGTCGTTGTTGGACGTGCAAACGGACGATAAGTGGATACGGGTCGTCCGTTTCGTTTTGTCGCAATAGACATCATCGGAGTTGATGAGGTGTCTGCTGTAGATGATGATAATAATGAGCCGTGCGATGGTGATTGAAATTGTTGTGAAGGTAATGTTCGATTAATATTGAGAGTGACCATCGTTCCTGGATTTCCTTCTGATTCACCATATTCCTCTTCTTGCTTTCGACGCATGCGTGCTAGTGATTGTCGTCGAAGATATGCAAGGAAATGATCGTATTGAGAACTAGAACGAGGCGAAATAGGCTGCTGCTGTTGTAGTGGATGTCGGGGCGATCGCAGTGGAGAGTGATTAGGAGTGCGGGTCAACAGCGTTCGTTGTGACGATATCGGTGGTTTGAAGACATGCAGAGATCGATCGTATAGTTGTAGATTAGTAGGACGATGCACTGTCACAGAGCGTGTTACTATCAACGGATATTTTAATGATGACCTCGACATGGTCGATGGGCCAGTTGAACGATGAGCTACTTGTTCACGCGATTGCATCTGAGTGGTTAACGATTCGACAAGAACATTCGGTGAAATATGTGATTTATTATTCGTTGCCATTCGTACGAGTTTGTCTTCGAACTTAGAAAATGATCCGAACGTAATGATCGACAATATGGAAGAAGCCGTATGGTTTCTTTGTAGATTATTGAATAAATTATTCGACGATGACTGCGGTGATGTTCTGTTCGGTACTTTTAATTTAGTATGACCAATCTGTGATAGATCTAAAGGTACGTTTATCATCACATGGAAGCTTTACAATCAATAATGAAGTAAGAAGAAAACAAAACAGTAGCAAAATAGATTTGCATGCGACATGCAGAAAGTAGTTTTTTTATCGATTGAAAAATTCGCACTGTGTAACGTTGACAATACATGTGATTAAAATAGAAGAGGTATTTTTAAATGATATATTTATAAGAAAAAAGCAATTTTTTTCTTCGGCTTAATTATTTTCCAACAGCATGTGTGTCCTTTCAGGATTATTTGAGCAGACTTTTTTTTGTTTGTTATTGTTACTGAATAGGTTTGCATGACATACTGCTTGTATGACAATTCTGCACCGAAATTCCGCTTAATGGCTTTTTTCATTCTTTTTTGCCGGTCTAATATGTTGTGATTTGCAATATTAATTTTGTGAAAAATTTATTTCGGGAGGAATGTTCCCAGTGTTTTGCATGTTTGTAGAAATGATAGCTTCAGTTTTGATATGAGATAACCGAACTCGTTCTATAGATGTCCTGTGTAATCGATCGATGGCATCTCGCATCGCCTTGCAATAAAGATGATTGGTGTAGAGGCAAAACTGATCAATCATAAGATAAGAGTGAGTGAGTAAGTTGAATCCAAATCCAAATAATCCTATTCTTTCATCGGCAAAATATCAAGAGACAGAATTCATCACTACCAGACGCAGTTTTCTACGATTATGACTAAGATCCTGAAGTATGGAAAAAGAAGAGTAACTGTGCAATCCGTCATAAATATTTTTCATCACAGATATGAGAGAAAGTATACATGTTCTTTACATAGTTAAAACACGACTTGTCTGACATGTCCGTTTGTAACAATTTAGAAAATAACATTAAGATTATCAACGCTATGCATGAAATGAATCAAGTAAGTAATGTTTTATAGATAAATAGACTATGGTTCTCGTAACATTTAGCATATTGGATCATTTCTTACCTTTTGAGTATAATAGTTAAGTGCAGAGAAAAATAATTTAAAGAAAACAAGGAAAATTAGATTAGTTCTATAACGCACGACTGGAAAATCTATATGCTAATTTCTTTGTTGTCATCCGTAAGTTATTATTTTGTTATCATCAGCAACCATTTTATCGACGACATAGTATTATGTCACGTGGTATAATCTGCTAATGTTTTCTTTTTTGCGAAACAAAACACTGCATCGAAAATGCAGTAAAGTCGATAATTTGGATCATGAACATCTTTCTATTCCTACAGTTATGCTAATATTCATACTTGTCACTTCGTTATATATCAAATTTCTAGATGTTTACTCGAAATTTACTACTCAGTGTAAGCACTGTTCTGCTACTGACATGTTTCGACTTAAGCCGTATATATATGAATCAAACACAAACGAAGACTACATCTACATCAATCAATGATGACTTGTCGGAAGCTCAATCTGAGGAGATGTCATCAGTTCCACCGCCAAAGATGAAAATGCAACTAGGACCCATTATTAAATTTCGTTATTGTCAAGGGTGTGGGTATGTATTTCTATAATAATAATAATAATAACGATTTCCAGCTATTCTACTACGTTTGTCTAGTTATCAAAATCTTTTCAAACAATTCTCTGAATTAGTTCGTACACATTATCCGAACATGGCCGTCGTTGGAGAAAACTATCCGCCGCAACCTTTGAAAGCTTTTCTTGCTCGACTTGTATCAATGATTAAAATGGCTCTACTAGTTTGTCTTCTATTTGGTCAAAATCCATTTACTCTTCTTCGTATTCCAACACCGAGGGTTTATTCTTGGGCATTGCAGAACAAAATGTATGCATGTTTGATGATCTTCTTTCTTTCAAACTCAATCGAATCCTACTTGATCGCCACGGGCGCATTCGAAATTACAGTCGATGATGTGCCATTATGGTCAAAAATCGATACGGGTCGTATTCCTTCATCGAACGAATTCGTTCAAATGTTACAAACATTCAATCCAAATAAAGATATGAATGATTTCACACGTCTACATAGTTAATGCAATAGATCGAATTGTGTATCAGGAAAACGAACTTCGAATGTAATGTTGTTTTTATGTATTTTCTCTTTTCGTATCAATAAAGTAAATGTATCATTACCAAGTTCCTAGCATAGTCACTCGTAGATAGATGTCGCTAAACGACAGTTTAAGATTGTTTTGTTCTCATTAATGTTGCTAGTAAATTATCCAATAATTATTATTCTTCATGATCTTTGCAAAATTCAACAACCAACAATATCACTTAATGAAGTTGTTTCGTTTGATGTACAATTTCTCAGTGCTGGTCTTCTAGAAACAGATTGTTGTTCATATGTCTGTATCCGTATCTGCGTTTCGCTGGCTTGATATCCTAGAGAAAGAGTTTGATAAGACATTTGTTGATCTTGACTTGTCGTTCAATGAAATTGATGAAGAACAACCCGAAATTATTGCTGAAAGCCGCGCCAAAATGGCAACACTCAGTTCATGTTTCGCTCAATTGGTTCATAAAGTGCAAACTATCGCCCAAGCGAATGCTAAACTTGAAGTTTGTTGATGATTCTCTTTCCGCGAATATTTTAAATTTATTTTAGGCACAACTAGTGGATGTACGAGCGGAAATGATCGATATCAAAACAGACCGACAAGCGTTGGAACAACAGATGAAAGACACATTAGCTCAGCTGCATGCATCACAATTGGAATGTCAAATATTGAAGAATCAAAGTGAAATCGAAGGTGCAGACATGATACGAAGGCGATTGGTACGTATCGAAGTTGTTTGTTCACGTTTGTCTGATGTCGTTTCGTTGTAGGAAGAACAAGTTACTAAACAACGTAATGAACTGAAAGAAAGTTTAGTATCAGACGTGAAGGCACATGAATTGGAAAAAGAAAATGAAAAATTGAAAAAAGAAATTATAAACTTAGAATCTGAAATATACGGATCACGATTAGCGGCGAAATATTTGGATAAAGAATTAGCCGGAAGGTATGGTTAAACAATTATGAACATTTCAAATTTCTTTTGATTAGAATTCAACAAATTCAATTGCTTGGCCGCGATTTACGTGGACCAAATCATGAAAAATTATGGAATCAACTTGAAGCTGAAATTCATTTACATCGTCATAAAACTGTCATTCGCGCTTGTCGCGGGCCGGAGAAAGTTAATAAAATCTTGACAAGCCCGCCAGGCCATGTAAACATCTTCATCATAGTTTCATTGCGAACTTCAAACATTTCATCTAGGACGTGAATGTATTAAAAAAACGGCAAGGCGTGGGTGAATTACGTACAGTGAAATTTTATAAAGATGCCAATCAAGCACTGGGAATTTCAATAACTGGTGGAAAGGAACATGGCTTACCTATTCTCATATCGGAAATTCACGAACGAGGTCTAGCATGGACATGTGGCCAACTCTACGTCGGTGATTCGATTTTGAGTGTGAATAAATATGATCTACGTGATAAGAAACATGCTGAAGCTGTGCAAATACTTTCGTCGTTGGTATGTCATATCTAAAAATAGACATCGAATGTATGTTCGTATTGTTTTTCAAGAAAGGTGATATTACAATGACGGTTATCTTCGTCGCCCCAGACGAAAGTGATGGTGATGAAACATCAAGTTGTGATGGTAACACACATTTACAGTACAAGTTTCTGAATGACGAAGAAGGATGTCCTTCAAAAGCCAAAGATATCGAATCAATGAAAAACTTAACGATTTCCAATGGAAGTCATGATAAGAATCTTTTGCAGCAGATCAATACAACAAACGTTGACAATGGTTCGCAGTGAGGCGTTGTTTTCTTTTTCAGGTATATAATATCTGTTGTTTTCGTTATTTTTAGAAAGACTCCGTCCGTAATTGACAGGTACTTGACAAATCGACACTAATCTCATTGTCACCAGTCAAAATTATACAATGAATTTCTCTTTTTTTATTTAATTGAATGAAATTTATTCTTAATGTCTTTTTTTTTCGTAAACTAAATATAAATAAACATTTGTAGGTGGATGTCTGTGTATACAAATATATATATCAATGATATTTTGGGTACACAACGATGTTGTGTCATGAAAGGTTTTTCATTTGGTTTTAGGCCAACAAATCTGACAGTGATGATTATTGCAATGCGATTAGCACAAAACATAGTTGAGAAAATAAGATATGCGTATACATGTGCACACATATGGTAAATATGTAAAAGAGATATAACAGAAGTTTTTCATTAGAATATAAGTGAGAGATGTTCGAATTTTGAAGTCAAAGTAGTCACTTGAATTTGGATTTGTTTTTCCATTAATGAAAATGAAAAGAACTGCATCGATGTGTTTTGTGCTTATCAATATTCTCTTCGTTGTGTATGTATTTTTCTCTCCCCCCTTCTCTCTCTCTCTCCGATAGAACTGATCAACAAAAAACAAAGTAAAGAGAACGAGTACGATGTCTTCAGTATAATCGACTCGTCGGTTTCTCTTTCTTCTTCTTCTTCTTTGCATCAATCGAGGTTTTTTCGTCTAATCCAGAAAATGACTGATGAGAACGATCATCGATATAAAACAAAAGAGCATTAGCGGGTAGCCTTTAGGATGAGATTCTACCGACTGTTATTTAGAAGGCTCTTCATCGTGTCTCATTACATTCCATAATCTGATAAGAATGTGTTCGCCAACGCTCGAAATCATCATTATACACACTCGAATCCTTTCTTCCTTCGCGTCTATCTGAATCTCATTGTAGTGTGCTGATTACGATTCCTTAAGAATTTGTTTACATACGTTTACGTCTAATCCTATTAATGAACAAATAGATCAAATCATATCCCAATTAATACTAAATTATTCGAGATTCCTTTCGTCAAGTTCTACCTGTAAGCATCTCGATATTGTCGCATATGTCGATATATACCATTACGATAAATGTCATTGTTATTATCGACAATAGAACTTACTAACAATCGTTACAACAAAACAAGAGAGTCGTCATTCGCTAACTTCTAGTTCTTAGGTTGAATTCAAGTGCAGCTCTATTATCAACGGGAGAGAGAGAGAGAAAGAGAGAAAGTTGTTTATTTTTATGCATATTGTACTTATATACATATTTGATATTCTTTAGATTAGATTAGAATTGTTTATATAATCGGAAAGAAAAGAGATATAAACATATTTGAAAAAAAAGTGCAAAATTTCGCTGCTTTTTCGTCTCTTTCGATGATTCATTTTCGTTCTCATTTGTTTTTAGGGTGTGAAGAAATTAATATTCATGGATAGTTCAAGAGAAGCAGTCTCCAATCAACCGACAGAGAGCATTGAAGCGAAAACGAAAACGTCATCGAGCAGTATTCGAAGGAGGAAACCTTTGCGTCGCATTTGGTCTCGAGGATTACCATCATTAGCAACGAACACCGTCAAAATGGTCGTAGCAACTTTACAGATTGGTTCCACAGCGAACGGACAAGCGACAAGAGAAGAAGAAGAGTCGGACGATAATGACGACGAGAATTCAATCGATGAAGAATATCACATTGGTCAACAAGTTCAAGCACACATTCCAGATATAGTTTCGAATAATCTGAATGATTTAATTGATCAACAAGGGAGGATTTTAATTCCAAATGAACATATGTACAACCGAGTAACATTGTTATTTCTCGACGTGTCCGGATTTACGTCTCTAACTGAACAATATTCGAATGACGCACATCTAGGCATTGATCAATTGACTCACACGTTGAATTCCTATTTCGACAAATTAGTTTCGGAAATTCTCTCGCACAATGGTGATATATACAAGTTCGCTGGTGACGCTATACTTGCACTATGGACTGATGAATCGAACGGAGCTGAACAAGCATTAAAATGTGCTCTATCATTGCAAGAAAAGTATGGTGCATACGAAACGAATGTTGATGTCGTTCTACGAATGAAAGTAGCGCTTGCCTATGGATCTGTACGAATCTTATTCATTGGTACAGACGAATTCAAGCATTATATATTGACAGGTGATTGTGTTAAAGATGTGAATATTTGTGAACAACTATGTGAACCGGGAGATGTTATTATCACTGGAGCAGTTTATGAACAAGTTCAATCAATCGCATTGAATTGTGAATATGCTCCAATTCGAGATGAATTGGAAGGAGATAATCAATATTTTGCGGTGAAATATTGCGACTTGGAAGAAGATAATTTTGATGCGACGACTGTTAGCGATCGACTAGTAGGTAGAAAGGTTTCTTATGCTTTAAATTAAACTATTTTCATGTAAACGAGTACAAACCGAATAGGAAGAAAAAAAAGTCAGGTGTGTGAATAACTTGTGCTTTTAGACGCCTTCATCCTACGATATATCTAATGGAAATCATTTCTTCGATTATGAATCATCAAATATTAGTCCTCATACTCAAGCACTGTATGATAAAATCGATAATCTAATGAAGACATTTTTACTTGGGTGTGTTTATCAACGTCTTGATCGTAAACAATCATTAGATTATCTATCGGAATTGCGACGTGTGACAATCACATTCATTAATCTTGATATTTCTGATGAACAGTATGAAGATAAGAATCTTTGTCAACATGTTCAGAAGGTTTTCATCCAAATATATGAACTAACGAAAATGATGGGCGGAGTACTGACCAAAGCATTGCTATTCGATAAAGGTTGGTCATTTCTCTGCGTTTTTGGTTTACCAGGCTATAAACAAGGTGATGATACAGCCAATGCGCTCAAATGTGCACATATGATTCATTCAACAATCAATAAGCAATGTGAATTCATTAACAAATGCTCAATTGGTGTAAGTTTCTTGTATAGCTTTGTAATTTACACAATACTATCGAAGTCTTAACGGTAGGTTAGGTGGCAACCGGTTTGACCTACTGTGGAGTTGTCGGACATGCTGCACGTTGTGAATATACAGTGATCGGTCGAAAAGTCAATCTGGCTGCGCGGTTGATGTGTAATTACCCGAATACAATCTCCTGTGATCAAGAAACCTATTACAATTCACGGTTAAATAGTCGCTTTTTTCAAATTCTACCGGATAAAATTTTGAAAGTAAACGAAAGTTCATTTTCCAGCGACATATCGACGTCTACGCTGGATTTCTTCTTAGGGTATGCACAACGTGGGGATCATTTGGCAGTATAGTGAATATCAAGAGAACGTCCAAATGCAGAACAATTCAAATCAAGGGGAGATGATGATCGTGTCCGATGGAACGTATCCGTTGCTCGGACGAAAACTAGAATTGATGATAATCGCAGTGCAAATTATGTTAATGGATGAACCCATTAATAAACGACGAGATCTTGCTGCTATCATTTTCGAAGGTTAGAAACAAATTTTCATCGACCGTTACATATTATCTCGATAGACTTTCCATATCATTAACATGGCGATGTTTTTGCGAAAGATTTGCATTTATCAAAGTGTCGAACGTCAATGCTTTCTTTAGTCTAATTGCAGATGCGAAAACGATAGTTATTAGGATGATATATGGTAGTGTTTACAAACTAAGAACATATGAGTATAACCAATTAAGGGTGGAAAAACAAATTCTGATAGATTCAAGAATGTGAGGGAGGAAAAAAATTATGATTGATAGATAGAATTCGTTACAGATTCGGGTAATTGACAAAGATTTGTGAGAGAGCTTAATCTTAGTAATCGATTTCGATCAAAATAAGATCTTTTTCTTAACTGAAATTATTCTTTCACATTTGCTGACCTATATTTTCGTATAGGCGATGATAAAATCGGTCGAAGTCGTTTACTACAATTCATTGCTGATTCGTTTGAAAATGTCAATCATGAAACGAGTACCGGTGTGTCGTGTTATGATAATACATACATTCCCTATGATTCAACAATTCCGAATAATGCCTCAATGACTGCGAATGAGAATCTCACGATGCGTTTGTCATCGTTAAGCGCATATGGAAGTGATTGTTCGACAATGAAAAAACCATTGATACGTGTTATCAAGTACAATTGTCAATTGGAGCAACGTTTTAATGAATTCAGTCTACTTCGATCATTACTTCGACAGCTATTGAACTTTCATAATGATGATAAAAGTCAATATGAACGTGAGCAATCGATTCTGCGTTTGTTTGATATAAACAAATCGCATGATTTATATCTACGACGAAATCTTTTCTTGTTAAATGAGCTATTCGATGTAAGATTTCGTCGTAGTCATATCGATACAGAAAATACGAATGAGAACAACTTCGTTCGAACTTATGAAACAAGCATCAATGAATTATTACTACACATTCTCAATCAATTGATCGATTCGCCAACAACTATCGAAGATATGTATGGAAATACGCTAACTACGCTAAAGTATATACAAAACAACGGAATGTTGATTATCTCACGCCAATAATTTCTTTTTTAGTTCGTCATGTGCTCAGCCAAGATGTTCGTCAAATTCAATAGCAATAACAACTCAATTTCCGATCGCAACGGCATCGAAAATCTTGTTTATTATTGATGACATTCATTTCGCTGATGAAAGTTCGCTGAAACATTTACTCACATTGGGAAGTCATTGCAAATGTTTATTGATTCTCTCTATGAAACCGCCGAGTAATAATAACAACGATCGACGTGCTTCATATATCTTACAAACTATCCGTACGGATTCACGAGTTTATTTGAGAAGGTTACCTGGACTTGAACCGCGATATCTTGCAACGCTTGGTAAACACTTTCTTAGACGTTTTCTGTTGTTTAACGTTAAGTTTTAGGATGTCAGATATTATCTGTACATAAACTGCCAGCGAAATTGATCAAAGTGTTAAACGAAAGTTGTAACGGTAAAGAATTCTTCTTCACGAATGTATTCAGGACGTCGTACGTTTTCAGGTGTACCTGGCTTTTGTGAACAAATTCTGTTCGATCTCTTGCGTAAAGATAAGATTTATGTTGTAGAAACAACTAGTATCGATGATCAGGACGCGAATTTAACCGAAGGCGATGCGGATAAATTACTGGTGAATTTACCTTCGAACAACAGTTTATTTCAATCTCTGTTTTCTCGTCGAAAACAGTCTCTCAATGAAAAACAACGTCAATCCAAAATCTTCTCACGTATTTGCCTTTTACGAGATTCGACTTCGAATGACGTCATCTCTCTTTGCCAACAAAACTTTCAAAATTATATCATGTGCCGTATCGATCGTCTTTCCGATGGTGAAATCTTTCTCATCAAAACTGCTGCGGTCATTGGAAACACATTCTCTCGAACATTTCTCTGGCAATTGGTCGATTCGAACTCGAAAAAATCCATCAACATTAACTCGTGTATTTTGGACATGATGCAACGATCAGTTATCGAATGTGCATACCAACAACAGCAGAATCCAAAACGACGTTCAATTCAATGTGCTTGTCTACATAATCCAACCAATTTTCCATCGCAATGTCGTCTAATGGCATTTACACATGTATCGATACGAGAAGGTATCTACAATTCCTTGACAGATAGTTTAAAACGTTCGATAACACGCAATGCTATCGATTATCTGGAAAAACAATGCACGATTGTTTGTTCGACCTGTGGACCGAGAAATGATATTCCATTTTTCGTGCAAAAACAAGATGGACTGACAAAAGTTATTAAAACTAGTCAACAGCATGGATTTGTGGATATTGTGAAGTTAGCTGCATTACGAGAAATTGATAATGCAATCAAACAATCGATTCGGTTTGGTGCGATACATGCACAAAGAAAACCCAGATCAAATACATCGTCGAATCTACCGCCGGAGCCTATTACTGCACCAGCTGGAAATTCAAGTACTACTGCACAAAACAGGTAACGGGATTAATAGAATATCGATCCGAACGCTGAACAATTTTTTTTGTTTTTCTGATAAATTAGCTTGACAAAGGTGTTGGAAAAGCGTCGTAATAGTATCGATGCCAGTGGATTCAATGCTTGCCGAGCAAGGCAACGACTTTCCTCGTTGATTACTCCGGTTGATGAAAATAAATCTGAAACTAAAGTCGAACAAAATGGCGAGAGTCGACCTTTAATTGATGTCCATTCTAATAATAATAATAATAACAATAATGATTCTTCATTGATACCTACATCTGCGCATTGGCCATTGACATCATCGAGATCCAATCCTCTGATTAGTCTTATCAAATTTCCAAAAAATCGTCTTCGCAAATCATCATTATCGAATCGTCGATTACTGAAAACTATCGATGAATTGATTATCCCAGACAAAAGTAGTCGAAAAGAGGTCATTGTTGAGCGTGCGCGAAAACGGCGAGCAAGTCGCTCACAACGTGTACGTTCATTTTTTCACTATATATTCTGCCAAACCGTACCGTCGCATTCACCAGCATTTTCGACTGAAGATACAAACAATCAATCAATGAATCATAAGACTCTGAACACGAAAACGATCTCAAAATCTGATCATATCTCACAGGTAATACAACAAAGCATTCGTTAACATTTGACTTTTCCACTTGTGAATCTTTAGGAACCAAAACTGCTACGTAAACAATCGTCACATTGGCAAACAGTTCGTCAAGTGTTGATTCCATCTCCGAACAAAGTTCTGCGTGCATGTCCAAGTGATCAGGAATTACTTGAACAGCCAATGTTTTCACCTGAATGCATGTTAAATGTTGTCAACGATCTAAATTGTCTAAATCGACAAACCTACCAAACGCGAACATTTCAAAATCTCTACGATCAATCTTTTCGGTTTCATAACTTTCAATCCTATGTTCAATATCGAGCATTGATTCATTATGTTCACGACGCTCACCAACATGAACCGGAAGAACCGAATTTGAACAAATTCGTCAACGAATTCATTACTTACAACGACCTACGTATATGTGAATGTCCTGATTACGTTTTCGCAGTTTACACCAAGCTTTTGGAATATCACACGAATCTGTATGAAAAGTTGGTCGATGAGTTACGCAGTGATCAATTCGATCGTATAATGTACTACCGAATAGAAATTTGCAATCTACTATTACGTTCGAATTGTCTTCAACGTTTACTCGTTGAAATTGAAAACGGACGAAAACTTTGCAGTCAGTTACAACGTGATACACTCAATCAAGACACATATACATATAAATATCAGTATTATCTCACGAAATATACATACAACCTTTTTGAAGCGATCGTTTTGCAGGCCACAAGAGCTATTTGCGATGCGAAATTATTATGTGAAGAAAGTTTAGAGGAATTGAACGAATTTCGTGAAAGTCAAACGTGGGAAGAAGCAAAATCTATGGGGAACGTGCTTGATTCATCATCAGCAAAAGATCGACGATTGCAATACGAACAAAGTCGAGATGTTCTATCAAACTTTAGTCATACGTCTCAAACATCGGTAAGTTAATTCTTCGTATGAATTCTATGCCCCGACTCATTCTTGACGATGTTTAGTACATTGATCCGTTGAGTCCATTCATTGATAAATACCGTATGGAATATCTGATATGTCAATATTATCTTCTGCAATACCAACTCTCTCGTCATCAATCGAGCGAAGCACGGAATACTTTGATTAATTCGAATTATCACATTTATCCTATCTCTTTCTCTCTTCCATGTACAATTATTCTAATCGAATACTTCTATTGTGAGATGAACTACAATCAATGTTCAATTCTAATGAACAATCTCATTCGATTCTGGTGGAACTATGTAACACCACGCGAAAAACTCGAACTAGGTAAGCTGATAAGTTTATCGCTGATCATCCTACTCAAGCAAAGTTCATTGGAACCGGCAATCCTCTCCGGTTACTTTTCCAAACGTATCTTAACTGGTTATCACGAAAATATTTTCTTAATCGAAACATGTATCCATTTAACTATAGCATTGATCGGTGAAATGCGCATATCTAACATTGAATTGATTTTGCAACATCTCGAGTATTTGAGCGACCAAACAATGAACAGTTATGCGAAACTTTGGTATTATACATTAGTTGTCGATGTCGCTATTGAACTTGGATACGAACTAATACCGATCACAGTGGATTTTCTGGAAAATGTTAGTAAATATCGGCGGAAACTGTTAACCGGTCCTCATCAACGAAGTTTATTGATTGTCTATAGCGATTGTACACTGGCACAAATTTATATACGATTAGGGAATACGAACATGTCGAAAATACATTTTCAACAAGCGCTACATCAAATCAAATACGATCAAATGCATTTATCAAATGTTGATTTTCGCTTCAAGCGTGCTCTTTTAAAACTGATTGAAACTCAGTTACTGCATTGGTATCATACAAAAGAGTCGGAAGAAACAATAACTAAAGAATGTTTTCTGTTAACTACGATTGAAGATCATGTTAATGACGAACTAATTCCATGGAATCGAACGAGATATCTCATCTATCAAGCGTATTACGATCGACTGATCAATGACTATAAACGCATCCAGAAATATTCAATTGATGTAAGTCGATTTTCTTATCTAAGTTTTCCAGGCCATAATCAATTCGTCTTGTCGGCAGTTCATTCACTGCTGGCGCGTTAATCCGCTAGTCTGTTGCTTTGATCATAATTGAATAGAAATGGATGAGTATCCTCTTAAGACGAGATAATAAGGTCACTGCTCGAAATTGAATTTGAAGAAGAACATTGTTCAAGGTTAATAATGAGATGTTGACGATGATAACAATTGTGTTTCGATGTTATTGGATGTAATAGACCAGAACGAATCGATTGAAAGAGGATTAGTCGAGTGAGAGATTAAAGAACAAATAATATTACTGATCTCGAAAAAGATGATGCTCGCGACTGACAATTTGAATTTCTGTTTTAGAACGACTTTCAATGGGAATTGAGTTTGCAACAAGCGGAAAACCAAGCGATTAAACTTGATCTCCTGTGGATCAAGCGCTTACGAGCAGCATGGATTCTTTCCGTTTCAGAGCAAATTTCGTTAGAAGTCAATCAATGTTCGTCGATTGGACGCTCACGTCGATCCACTGTCATGCAAAAGCCACCCACTCGATTTTTTCTTCGTCCATCCATGCCACATATAAAACTTTCTCCGAAAGTTGAACGAAATGCTGATGAACAACTAAGCAAGAGCGCTCATACGTATTCTCATCAGAACTTCGTTGATTGGCGTTTATTTATACCAAAAACTAGTTTAACACAATTCCAACTTTACGTTCTTCCGGTGTGTGTGTGAATAATTCTGTTAATTAGTCTACAAAGTTTTCTTTTTCATTCTTCCATGTATACAATAAAAGCAAAACACAACAATGTTAATTATACTTCGACGTGTAGTTTGCTAGTAATCAAAACATTTCGCCTAGGACATTATCGGTGTTCGATTGATCTCAATCATTTTATTGCCGATGGGATAGAAAAGTGTAAACAACAACTCGTTCACATTCACATGCAACGCAAAAAGAAACACAGTCGTTTCTCTTTTTTCACACACACGCATACATACATACACATCTCCACCCACAGTTGAACATATAATCACTGTATACCAATCAAGTCTATCAAATAACCATAAGAATTCACATTAAACATCAAGAGAATGCATGTGATAATGACACATATAATCAGAAGAATTCGCTCTTTCAGTAGTGTAAGTTTCCCATATATCACCGAGATGAATTAAATTTCAATAAATAGAAAACGATATTCATATGGCCAAGATGCACAGCGATGTGAATCGGCAGCCAACCATCAGCGTTCATCTTCAGAATATCACATTCGCCATGTTCCACGAACAGTTTCAGTAGATCAAGACGATTGTACAAGCAACACAGATGAACTAATGACTGACCATTGTATTGCAAACGATTGAGATTAATATGATGAAGAGACGAAGATTTGCGAAGAAGAATTTCGATATCGAAGAGATCATGATTGTGAAGAATGGAATGAAATAGACGATGGGTGAATTGATGTCGATCGAATATCATATTATCTATGAAGAAACAAGCAATGCAGTTGTTTTTCCTGTAATCAATCGCTTGTGAGAAATTTCAATGTAATAAGCTTTAGGTGTTTTAAGCCGGAAACCACAAACGAGCATTCTCTCTCACCTTATATTATCCTTTCTCATACAAATAACACTTAATCGCTTCATTGAACTAGGCGTCTTTTTCCCAGAGTGAAAGAAAAAGAAAATAAACTTCTGATTCGACTGGTTTCAAATATTACTACTTGATCCGTGTCAGCAAACTAGTGATTGACAGCATAAGTCACAAATTAAATACTCGGAGTTTGTCTGTGTACAATGTAACGGATCATTTCCGCTAGGTTCTCTTTTTTCTGATGTCGAACATCCGTCGAGTAACATTGGGTGTTGACTTTACTATAAACAGTTCAGTAGTATTACTCAAATCAAAACATCCAAATCCAAACGACTCCGAGCTATTTTTAATAAAACATTCGTATGTATTCAACACATCATCATTAATGTCTCGCAGTCATATTATACTAGAAATGTTAGTAACACTGATGAGAGTTGTATTCCATGGATAATTGCTCAACGTTCTCTATTGTATGTATTATATACACACATACAGACATAGTCTTTCGTCTATCTCTATGCGTGTCGCTCGGGTTTAATGCATTCGCTCGGCTAGCTCTAAGGGAAGTTCATACATCCTTTTCTTCTCAGTCTATGCACAAGAAATGACCATCCAACTGTTCATTCCTCTTATCTGATTGATGGTAAGGATGGGGCAAGTGTATGTGTTTTATCTTGAGCAATGGTCACTACTAATGAATAAGAACGCGTACGTCTAGAGAAATGAGGAAAAGACAAAACTCTTTTTTTCTTGCATGCATAGACACAAAGATGATTACTTGAGTGGAACTGATGCTTGGAAATGATGTATGTCTCGCATTATCGTGCGAAATTCATTTCCGTCTTCTTCTCCTTCTTCTTATGTTGCTTTACGTCGAATTATTTATGTGACATTTTAGATTCCAAAATCTTCTTTCTACGTTCTTTCATAAATCGATTTTCATAGTTCATGAAAGAACTTATTTAATCTCTTCTTCTTTGTATACGTTAGCACAATCATAAGTGAGATTCGATGGAAAGTAAGATAGATCGACCAAAAAGAACACGATAAACATCTTCGGAGTCGAATATCAAACTGAGCGACATAATTCAAACATTCTTTGTATAATTAGACTGAGTGTTGGCATGGTAAGAACATTATTAAAAAGTATCCAGCTAGCTGTTTACGTCTTCGGTTGATTGAGAAGAAAAAGGTCTAATTATGCACCTTGTTTATACGGACAATAGTACGAGTGTAAAGATGTTTATCTAATTTGATATTTTCTCGATAAACCTAATGCGTATTTCGATGCCATTTGCAACGATCGCTTGGGAGATCAATAAATCTCCAAGTTTCTAATTAGTATTTCCATTTCTCATTCTTTTCGTTGTTTTTTTTCTTGCTTTACAATCTGCGAGGAGGAGAAGGAGAAGAGAAATTCCCTAACTCAATCAGGATGGTTTAGCACTATTCTTCATCAAATGCGTCCACACTCGACTAGGAGATGAAACAATGCCATTTGAGTTAATTTGATTTGCTATTCAGTTTTGTTTTCCTCATATCAAGAAGTGATCATCAGATAGATTCTCTTCTGTTTCTTCTTTTAGCGCCAAGACACTAAATAGCAATGATGAATAGGTGAATGATGAAAGGGAAGAAGAGAAGACGAGGAGTCAAAGAGAGAAAAAGCTTAGAACACATACACTAAAGGAAATTAATAATGAACGTAAAGAAACAGAGTGCGTACGAGTAAAGAAGAGAAAAATTAGAACCCATCAAGTTTTTTTTCTTTTTACCATCAACTGAGTGACTAAGGGAGTAAAAGATTTCTCTTCTTTTCTTCAAGTATTCTTCGTGTTAATGGTAAGGAGAGGGAGAGAGAGAGACAAACTGCTTACTGCCATCGACTGAACTTTTTGACAGTGTCATGCAACGTTTTTTCAATGTAGGAGAGTACAATCTGTCCATGCTTTAGAAATCGTGACATGAATCGACAATTTTTTTCAATTGACGGAAGGATAAAAGCGCTGAACGAAATAGCCTTGATTTAACGCATTGTTTTTCCTCTACGCTTGACGCGATGATTGATTTTCGGCAATTGCTTCTCTTTCTGCGTTTAGAATTTCTCATTATTCTTCGATGAACCGATGACATGATTTATAACCTTGACAGCAGCATTCTCCTGCTACTGTCGTTACTAATTCGTTTTGTTCAAGCAACAATTCTATACCAAAATGATTACGAACCACGTGTATTCGATTATATTCCATCGAATTGTTATGATTGTCTATCCTATCGTGATATTATCCTCACACAATTAACAATCATACCGGCGCGGTCGTTTGCGGAATTTAACTTGGGTTCACGCGATACGAATCTGATTCTAAATGGACAACTGAGATTAATCTTTCAACCGTACGCGTTTCAATCGCTTATCATTCAAAAACCCAACCATACGTTGACCATCACATTCGCTGCGCCGAACTCCTGGTTGAACATTACAGAAAATACTTTCAATGGCTTAGAACTTCAACCTTATTCGACTTTGCGTATCATTATCAAGTTCTTCTATGGTTGTACTTTTCATCCGAACTCTCTTTCTGGAATCAAACTAGGTAAACATTCACGTTTGATTCTCGACATGTCATCCGTAACGCAAATTCACTTTCAAAACAAGATCTTCGAACCAGCTGATCTTACGTCATCTATCGAATTTCTGTTCTCACGTACAGATACAATCGTGTTCGAGTCGCATTCATTCTCAGCTCTGAATCTTCATTCAAATCAGATACTTTCGTTTCATTTCGAACTCGTTTCGCATATTCATCTGAAATCCTATTCATTCAAGTCAGTACAGTTACAGATGTCAAGTTCATTTCGGTTTTACTCCTTGTTTTTAAATCGTCTTACAATGGATTCGTATGCATTCGAAAATATGTCGTTCGCAACAAACGCAATTTTCAATTTTACCATTCAAACATTGGGATCGTGTTTATGCTTGAAATCTCATACATTTCATCATCTGCATTCAATGTCAAACAGTGAAAACATACAAATTCTCTTAACTTTCAATACACTCCGTGGATTGTCCTTCTTTTCGAATACGTTCTCAAATTTATCGCTAAATACTGTGCGTAACGAACTAAGAATTAATTCGGATAATCCAACGAACGATCCCAATCCGATTGTTAACTTTGCGAAAGAAACATTCTCTTCTACGCATTCAGGCTTAATCACCTTGAATTTTTCATCGACAACGATCCTACGCTTCGAAAAGAGTTCCCTCCAAACCGATCATCTACTTCATCAGATTTATATGAAAGATATTATCTTAGTCGATTTCTCATTAGTAAATACCAGTGAAATTCACACTGATATGAACATCCATTTCGATCGAATCCGTTATGTTAATTGGTTCAAATCTATTGACAATAGTTTAATGTAAGTAGGAATAGAAATGATTTTTCTTAATTTCATTATTGGTAAGTCGTTTTTCTCCCATTACCTGCCTGATTTCTCTAAGGAAATAAATGTACGTCAATGGATAATTCGACTCCCAATGCATTCCCTATGTTCATATTAATCATATTCTTGTTTGGATTTATAGAAATCAACGATCCGTAATGCAGTTTCATTTTAAACATCTATCCAGCGCGTCCTGTCTCATCTACGAAGCACCTCGTTCGATTCCCTGGCTATTTTCAAGTTCCAATGCAACCGGATGTACATGTCCTTTACTATTTGCCTACAAACTCGGTCAATTGGATGGACAATTGATTCCATGCATCCGCGCCCTGTCTGGCCATGAAGCAGCTCGGAAAATGGATGAATGTCATTTCACTCGAAAAGAACAGACATGCCATTCGACTCTTCAGTCTTTGACGGATCTGAATCCAAATTCAACAAGTTCATCGTCAGTGACAAATTACCTAGAAATTGATAATGCAATGGTTCGGCAAGTTTACGACATGAATTATTTATCCTGTTCATATAATTATTCTACATATTCATCGACATACTTTGTTCGCACACGGGTTTTCAACAATCTAGGTCTTGTAGTGGGTATTATTCTCGCAATCTTTATTATTTTATTAATTCTTGTTGTGGCTCTATTGAACGGTCTGCAGTATAAAATGAGAGAATACGATGAGACGTGGACATGGAGACGAAACATGTCCTGGACATCGTTACGGCGAACGATCTCACAAACATCGCTACGACGTTCAAGACGAGATTTACGTACGATAAATGGTAATGTAACAACGTCGAAATCGGAGAATCAACTTGATCGCCTACGGACCGATCAAGCTGAAAGTGACGAGCAAGACTTCGAGAATGAGTTCGTTCCTGGACAATGTTTACATACATCAATCCACGAGAATTTGAAGAAAATCAACCCATTATGAGACATTTTGTGATATTTCTATTTTGATTGTGTATTTGATCTCTTTTCATCTGAAATACATCGAAAATGAGATGCAATTATTTCACTGGACCTCGTTTCCGAATGAACACACATATAAAAAGAAAAAGAAATTAACCTTCACCCACCAACGAAGAATAGAAACTTGATTGATCGTCTTCCTTGTTCGTGCTCAATAGAATAATTATAGCAAGAAACACTCTCGAAAAATGAATAAATATTGTCTTTTTTCCAGTTGGTGTCAAACGAGAAATGTGTGTTTATGAGAAAGAAGATCTGATTGCAATGATGATGTCGAATGCATGAGAATGAGAAATTGAAAAGCATATCTCACTATATAATATCGCAAGGTGTTAAATTACAGAGAAGTGACAAGGCGGATCTCACGGTCAACATGAAATGTACACATTCTGATCGGATAAATATTTCTACTCGACTATCCTCTACTGGTCATTAGACTTTTATTGGATTAGATCATCTTTTCCCATTCGTATACATTTCGTCTTTCGAATGCAACGTACACAGATGTTTTCATCAAACGGATCGAATGTTATTTGATCTCTTCTTCTTCTTTTTTTTCGTTCTCACCTAGCTGACAATTAGAAATGATTGACAAGAAAATTTTCTCATTCGTTTCTCTTTCCCTCTATATATACATATCTTCGCTTGTTCATTTCAGAGAAAAAATATGATATTCGATCGACATCAATTCACCCATCGTCTATTTCATTCCATTCTTCACAATCATGATCTCTTCGATATCGAAATTCTTCTTCGCAAATCTTCGTCTCTTCGTCATATTAATCTCAATCGTTTGCAATACAATGGCCAGTCATTAGTTCATCTGTGTTGCTTGTACAATCGTCTTGATCTACTGAAACTGTTCGTGGAACATGGCGAATGTGATATTCTGAAGATGAACGCTGATGGTTGGCTGCCGATTCACATCGCTGTGCATCTTGGCCATATGAATATCGTTTTCTATTTGGTAGAGAGATTCAAAATTTAAAACTTTTATTTGGTGAAAAAGAAAAAAAAATCAATCAATTCTTTATCCCGGTAACGAAAAAAAAAAGTAATTATCTGTCTAAGACTTCGATGAGATTACACGAGCTAAGCAGTTAAGCGAGTGTATGTCATGAAGGAAAATCAGCTTAGCACAAAATTGTTCATTTCTATTTTAGATAAGGTGAACAGTCGAACGTCTTGTTGATATTCAACCAATCTTTATACACGTTCTTTGAAGCGAAGTGACAGTTTTCTCACCTCGTGTTCTTTTTTCCCATGTTCTATTGTGTAAATAAAAAATGAATCGATCACACGCTACGTGTGGCGGTACGTTAGTTTCCTTCTTTTTTAATCTATCTATATATCGAGAATAAAATAGTTTCGATCGCCAGAATTTTCAAAGTAGAGAAACTGCATCATGTTTTCTTTGCTCATAGCAGAGATAGACAAATCAAGTCACAAGTCACCTGACTTCAGACGTTTCGAAACCTATAACAACTTGACCTGACCTATTCTAAAGTAAGTCAGAAAACGACTTGACCTGACTTGATTTTTTTACGCATGAGCAACTTATAAATCAAGTCCCAAACTGTATGTAGATACACATATTCTATGCACTTCAGATTTTGTTCTAAAACTAACTTATACTAAAAAATTCTAAATCGGAAAAGAATTATGTCCGGCGCAAATAAATTGACGCTAAAAAGGTAAGATTTTCAAAGTCATGAGATAGCTTTTTGATTTTTCGGTAAAGCGCAGGTAATTAAAATCTTAACATTGGTTACAACTAACAATAGAATCTAGCGGGCATATCTTTCTGTTATTTGGTGTAGTTGTTTTTTCTTCAATTGATCTTTTTTGTCGCATGTGAGCGTGTTGAATACTTACTCCTTTTGCTTCACAGAATGAAAACACAACATTATAAATCTCCTCAAAAATAAACGAAATCCGATAAAATTAAATGAAGTACTAGTCTCCGTTGGTTTAAAGCCATTTTAATATATTCCAGGGCATAAATGATTGAATCTGACTTCAATTTGGTTGAATTTATCTCAAATCAGGAGATAACTTGACTTGACGCTTGTTCTTGAAAAACATTGCAAAACTGATTTTGAATTATCCATACCAATATCCATCTAAACAGTATAAGAGATTAGTTCGTGATTGTCTAAGGTTCTCATATAATCTACGAGGATTGTGGATACTGCTAAAATTGTTTCAATCACGATCAGTTACTAATTCGAATTCGATAAAGCACAGCAAAGCAAAGCAAATACTTTTTTCTTCTTACTGAATCAAATAGCCACATAAAAGAATGGTATGTTCTTATGCAAAGATGACACTGGTGTCTTGGATTCTTCGATTGTCTTTTCCCAGTATGCAAAAAAGCGAAGAGAAGTGAAACTTACACACATCCACATCCTCAAGATTTGTATCTAAAACAGTCTGATGATCAAAACTATGCTCATCTCATACACGATGACAAGATAATCTTCACATACAGGATATAAAAAGGAAAAGTCGACGTTTTGTTTATCCTATTTCAGCAAGAATAAATCGCTGTTTGTGTCACCATTGATAAAAATGGCGCGATAAGACGACGAGGTCATTCTCAGAACGCAAATGTGACAATATCTTGTACTCATATTTTGAGAAATGCGCGAGAGAAAAAAAAGAACCTGTTCTGTAAGGTTTTTTTTTTCAAAAACAATCGAGGTATGTAAAATCTCATGTGGGTTGTCTTCATTCGTTGCAATGCCGAAAATAAACAAGAAAGAACAGAAAGAAAAAAATAGTGTGTTTTTTTTCCTTTCGTAGCAAAAAAAAATCTATATTATACGAAGGCCATATGGTTAATTCTGCTTGTGTTATGAAGAAAAAACAAGAAAATACAGCTTTCTATACTTTTCTTTCATGTTCAGGTGGATTATAGAGCAACAGAACGCATTTATGACTACTTATTCATTTGTCCTGGACAGGTTTTCGTTATACAAATGAGTCCAGAGTTGAGCGAACATGATTCTATTGACATTAGTATCAGCAAAGGTAACCTACACGTAAGTTAAATTGATTTGCTTTGTTTTCTATAGTTGTCGAAGAATGAAATAGGTTGAGAAGACAGATGTTAATCGAAGTTTATCGTCATTGACGCCGACAATCAATTCGTTAGACAACATCTTACGAAAATGCGGTGATTTCGGTCGATTTCAACTGATACATTACTTTTTCATGAATTGGATATCGATGAGTTTTGGTATTACATCGTTCTATTATGTTTTCGGTGCCGCGGAAGCAGAGCATCGCTGTCGATTACCCCACCATATCTGGCCGAATGATACACAATATAATCCGGTTGACAAGATGCATGAAATGTATATCAACAAATATATCCCTAAGGATGTTTCGGGTCAGAAGTGGGAAAAGTGCGTACAATATTCAGCAGGAAACACGAATGACACACTTGTAAGTTGTTTGAATGGTTGGGTGTACGATCGTTCGGTGTTTGGATATACATTCACCGAGGAGGCCAATTTTGTTTGTGAATATCAAGCTCGAAGAAGTTGGCTAGCAGTGGCCATTCAAAGCAGCGGCTTTTCATTGTTAATCATCGGTTCTTTGGCAGATAAATATGGTCGAAAGAAGATGATTGTTATTATTAGTATTATTCTTTCTGTTACTTGTTTTTTAACTCAAATCATTCTTCGATGGATGTCAATCACAATCAAAATGAAGTAAGATCGATTGAGAACTACGGGTCAACAAATTGTCCTTGTTCAATTTAGATTTTTTATTCTACTACTCAATCAGTTTGCATCGGGATTAGTCACATCAAATTTCAGTTTAGTATTGATTTTAATGCTTGAATTGACCTCGTCGGCGTACACAAGCTTTGCAGGGAACCTGGCATTTATTTCGTATAGTATCGGTGAAGTTTTAGTGGCACTGTTCGCTTACCTAACGCGAGATTGGCAAGATTTGAAATGGGCCAGTCTGATCTTCATTGGCCTTGGTTTACCTTATCTGCATTTTATGCCTGAATCACCTTTGTATCTGTATGCCAAAGGGCAATATACGAAATTAGAGAGTCTACTTCGACGAATTGCAAGACAAAACGGTCGAACAGAAGCTGAATGGTACCCACATTATCAAGATCTATTAAATAGTCAACCGGTGAAACTAATTTCTCGACAAGATTCGATATTTCCTCAAATCACTTCTCCGTTACTCAGAAATCGAAAGATAATATTACAACTTCTGATCGTATGTTTAATGAGTTTAACACTACTGATGATTTATTTTCAAATTAGTTACGGTTTAGCTATGATGGATGTCTCGCCATATCTAGCGATTCTGATTGGTGCTGTATGTGAAGCATTTAGTTATATCACAAGTTCTATACTCATCTCAACTAAACTTGCGCGGAAAGGTTCATTCATATTTACAATGTGTTTAACTATTGTCTTCATTCTGTTAATACCGATTATGAAAGGCCGTAGTCCTATTATGACAATCTGTGTTGCTCTAGCAGGAAAATATTCAATATCAGCGGTCACGGCAATATCATGGATATATGTACCTGAAATATTTCCAACATCGATTCGCAGTACGGCCAATGGATTTTTCATTGCATTTAGTCGCATTGGTGCGATTTTAGCACCAGTGATTAGTACATTAATTCACAAGGAATATTTATCGTATACATTCTATGCTTCATCAATTTTCGCCGTTGTTGTTCTATTTTGTTCGCTATTTCTTCCTGAAACAAAAGATAAACCCATGGATTCTGAGCCAGAGCATCTAGTGAGCCGAAACGAGATTTAAAATCAGTTGTTTTCTGGGCTGTTGTTGTTGTTTTTTATACATAAAAGCTTTCACTCACACACAAATAAAATCGAAACAGAAGAGAAAGAAAAAAAAGCACACCTAATACGCTGTTCTTCTTTCACTTGGAGCAAAACAAACAGAAAAAGAAAACAAAATATGTTATACTACATCCATCAGTCTAGATGTAGTTGAGAGAGAGAGAGAGAAAAACAAGAGCGTAGAGAAAAAAACCAAGCACACAATGAAATCATCTGACTAAAAGAATACAAACACACATGCGCACACACCGAGATCTATTTCACCGTTCTTTTTTCTACTTCTCTGTTTTTAGAAATATATAAGGCCATAAGAAAGAACTTCTTTTTTTTCAAAGAAAAAACGAAAAAAACGGATAATACGTAGAAGAAAAGAAAACCTAGAATACTGAAGAGAAACTATGTTGCTTTGTTCGCGTTTGTTTGTTTTTTTTTATCAAAAACTAAATCACTGTCGATGGTTTGAAGAATAACAAAAACAAAACAGAAGAAAATATGGATTTATATACACAAGACAAGTTTCTTAACAGATAAAATGTTCTCATTACTTGGTTGAATCAATGTTCCGACTGCGCTTTACACTTGTCCAAGCATTGTTTGTGCGACGATGAACTTTTCGATGAGCACGATATGCTCTTTCAGATACGAATGTCTAAAGTCGAAATAGGAGGATACTTTCCACCCGATAGTGGTAAGATCTTACCTGTGAGCAATCATTTATATCACAGGTATATTGAGTTGTAATTGGACTATCACTGTTTAGAAATGAATTGTCATCATCCTAAAAGGAAAGACAAAATGAATGAATGTTGATAGAATGATGTTCTGCATACCTGACGATATTCGCTGAATGGTGAGCAGGATGATGTTTCATCATCGAGTTGGTGCTTGGTTTTCAACAATTGACATCGTTTACGTCGAGTCATTACCGAACTTCCTCCTGTTCCCAATAGCTTTCGAGTTGACACGCCCACTTTCGGCATGTAGTAAAATTCAATGCATTGTTTCACAGTTTTCGTTCCAACCTTTGTATTAGAATGAAAAAAATCAATTCCAAATGTGAAGGTTCAGTAGAACAATGATCTTATACCTCTCGGCTAACAAATCCAAAGTTTTTCTCTGATGTTTGAATTGCTCGCGTAAACGCATCGATTTCTTCATTTGTCCAATTATCACATTCGAGAAAACGATAATGATGTATAGGTCGACATTGTTTTATATCTTTAGCTGTTCCTTCAAGTAAACTAGCTAAAGTACGTTGTAAATCACCATTGTATTCATATAATAACATGTATACTAATTCCAGCGGGTATGATACGGGTGTATGACGTGGTGAAAATAAGAATGGATTCATTAGATTTAGTTGTTCGAATTTTTCTAAAGATTTCTCATCAAGAGAAGTTAATTCATACGGTGAAAATAATAATTCATCAACGACAGCTAGAATAGAACAAGAATGCTGTGGATATATTGGTAGTGATTAAATATATGGGATACAAACCTGTATTTTCACTTTCGTTATACGCTCGTAGTTTTGGTATTGCAGCTTGATAATCTCTGCCAATATTGATTTTCGGATCTGTGGAATCTTCTGCACTAGGTGTATATGGAAGAATGGGTGTTGTTGGTATTGATGGGGTATCTCCTGATGTGCCCGGTTGGGAAAAGACTCGATAGTAAAGGCCAGGACCTTTACGAAATGGACTCAACATCGGCGGTGGTGTATAGGGAGTTGTGGGAACAGTATTTAACAAAGGTTTTCCAGTATTGAGACTTAGCTGTCGTCGAAATTGCGATGGCCATTGAAATGAACTGGGCGTACTTTCGCGTTTTGATGGTGTTGGTGTTACTGTTGCTTCTTGTGCTGGTGGTGGTGGAAGAATGTTATCATAATTGAAATGAGTATGATTTGATGAAGACGACGAAGAACTTGCGCCTGTAGATGAAGGTGTACCGATAAAAAAACCGGACATCGCCTTTCTTGGCGGACTATCAACTTCGGGAACAATCGTAAGCACAGCCGGTTCTTCCTCCAAAATTGCTGATGGCTTATCGTCTTGTTTTTCTTGTTTAATCGCGTTTAGGTAGCGTTTCTTCGGTGCATTCACAGATGATGCTGGAGATGATGTCGCGGAAGAAGCTGATGATGATCCTGATCCTGATCGAGTCGCAGATGACGATTGCATACCGTTATTAATAACTGCACTGGTATTAATATTACTATTATTATATATTTGTATTGAAGATGGTGGTGAAGAATGACTAGCATTAACATTTGAATATGGAGATGTTACCGGGGTATTAATAAGTGAAGACGTTGCATTCGGTACTAAGAGAAACAGAGTTCAAAAGGAACAAATTCCCAGATGTTTACTTACTGGTTGACGAATTGCAACGGGAAGCTGCCGAAGATAGTACTGGTTGAGGTGGTGGTGGCGTGTAACGAGTAGATTCGTCTAGAAGTCTTGATGTTGAAGAATAGAGATCTTGATTGAAAGATTCCACTTTTTGACGGAGAATGTGTTGAAGTAAATTTGCTGGTAATGCATTTGCCGGCGATGAAGCAATGTGAAATTGAGCATGATTTGGTGGATGCTGTTGAGGAGAAGAGTGAATATATGTATATGGTGAAGATATATCATTTATCTAAAGAAAACGTCATGGATATGTAAGCGATGATGATCATGTGCTTTAACTTTCTAAATGATGGATCTACCTGTGCATTGCTAATATAGTTTTCTGACGGTGATGCGGAAGACGGTTTTCTCATTTTGCCATCATAGTGTTGCAACGGTGTCGGCACGTTTGTTAAGATTTGTGAATGGCCGATGGAATCAATTTGGGTCATTCCATTGTTAATGTTCATTCGAGAATGATCAAATCCATGTGCTGATAATGGACTTTGTTTTCGAGCGTGCTTTATTGCCGGTTGAACACTCATTGGATTTTTGATAATATATGTTGAAACTGATGGTGATGAAGTTGCAATTAGTGATGATGACATCGAGCGAGAGCGTGACGATGGTGTTCTATCGTACAGTTGCTGTGAAGGAACAGCTGAAAATAACGGTTGCTGTTGTTGTTGCTGATGATGGTGATGATGATGATGGTGTAGATGATGATGAAGATAAGGATCATCCCTCGGGAGGAACATCGTAACATCTTGTTCTTCTTTTTTAATCGATACTGAGGCTATAGGTGGATCAACACGTTTTCGTTTGGATGCTGTTGGAGCGCGTTTCTTTTTCTGTGCATTATCAGTTACAGTCGGTGGTGATTGTTTCTAAATTGAAGTTATCTCTAAATCTGTGAAGAAATTATCTTTCTTATAACATACTTCATTGAAACCACCATGTAAACGCATGTGCCCGTTGAGCGCCGCTCCTGATTTGAAGGTTTTCTTACAAATTTGACATTCTACGTACTTTTCTTCATCAAATCTAGAATAAAAACAATTTCGATCGGCTAAGTCTATCTCTACAACTTACGTATAAGTTGTCAACACTTTTCCTGCGGTCGATGATCGAATGTTGAACGATTGCTCGTTATCAACTAATGATCGTGGTGAATTACTATCAATTGAATCTATTGAAAATTCGCTATTAATCGTTAAATCTTTCGCTTTCACAAATGCTGTTTCTGGTAAGTAATTTTTATAGTCATCATGTCCACCTTCGTGTATGGCAGCTAAGATGTCTTGATGACTATTTTCAATATGTCGCTTCAGCGATCGAGCATCACAATATGTTCGATTGCAACCTGGCACACGACATTTGTGTGGTTTTTCTTCTTCATGTGTTAACATATGACCATGACTAAATGAGAAAGATAAAATACTTTGGAAGTTGGTGTTGTTTAAATAAATTTGCTTACAGATGATCAAGTCGTTTGAAACCTTTATTACATTTTGGACATTTATGTTTACGATCTTGACTGTGAGTTAATTTATGCTTTGCCAACGCACTTTTATTGGCAAACATCTAAGGGAAATCTATAGCATCGATACGAATGATAAAATGTGATTTTCTTACTTTGTTACAGTCTGGATGCGTACAAACATGACGATTTGGCTGTTGCAATGTCATTGCATTCGTATTTGTTGAATTATTACCGGGATCTAATGAAGACAGTTTCACATCATTTGATAATGGTGATGATGAAGCTGATCTTCGTTGCTCTTAAAACATCGAACGTTTACAATTTTCATCAGTAGGCTCGTGTTAAATTCTTACCAGAAGATGAAAACATCTGACTAAGAATTCTTGTTGATGGATTATGAGAACTGCTATTCGTCGAACTTTGGTTACTGTTGTCATCTTGAATTAAACTATTCGATGACAGCTTTGTTGCTCGTCCATCAGAATTTCTCAATAATGTTTGAGTTAGCTTGTCGTGATTGCCATCATCGATATCATTGTGTTGTCCGACTTTCAGATGTGAGTGTTCGACGTGATTAGAATCGAAATTGAAAAATGAGCGTTCACAGGACAGATTTGACGCGGAGCCTGGTACTTTCATGTTATTCGAAGACGTAGTGGTTAATTCGAAACCAGCACTTGGAATAGGACTAAATGTTTTTTGAAAATTATTTCCAATTGCTAGTTGATTATCTGGATGATCGTCCGACGCAAGTGGATTGGGTGGAGTTGTTAGTATATGCGATGCACTGCGAAGATACATCTGTGGTGAAGGTGTGCGTGGACCAGCTGGAGTTGTTGAAATCGCTTTGGGTTCGACGAGAGATTTATCTGGAGGATCGTCAAGTAGATCTTGTGAATTGGTATCGACATCAGCTAGAAAATATGTGCATATGCTTATTTTCTCTCTTACTCTACGACTACTATTATCTATGAAGAATATCCTCAAAAGAATGCCAGACAAAAACAGGCGATCTAGTCAGATGAAAGTTTTTATGGTGTTTCATGTTCATTGAATAGAAATAGAACTAGATATTTTTCCTTTTTCTTAAGACAATGAAAATAAGTTTCGAAATATTTGTTGATGATTAGTCCGCCTGCCAATTCGATGTTCAGTTTTTACAATTCCAATTAGAACAGTTGAATTTCGGACTGGATAGAGTGAGGAGTAAAACTCGATCTATTATTTACAGTCGACTGATTTTCAATAATCAATTACTCATCTGTTCTCTTTATTTCAGATAAAATGAATCATTCTTACCAACAAGAGCATCAATAGATGCAGACGGATCATCGTCGTCATCCAATGCCATCGATGCCGCGCTTTCATTCATACGTTTGACCAACAACGGACTGAGAACGGGATTAGACCATTGTTGTTGCTCTTGAAGTTGTACAGCTCGCAGACGATTGTTGGGTGCAGGAGTCGACGGTTGACTTGAATTGGGTGCTGGATGGCCATTGCTCGTCACATTACCCTGGAAGAAGAAGATCTATTTGCAAAACAGTGTCATTTATTGATTCTTACGTGTAAAGTTGAAGGCGGAAAATAAAAGTATTGACGATAATGATTCGGCGATGCCGGCAATGGAAATGTATGTGGTGTATGTTGATGCTGAGCATACGGATCGAGCATTTGTTGCTGTAGATGTTGTTGCTGTTGCTGTTGCTGTTGTTGTTGTGGTGGTGGTGGTTGTTGTTGGTGTTGGTACAATGGAATATTTGCCTGTTGCGGATGCGGATGATGTGAAGATATTTGCAAATGTTGTTGTGGATGAGGTTGATATTGAAATGATGCTGTGTACGGTTGAGATGATTGTTGAATATGTTGATGAGGATTATTCGATTGCTTTACGTAGCATATCGGTGCCGAATAGATTCCCGGATCATTCGATTGCTGATGATGATTTTGATCCAATATCGAGAGATCGATATTACTCGGTCGACTTGCTCGCCGAAGTGTGGAGATGGGCGGATAGTGGTACTGTTGTAGATTTTTTGTAGTAGATGAGGATGATGCTGTCATTGTTGATGATGACGATGATGGCGTCGACGTTGACATTGTTGTCGAATGCATAAAAAATAGACGGCTAGGATAAGACTAGAAAATCACTGTTCGCCAATGCATAGAACACAGGATAGAAAGAAAATTAAAAAAAAATAGAATCTAAAAACCGAAAAATATTGATTAGAATTTCGTGTTTTTGAAAAACCTCTTTTTTCTCTTTTATCGAAAGTTGTGTTCGTATCTGTGAAAGGAATGAATAATAAGAGAAAAAAATACCTTAGCAAGTAGGGTAGGAAAAAAGGAAAATGACGAATACATGTACGGAGGACATTAAAAAAAATAAAAGGAAAGACAAAAATATAGGTGTCGAAAAGGCGAAAAGATCAGAAACCTCTCGTAAACGATAGCCTAACATATGTTACCCACTAGCAAATCGATTTAAAAACTCGTAGTTTCGTCTTGTTTTCAGAAGAAGAAAAACGAAAAGTTTGGGAAAAAAGGAAAATCTTCTTCCCGAATAAAACAGTTTCGAAATTATAAATCAATAAATATCTGTCGGTGTTGATTGATTAGTTACTCTAGGCAATCTTTTGCATAAAAAATTTCTGTCGGCCATGATTCATGATTTATATGACGAATTAATGATGAAATTTCTGATAAAAAAAAAACAGCAGATTTCTGTCTGTTACATTTCAATGTTGAAGACATGTATACAACTGTACACTTATTATAGATGTCGCTCATTTTCACCTAAAATAAACGCTTGGAAATTCATGTAAAATGAACATTTCTCTCATTAAAACTAATCTTAACTTAAAAATTAAAATCTTCTCACTATTCTTTGAAAGTAGATGTCGTTGATGCAAAGTATCCGATGACCTGGTTTTTTTCCTGACTAGAACTATGCTACTACGCGAATTTCCTATTCATTCAGATCGGATTCTTCTATCTTAACTTGCTTAAAATAGACCTTAACAGATAATCCGTCGTTTACAAATGAGAAAACATCCAGGTGCGGCGGTTCCGATTACTCATTTCTAAATGAAAGGAAGAAGACTGGAGAGAACATTTTATTTGAAAGTAATGAGAGGAAAATTTAGCCTAGTTGTGTGAGGAAAGGAAATATTTGTACAAGTCTGAGGAAGATTTTCCGTTTGTTTTTAATGAAAATAAAAACTTGCTCGTTGCCAACTTGATTCCAGCACTCATTTTCTATATTAAGTTTGCCTCATCGTTAGCCTGGTCGATTCTTTCTCTCTCTCTCTCTCTCTTCTCGCGTTCTCAATTCAACGCTAAACACTTAGACGAGTGACAGGAAAAATAACAAAGAGTATTCTCAACTCTAGTAAACAAAGAACAGAAAAAGAAGAAGAAAGAAAGAAAAAAGTGCCGCGTAGAGGAATACAACATTAAGTTTCCAAATAATGACTCTAAATGATTCCACGTGCTCTTGTATTTGTATATATCATGTAGATGATAAAGGGCACGGTTTTTGTTTGCATGACAACACCGATCATAAGATCATTCCGTATTCATCCACAAATGAACTTGCGAAGAGAACTTTTGATGCAGGTGCCAGTCTGAGAGCGAACTCATCAATGTCAAGATTCTCATTGAAACTTTAGCATGTAACGTGTGGACTAATGAACTTTCGTCTAAGTTCATCGAAACCTTTCAATTGGTATTGACAAACATATATTCTCGAACAAAGCAATCTTTTTTTGTAAAAGAGTAATTTTCTGCTTCAATAAATATGTATATGAAATAAAGTATTATTATATATTGAATAATATATCTTGCTTAGTTGCCTTTTTCTCAGACTTACATCCCGATCTGAAATAATAATGAATAATAAATCTCGAAGAACATGAACGAAACATACGTTTTCTCCTAACGATTTCGTCAGACTAAAAGAAAATTAATTATTTATAGATTTTACCTGGATATGATAATAACCAGATGACATATTCAGACTGTTTTGTTCTAGTGTAAGTTTGTTATTACATATCGTCTTCATATAAATGAAAGAAGAAGAAAAAGCAGACATTATCATTGTCAACGAAGTGCTGCGCGATTAGCAAACCATGTTATTTCGTCGATGTACAAATTTGAAATATATTCTCTCGTTTATCAAGATTATAGTAGCTGAAGTTAGTCATGTTTGAAAAACTTTGTTCGCCGAAACAATATCTTCTCTCATAAAAGAAAAAAGTAGGCGCGTGGAATATGCGTCAGATTACTTTTTAATTACAAACTATGAACTATAAAAGATTTCTCTCTAATTGTAGATTAATGAGTGTTTACAAGTACGTCTTTTCCGAGAAAAAAAAAGTCTGTCGCGAGAAAAACCATGATTCCTCGAGATTGGTTTATATTCGACAGAATCAGCTCATTGTTACCTCGACATGATAATTTCCTTCCATTGAAGGTGATCATAATGGAAACGATTAGGATATCGTCGGTGACTCTGGCATCGATTGATATCCGCTTTTTCTTATTTTGCTATCTAATGGTTTAAAGAGTCGATAAGTTCAGCTCAGGGTTATCCACACAATCAAACCATTAAGTTTATGTTAATCCATCAGAGTACTAGCAGATTTGTGCGAGATTTTCTTGCATTGTGAAAGTAAACATAATCACTTTCATGGATCTTGTCAAAACAAAAGTTATGTCATAACCATAACGATCGATCTACTGCATAGCTGTAACTAATGCTCGGTTACGGTAGACCAAATAACACTTTTCTTAAATGAAATCGCATGAAACTGTTTCGTCATCGTATATATTCGTCATATGTATAAAAAAAAGGAAGAAATAAAACGCTCACACATGCACACAGAAGAAGAAAGAGAGAAGAGAAACACTACGGGAGTAAATCACTCGTCTGCAAAAGAAACATGTTGTGCTCGACTGTTCAGTCAGCAGAGAAAGAAAGAATAAACGAACGGACCTTACTTCTGTTATCCTAGTCCTCGACTAGTCTTAACGGAAAGAGAAGAATTTCGAGCAAGAATAAACGGTGAAGCTGAAAACGAAGAAATGTGATATGGTGGATTATTAACACAACATTTAAAGAAGGAATGATGAAAAGTTTTAATCATTTTTAGCATGTCCAATTACAGAACGCATGGCAGATTGTAAGCATTTCGAATAGACTGGTTGAAATCCCTAGAAGAAGAAGAAGAGGAAAAGCGAAGAACTTTATTCGAATTTCGTAATCCACAACTTACATTATTCCAAACAACATCGGCAAAATAGTCGATATATTCGCCAATTTCGGCATGTTCTCCCGAATATTTTGTGTACAACCAAACAAATAATAGAGCAAAACAAACCCAAAACGCGAACATGAATATAAAATTGATTCCGCCTAGCCAGAACGTATCGAGCAAACCGGCAATTAAGTAACATATAACCATCGAAGATATGAATGTTGTGGGTGTGCGGCTGAATGCAAAAACGTTTTTCGAGTCATTATGTTTTTTATAATTTGCTACAAAAAGGAAAATGTCTTCATCGAGAACCTAGTTATTTACAGTCTTTTCTTTTACCGCAAAGTTCAGCTATCTCATTTTCAAGTTCCGTAAGATAAGTCTGCGACATTTGTTCGCCACCCATTTTACGTGCACAACGAAATTTCTCCATCGCTTGACGACGAACTTCTTGATGAAGAACTTCTAATTGATTTGGATGTATATACGGTCGGTCGCCACCACAATGCTTTGAAGAAAAAATTTATCAATAGAAAAAGTGTTCTATTCAGACAAAGTTGTTACTTGTTCCATTGCACGAATGTAAAATTCTTTAGATGCTGATTTCGCAGCCAAATTATTCGCTTCAGCGGTTGCCTACAAGAGTGACGATCAAGAACGATGTTTAATTGTAAAGTTCGCTTACTTCTAACATAGCTTTTGGTGATGGTAAAACTCCTGAAGCAAATACGGCACAATAACTCTGAAAAGAGACATGTGATGAGAAGTGAATAGGTCAGCTGGAACGTACTCGAAAATATTCAAATAAATCTGTAGATGTGATCTGTTCTCCGTTGATTTCTTTAATGAAGTTTTCATTATCCAATCGAAAAAGTTCGGGAATAAGCACTTTTAATTGCTTCTTGAAATCGTCTTCGATATCTAGAGTATAGAATGAACGGTTGGAAAAAGGGTCGATCGTCTAATGTTTCTTCCAACCTGATAATCGTCCATCGAAATCTTTTCGATTGGTTACTTTGAGACCAGGATGTGGCATAAGAAAACAATTCACTTTGCGGAAACATTGACGTAAGCGTGAACGAACTAATTCCAAATCACGATGTTGATTTTCTCGAATCTGCATCAAACAAGTGGCGATTACAAAAACAAAACCGTCAACACTCGCTATATACTTTCAATCTATCAGAGAGAATGTCCTCTCCTCCTTCGAACCCATACGCTGATTCATATTCGAATTGCCAATCACGGACAAGGAAAGTCAATTGCTGCAAAAGGGAAAAAACGAATGTTTTCTTCAGGAAATTCTTCTGTGCGTTTCATACTTGAAAAGGCGATGTATGATATGCATCGATTGCCAAAACACCATATTCAGCGAAGAAGGACAAATGTTGTAGATTATCTTCTTGTAAATTATGCATAATATTGTACACAGTTACACTACTGACAAGTAATGTCAGTGCAAAAATAAATGCATTTTCGAAAACAGTTGAATTGGAATCAAATGTTCCTTGAGTATCCATGAGGAAAACAGCGATCTATAAACGAGACAAAAAAAGATCTGTTTCGAAAGATCGAAACTCAAATGTTTGTTTACTTCTTCTCCATTTGGTAATGATAAAAGGAATGGTTCACTCCACATCAGCATGCCTGTCGTGTGTCGTGTTGCACCACCACGCCAATCAAAACCTCGCAAAGGTTCATTTTCATTGCCGATCCAATCTTTGTGCTCCTGAAGACAGATGTTCGCATTCGCAAAGTAGAGAAAGAACAATTTACTTTTGCTCGTAGATAACGAAGAAAAAAATCTAGCATAAACGACTTTCCCTTACGGAAATCTCCAGCAATAGAAACAAGTCCAATCTAAGAGACAGTGAAACAAAACAAAAATAAACTTTTCTGAGTTCAGGAAAGAATTTTCGAACTTTTTTGCCTATCGCTCGTTTGTTGAACAGAATTTGTTTTAATTTCTTTTCATCAAGTACAAATTTATGATCTTCCGTTATCGAGACGATTTGCACGGGACCTGCTGACGATGTTTGCTCCATAATTAAATAATAAGTGATAAATCTATAAATAAATAAACGATTACAGCAACACGTGTACAGGTAGACTTTAACAAAATGTAGAAACGTATTAGTTTTTTTTTATCTTACAAAGTAAAAAAAAAGTAGGTAAAACACAGGCAGTCGAGTCCTGTGACTCATACAACCAATGGTATTCCTACCACAGATGACGTTAGAAGCGTCGAGTTTTCGAGAATTCTATCAATTGAGAAAAATGTTATTTTTATTTGGAACAATTATTTTTGAAAAAAGAAAAGCGAAATTATTTCACGTTGATTTCTAAGGATTCCACTACTCAAATCTCAATAAAGGTTCAAGCTAAGCAACAAAACTCGGCGTAGGAAATATTCAATCAACGATGATTACATTGCATTAGAATATCAGATCCTTTACAATGACTCAAGGCAAAAATCAACAAAGTAAGACCATTAACCTGAAGAGATTTTCTTTTCATAACTTATTAGATTCTTCACTTTTCTCATCTGAAAACAAACGAATCACTCTAGTGTATTGAAATTCGTGTTATTCTTTCCACGTAGAGCATCACTTGAGAACTAAGGAGTTTAAAATCAAAACATGTTTTCATTTGTCATCGTTTATGTTCAGCAACAAAAACAATCCATGACGCTGTTCGTGCAAACAATATCAAAGAAGTCGAATTATTCGTTAGTCGTGGTGCAAGTGTCAATGAAGTGGACGCACATTGCGAGGACAAATTTACACCGTTACATTGGGCGGCCTACTCAGGGAGTCTAGAGTGTATGCATTGGTTATTGTGGCAATCCGCTGATATGGATGCCCAAACACCGAAAGGATGGACACCCATTCATATTGCTTCGATTCGGGGTCATGAACCATGTGTGCAGGTGAGTTCAATCCGAATGGTGTATCATTTTCATTCAATAACAAGGTATAATTTTTGTAGGCTTTGATAAATAATAATGTAAATATCAATACGCGAGACCGTCGTAATCAAACAAGTCTTCATATGGCATGTGCACATGGAAACTCATTTGTTCTACATAGTTTATTGCGTGGAGGAGCAGTAAGAGTTGTTGTCGACGAAAAAAGTCTTTTGAAACGCATGTACGTGTTTGTAAGGATGTCAATCATCGAGATATCAACGGATGGCCACCGGCTTATACGGCTGCCTATCATGGAAGACTTGGTTGCTTGCAAATGTTAGTTAAGTGGGGTGCAAAATTAGATGAGGTCGACAACGAAGGAAATGCAGCTGGTGAGATCAAACAATAATGAAAGATATTCATTTCTACTGTTCTTTCTTTCCGTTTCTGTTCAGCTCATCTTTCAGCAATGGAAGGACATTTGCCGTGTTTGAAATTTATTATTTCAGTCACTCGAGACATTACATCGATCTTAGGTGCTCGAAACGATCAAGGTGATACGCCGAAATCTGTGGCTGAACAGTTTTTCAAAGAAGACTGTTGCAGATATTTGGATGCACTCGAATGGGAACAGGATCATCCTGAACAAGCAGAAAGTAGGATTGATGAAAACGAGAAGATGACTAATCATTAATAATGCTTGACGATTTTCAGATCTTGCTTTTCCAGCACATGTCGCAGCATTTAACGGTGACTTGGAACATGTCAAACTATTAGTCGAACAGGGTGTAGTAAATATCAACGAGCGAGATGAACGTGGTGCAACGTTAGCACATAAAGCAGCTGGCCAGGGACATCTGGAAATTCTTCGATGGCTGATGGAAATGGGTGCATTGATGGATACAACAACACAGAGTGGTGAAACGCCGAAAGACGTTGCAAGACGTTTTGGTCAATTAGCGTGTCTGAAGTTGCTCGGCGGCGGAGTAGCAGAAAATTTGGCAGGCAATGCGAATCATAATAAAAAAGATTCTTCAAAACGACGATTTTCGCCTAAGGAAGAAGAACGTGGCCGTGCAAAACAAAAGTTTGAAGAATTACAAAAACAGTTCGAAATAGCAAAGAAGAATTATCGACAGTTAGGTGGAGAATTCGAAGAAGACAATCAACGAGATACTGCCGAACAAGATTTGCAGAAGTATGTATATACAAACGAGGAATTCAATGGATACATCTGTTTCCTTTAGAAAAATTGAGGAACTTGATGCGCAATTAGCATTCGAACGAGTAAAACGAGAGAAACGTGAATCAGAATTAGACGAATGTCGTCGTGAAATTGCCCGTCTTATCAATGAATTACGAGCAATGGAAGCGAATAAACATCATGCACGAGTAAGATGTTCTATCGATGACAGATGATGAACATATAATCGCTCTTCTCCTTTCAGAATCGACCATCGAGTGAATGTCGTCAACAGCGAACTAAAAAGTCCAGTTCGATCTATACCAAACAATCACGACGAGTAGAAAAAGAAACAGGACTTCCTTTTATGCGTAAAAGTTCTCTCAATTCTTAAGAGAATGATTCTTTGTATTCTATTTGCAATATAGCTGAAATATATTAAACAGTTGCTCCTTAGGGAGTTGAATATTCTTCTTAAATAATTTCTGTTGCATACGCTGAACCCTTGAAAATGTATTTTTCTGCTGCTATGTATATTTACGAGCATGATAACATTCTTCAGAATGAAATTCGAACCCATACGAACTAATACATGGCGCATAATGAACATTTGATCGATTTGGGTAAATCTAGTGCTGATCGCTCGATATGTAGCGTCTTCTTCAGTGGAAGAAGGAAGATAAACTACGGACGAACTTTTATTGGAGCGGAGAAAAGAGTAAAGAACCAATGAATGTCTTCGTTATGAGATTCGACTGCTCTACTCCGTTTGTACTCTAAAAGTTATATTATCTACAAAATAATTACAAAGATTATTAGTTCATGTTAAGAATTCTCTCTTCTCGTCCATTGCTTCTCAATTCATTGATCAAAAATACACGTCAATTAGCTGGTATGAAAGAGACACATCAAATTTCAGGCACCAAGCTTGTTTTCTTTAGTATCATATCGTCCACTATCCGCCGAAACATTACCGATTCCACATGATATTGACGAAGACCATCATCATCATCATCGATATCTTATAGCTGCTCCACACTATGAACTACTCGAAGGTTGGAGGAGTCAATTCTTTGATGCTAAACGTGTTTTTTGTAGTACTAGATCATCGTTCATTGCAACTACGATCGTCTCGTCAACCTCGATCACCTTCTTCATCGGTCGATCAATCTACGCGGTTGAGGTCGAATGTGTACCGTAAAAAACAAAATAATGCAAATACTCAATCCAACGTACCAAATGATGAACAGGTATGTCAAAGCAATTCATCTACATCCATTTGGTACATCCATATGTTTAATTTTACAGCCAATTGAGCTGGCACGACCGAAGCCGAGTAAATACAAAGAGAAAAAGAAGAAAAAAACAGCTGAATCTCAATCACTTCCAACTCCACCGGATCGCGTGGTAGACATTAGTGAAAAACTACATCTTGTCTCTTCTCCTATTGATAATCCAATACTGTCTACGAGTTTACCCGATGAGGCCGCAGCTGCCGAAGAAGAGCTCGAAGATTCTCAATTCAATGAAACATTACTTCCACCATCTGTTGAAGAATTGACATTCAATGACGATGATAAAACATTGAATGACCTGTTGACTAGTCTCCATTCAACTAAAGTCCGTCGAATGCATAAATATACCGATCAACAATTAACCTTCATGCATAAACATAACGAATTTAATCGAATGTTACAATCGTATGTCGATGTTTCAATACACAATGGCAAAGTATGTTTGATTTCCTCCGCTTCTCTTAACGAATTTGTATCGTTTGTTTTAGTTGAATAAAGTTCGCCGATTCCTCGAGGAATTATTAGTTGACCAAGAACGAAGACAGTCAATGAAGCGGCTATCATGGCGTTATGTCTCGAATATTCATGTCTATAACACATTTTTTCTTGCGTATGCTGAGAAGGTTTGTGCTCATTTTTCTTTCGATTCATTAGTAAACATTGTCATTTTCAGGGTAATCTTCCTGCATTACAAAGTTTATTCGAGAAAATGCGTAAATATCAAGTCAAACCAACTCTAGAATCGTATGCAGCTGTTTTAAGTTGTCTTGGAGGCATGGATTTGTTTGACTCGAGCATTGCTCGACGAACCATATTAGACTTGGAAAGACAAGTACGATCAACAAGACTAGAAATAAGTGTGTGTGATGTACCAGAGGTTTTTCTCATTTAGGGCTTTCGCGTTGTTGACATATTCAGTCTGGACTGTCTCAATCATGAACATATGCAAAAGATTTTGAAAGTGTTGAAGACATTGCGACCCGATTTCGATATTCCAGTACGGTCATCAGGTATTAATAGTAAATTGTTGAATGATATCTATCTGCAACAACCACCGCCAGCCGTAAGTTTCTCAGTGTGACTTTCAATAGATAATCATCTTTTGACTTCTCCAGGATAAAGAATCAGCGGCATCGGTGGATCCTTGGTGGAAAGATATCGATTTCACCAAGAAATTAGACGATCAGATAAATATGGAAATCAATCAAAAAGCCAAAATTCAATCGGTTAATATAGAAAAACCTGTCGATGAAAAACTGGTTCGTTCTGTTTCGTAAAAGACGTTTAAAAATCTCTTATATATTTTTAGTCGACACGACGTAACGAATTCTTAGCCAATATTGAACACCAACTAACGGTTGGCTTTCTCACCGAACTGGAAATATTAAAACGAAGTGTACAGAAGGACTTTGAACTGAACATAATTCCATTTCTCGAAATCTATGAGACACGAGAATATATCGATCTAATGTTAAAAGTAAATCTTATACATAAATGCTAACACCGATCGAAATTTGTCTGTTTGCTTTTTTAGGAATTGAATCGACATTTTTATTCATCAGATTTCTATTCGTTACCATATAACAGTCTTTGTATTGCGCTTGGAAAACGTTTGTATTTGAAGTATTTGTGTACAGTTCGACAGAAGAATGGCTTCATCGATAAATTACGTTCGAGTTATGAGGAATATATGAAATATGTTGTAACCGACGAACGATTTCGTGTGCATGAAAGAAAAAAATGGAACGAAATTGTCAAAGAAAATTTCGCTTATATGGTAGGAATGATTTGTAAATCGAGTTGGCAATAGAAGAATATGTGATTTGATTATAATTCAGGATCGTACGGATCGACCATGGGTATACATACAAATATTACAAATAGGTGAATTTCTCTACAATGTGATGCTGAAACATATGAAGATTAATGTACCATTGCTTACTACGCAACGTCAGACAGGAAATAAAAAGTAGAGAAATCTTTCTTCTTCTGGTGATAACGCTTTTCATTCGTGTTTTAGAAATGCGAATGCAGTTCTGCATGTTGTCTATCGCACTCCGGGAAATTTCAATGAAAAACAAATCAAGGTATGTCAATCGAATCTGTACTACATGTATTCAAGCATTTTTTCAATCAAGGTTCATCCATCGGTTATCAACTTCTTTTCGAATATTCCTCAAACAGAACTGGAATTCGATTGTACTGAATTGCCATGTTTCGTTCCTCCATTACCTTGGTTGTCTTGTACAACAGGTGGCTACTTATTAAATCAAACAGATTTTGTTCGGTTACCTACATCAGCTGATGAACAAGAAGCTCGTCTCCGATCTTTGCCTATTGAGAAAATCGGTGGTTTACTTGATTCGATCAACGTTCTCAATAGTTGTCCGTGGAAGATCAACACAAATGTACTGGATCTATTGATTGATGTCTTCCAACGTGGTGGTAGCCGGCAGTTATCTGTTCCTGTTTCTGTCGACAATGCTCAACTTCCCAAGTCACTTCCATTAGAGAAAGTTCGTCTAAAACGTTTCCTGAGATCTCTTTTTGTTTATTTCTAATATAGGGCTTGTCAATTGGCGAACGTAAACGACGTGAAGCGATTTTAAGTCAGAACAAAAAACTCAAGTCAGAAATCTTCTCTTTGTGGTGCTACGAACTTTATCGTTTATCAATTGCTAATCATGTATACGATAAATACGAACAATCAAATCAAGACTCGAATGTTTTTCTTTGATAACTTTAGTTTCGCAATGATGTCTTTTGGTTTCCACACAATCTCGACTTTCGCGGTCGAGTTTATCCTGTACCACCCCATTTCAACCACTTGGGCAGTGACGTGGCACGTAGTATTATTCTTTTTGCCGAAGGCAAACCGTTAGGTCCCGAAGGCCTTCGTCGATTGAAAATTCATGTAATCAACTTAACTGATCTGAAGAAAAAAGCATCGATTGACGAACGTGCTCGATACGCTGATGAGATCATAGATGATATTCTTGATTCCGCAGATCGACCATTAACTGTACGTTAAAACCTACGTCCAATAGGAATGGAATTTAATATTTTCTTTAGGGCCGTCAATGGTGGGCAAAATCGGAAGAACCGTGGCAAACACTCGCCTGTTGTATAGAAATAGCGCGTGCAATTCGGTCGCCAGATCACACGAAATATATTTCACACTTTCCTGTTCATCAAGTATAATTTGAAAAAGACTGAATTATGTCTTATTGTTGTTTAATTGAAATCAGGATGGTTCATGTAATGTTTTACAACATTACGCAGCAATGGGTCTCGATGATGTTGGCGCTGCATCTGTCAATCTGAAACCAAGTCCTTTACCGCAAGATGTTTATAGTGTTGTTGTCGATCAAGTTGAAAAGGAACGTCAACAGGATGCTGAAAACGGTGTTCAGATAGCCAAAGTTCTCGAAGGTTTTGTTAAACGTAAAGTTATCAAACAAACAATCATGACGACAAACTATGGTGTAACTTTATATGGTGCACGACAACAAATCAGTCGACAACTGCGAGATATCGATGATTTTCCCAAGGAATCCGTTGCGGAAGCGAGCAGCTATCTAGCTCAGAAAACTTTCTATAGTTTACGAGAGTTATTTCGAGAAACACGAAAGATTCAGGTAGATACATTTGAAATAGCGAACATCAAATTTTTGTTTTTTGTTTTTAGGATTGGTTCAATGATTGCGCAGGGTTAATATCACGCATACGAGGCTCAGCAGTGGAATGGAATACACCTTTAAATTTACCCGTCGTTCAACCCTATTACCGAGAAATGAGAATCCGAGTACGTTGTCTCATTATATACCTGTTACTCTCATCTGTACTTTGTTTCTGTAGCAAAAAGGCAAAGATATTTATGATAACTTCAGTAGTTTTGCGTAAGTTTTTCGTCTTATTAAATATAATTTCATCGTGTGATATACTTTCTCTCTCTTTAGCCGACCAAATCATATCAAACAAAAGAATGCTTTCCCGCCCAATTATGTGCATTCACTCGATTCGACCCACATGATGTTAACAGCTTTGCAGTGTGCTCGAAATGGTATTACATTTGTTTCCGTTCATGACTCGTTTTGGACTCATGCGTGCGATGTGGATCGGCTCGGTCAATATTGCCGCGAGCAATTTATTGCTTTACATAGAGAACCCTTACTGGAAATTCTCTCGCGAGATTTCCTATCAAAATATGAATTCAAATCGAGGTAAATCTCAAGATTCTCGCTCGAAAATATTGCTTTTCTTTACTTCGTTGTCTCTAGCGAATACACGCACGGTGATGAAAGTCAAAAACAAACAATGAAACTACTTAATGATACGCTTCGACGTGTTCCACAACGTGGCACATTTGAGTTAGATAGTGTAATTGATTCGACTTATTTTTTCAGTTAAATAAAATAGAAAAAATACTATGCATTTTTCGATTGACTTCGTGAGGATGGACGCGAACGACGATGCGGTGTCGGAGTTGATGCTGACGATGACTTTCCATCAACTCTGGCCATATGTTTAATCAGATCAACAACGCGATGACTGTAACCATATTCGTTATCGTACCATGCGATCAGCTTAACAAATTTATCATTGAGAGATATACCTGCTTTTGCATCGAAAATTGACGAATAAGTACTACCGATGAAGTCGGATGACACAACTTCATCTTCCGTATAGCTCAAAATTGCTTTCAGTTCATTGGTATTGCAGGCAGTCTTGATCGTATTGCAAATATCTTCGTATTTAGCCTAAGGAAAGAGCGTAACTTCTCATGATTGAACGATATAAATTATTTTACAGGTTTTTCAAGACGACAAGTTAAGTCAACGACTGATACATCAGGCGTGGGCACACGAAACGACATACCAGTCAATTTTCCATTTAAAGATGGAATCACTTTCGTGACCTGAATACAATTCGAAAGAGAAAAGAGTGAAACGATCGAAATATTCTTGATAGGCGACGCACTGCTTTAGCAGCACCTGTGCTTGATGGAATAATATTCTGTGCAGCGCCTCGACCGCCACGCCAATCCTGAAAAAGAATCGAAACAACTCATTCTTTTCAGCTTTCACTTTTCATCGAACTTTATTCGATGGACCATCCACTGTTTTTTGTGTTGCCGTGTACGAATGTACAGTGGTCATAAGACCTTCCACAATTCCATATTTCTCATGAATAACTTTCGCTAATGGAGCTAAACAATTCGTTGTGCACGAAGCATTGGAAACAATCGTGTCTTTGCTTGTGTATTTATCTTCGTTGACTCCCATAACATACATAGGCGCATCAGCCGATGGCGCAGTAATGACAACTTTCTTTGCACCACCTTGAATATGTGCTTGACATTTGTCAATAGTTGTAAACACACCGGTCGATTCCACGATGTAATCGATACCCATTTGTCCCCAGGGTATCTTCGAAGGTTCTTTTCTATAGAGAAAAACCAAAGACGAGAACGATCGAAATGCAAAATTTATATTGCAAATCAAACTCGGTATAAACAGCGATAGGTTTGCCATCGACGATGAACTTATTATCTTTATGTGACAAATCACCTTTGAAGTGTCCATGAGTTGAGTCGTATTTGAACATGTAGACCATGTAATCCACCGGAATGAACGGATCTTGACAAAAAATTCTCTTTCAAATACATGAAGGGCACACATCGTTTACCATTGATAGCGACTACTTTCACACCTTTTTCTAAGGCGCACCGAAGCACCAGACGACCAATGCGACCGAATCCGTTGATGCCAATTTTTATTTCAGACATAATCAGAAGATGTGTTGTCGTTTTTTTTTGTCAAATAAAAAATCAAAATTTTGAATAAGGGCGCCTTCGGAGTTCACATGAGTCTGATCGATTTTGATAACTATCATTTTATTCAACGGTTAATGTGAAATTTCACCATATGATTTGCTCATTAACATTGACGGGTTTAATCGTACATGTTTCACGAATGTTACCACTGAGAGAATCTCGTTTTTTTCTGATCTCTAAAGTGCATAATTTATTAAAGTTTTGCGTTTTTGGTTTTCATCAACAAAAAAGAAAAAGAGAATTGAAAAAAGAAAGAAGACAAAAGAGAAATGTACGAATCACCACTGTGTGGCTAGACATGTTGTTTGATTCCAATGAAAATTATGTTCATTACTGAGAGGTAATGTTGATTGATCGTCATCTTTGTGATGATGATCAATTTCATTCAATGCTGCCGATGCTGATGTACCATGTTGAATACTACTAACATAATCATAGTGCTTTTCAACCATTCCGTTTGTTGTTGATGACGACGACGAAGATGGCATGGCTGTTAAGTCCGTATAGTGTGGTGTGTTGGTGCTATTACTATTACTACTACTTGTAGTTGCGTTATTGTTGTTGTTAGTGTTAGTATTATTATTCAAATTATGTAATAAATTTTCATTTGCTATTGATGACATGGATGATTGATCAATAGTTGAATGTTCAACATCGTTTGATGATTGAGTATAATATGATGAATAGAGTTCAGATTCAATAGCTGGTCGGAGTAGACCGTATTGTTGTTGATCGCCGTAATTATTATTTGAATCGTAAGACGAATAGGTTTGTTGAGTATCGAAGTGGTGTTGATGTGTCGAGAAATGTATTTGCGAGTCGGAATTATAAACATTTGATGTTTCTTGAGAGTAAGTATTCATATAATGATAATTATTAAATTGCTGTTGAATTGGAGGAGGAGCTGGAAGGGGTGGAGGAGGAGGACAGTATTGCTGAAGAGTATGATGATGATGGTGATGATGGTGATTGTAAGATGCAAGGTGATGAGGATGATGATGAGGTGATGATAAGAAATTATTATTATCACTCATCATTGGACCAGCCAGTCCAGCAGTGTTGTATTGCTTCTGTTGATGTTGAACTGACGATTGAATTTGCATGGAATTCGGATCGAATAGTAGACTATTTTGACCGAGAATATGATGCATATTTGGAGTCTAAGATGCAAATTGAATAAGAAAGATTTTTTTGACAGAAAAATGATCGACTTACTTGGTGTGAAACTTGTACCGCTCGATAGGCAGCGAGCTGTTTGAGATATTCTTTCTTGGCTGCAGCTGCTTTGCGTTTGTATTGTTCTTTTAATTCAGGCTCGATATTTTCCCATCTGTGAGCAACGACTTTGGAAATTTCTCTGAAATCGAAAGGACAACTATCGACTCTTGAACATGTTAATTATTTCATTTACCCGAATGATGGATTGGCCAATTTCTTTTTGATTTCATTCTGCGTGTCACGAAAGAAAAGTGCATACGGAGAAACCGGTCTGAGAAAAAAAGCACGGCACGATATTACGCATGTGTAATGTAGATTTCGTTTGCTTACTTTTGAGGTTCATTAGGATCTTTACGTTTCTTTTTCGGTTGTTTCTTCTTCTTGACTATTTTCGCTGAGACAGTGACATTCTAGACAAAGAAGAGCAATGAATCGAATTAAACTTATCGTTTTTCATCTCTGTCAAGATACATACCACTCCTGTCCGATTGAGTGAAGGTGGAGGCGTTGAAGTTTCATCTGCGTCACTTGTCGACGACTGCTGTGGGGAGAGAGAAGGATTCTCATGTGGATATTGTAAATGATGTTGTACAGAGTGTTGATGCACATGCGCTGATTGAGTATACAATTCTAAAATACGAAAATAACTACTATACATATATCAGATATACTTTAATCATTATTTTGACTATCGAAAATAACGCAATAGTTCTTCTCTAATCTACTCGAAACTCTTTTTTCGCTACTTGGAACTTACCTGTATCATGTTGTGGCATGGAGTTATCATTTGCGTACATATGTTGCATTCTATTCCAAAAGATTCGATGTGTCGTGCCTTTAACGGTATTAACCAACGGTTGTTGAAGAGAATTTGATGGAAGGTTCTTTCGCTGAACGATCTAGGTGAGAAAAAAAAAGGAAAATGTCTTTCTTTTTTCATCTTCTTCTTCATCATCATCTTAGCGATTGCTTGAAAAAGTCAGAGCAATCATTTACCAGCTGTTCTTCAAACTCTCACTCTCAATTACAGCTAATTTCATTATTTAAAAGACTTTCATATAACCGCCCTTCGATGAAACGAACAACGATTATCACGTCAGGGAGTCTATACGATCAATAAGACACGCACTGAAATGAAGATCTTTTCGTTTCTTCTTGTTTGAAATTGATGATGGTGAATTGTTCTTACGTAAATCATGTAAAATAAATCGGTTGAGACACATCGCAAAAAGAAGAAAAAAAGAAAACGATGAGTCTCCTCTTATTAGCGTAAGAAATGTTCACTCAACGGCGACGACGACGACGATAAGGAGGGGAAAGGGTCACTTTTTCTTCTTTTTCCTCGGCTATGCTCCATTGAACATTGATATGACCAGATCGAAAAACAAAGATATTCGTGTGAGACGACAGAAAAGAAAAAAGAAACACCAATAGATATGTGTTATTGTTGTTAAATAATCAATTAAATTCATAAATGAAAAAAGTAGGTGAGGAGGGTCAGAAAAAGATTTCATAATACATTAGTTGTTACGCAAAGACAAAACGTTGTTCATTAGTGAAAGGAGAAAAAGAAGTTCTTATTTACCATGTTAACGTTTAGCAATCAGATGAACAAAATGACAAATCAATCATCGTACAAGCCAGATTCACACATTGGCTAATCTCTTTTTTTTTCGCACTAACATTTATTGGAAAATATTCTCATGCGCCAATCAGAATCGACCAGACGGAAGAGAAAAACAGAAAGCATATCCATTGGTTGGAACTCTTTTTCCTTAACATCGCAGAAGAGTAATGAACCTCGAAAGACATTTTCGAAGACCGAACAAACACTTTCATAAAGTGCCATGTCTGCTATTTTCAAATTAATAACTACTGAAGTGAAATCATGTTGAAGGAAAAGATATAACTTAATTCTCCTGTCGTATCCTCAATTCAACTTTGCCATCGTTCTCCTCTACATTACTCGTGCAATTAGGACGAATCCTACATACGCGTGATTTTTGGGAGGAGTTTTGTTTAAACAGATTAATAGGATCGAATAAACCCTTCTCTACAACTGATCTTTCAACAGTTGACCTCGATTCAATCCGAACAGAATCATTTCTAATATTTCGATACTGTTGGAACTAAGTATGTTGAAATTCTGAACAAACAAATGTCAATATCGTAATCTTCTACTACTGATCTGTTTAATAGGATTGTTGTTTTCTATTGACATCATTCTCATCTCTATCTGCCAGATCTTCGATAACTAAATGTTAAAATAATTGATCTCAATCTTCTGACAGATACGATTTATTTTCTAGTTCATTATCAACTGTTCCGCCTCTCTCCCCTTCGAATGCATCTATACACAGACAATTTCCCTATTCAATTATCAGACAAACAAATCAGGAAAGTGTAAACAGTATTGATAATTCATTCGTCGACGTTAACTAAGCGAACATAACAAGTCGAATGAAATATGAAAAGTGTTATACTCGATTAGAAAAGACGCTTCTTCATCCGATTCGTTAAGTTTCTAATGACATCTTCACACCGAAAATTTTCTTCTACAATACAAAAAAAAGAAGTCAAATCAAATTAATCCAATCAAATGGAATTAATCGAATGTGAGTGCCATCATCGATCTTTTCGATTTATTTGTTCGAACATGCATAAACACGTATCTTCACTTATCCGATGAACAATATTAGACAATTGAGTAACAGTGAGTTTTCTTTTCGACGACTTAACACAAACAAATCAAAAGTCAACAAAAACTGCTGAGTCAATCTCTAAGAAAACAATTCGAGTTAATTCACATCCGCCTAAGTTTACTTTCTTACACTATCACGAAAGATTTGAAAGAAAAAAAAAACTTTTATCATTGACTAAAACAACTTACTGCAAATCGATATCGTTGGTCATCATATATCCGAGCGCGGTTCTTTGTTCGCTGCTGACATTATCAAAAGCTCAAATTCTCTTAGTGATAGTTGCTCTCAATTTAATGATAATATGATCTCGATTCCAGTCATATAAAGAGAATGAAATCGCTTAGCGAAAAGGAGTGAAGTCCAAGGGATCATGAATATATTGTATAACAATCATGATGTGTTTACTAGCGACACCAGACGAGAAAGAAAATGCTTGGCTATAATCGCAATTATCCTCATCGTATCGATCACGTCGTCTGAAGTTTGACTGACATACATTTATAGTAAACAATATTCTAACAGTGTACTAAGCGATTTGGTTGTGCACGAATGGCGACTGATCATAATTCGAAGTGTGTTGATTGTCAAACGATGGCTGAATTAATAGCACATCAACGACATGCTCATGGACTATGCGATGGTTTTCCTACAATTTTATACTATGCACGAGAAATGAAGAATTTAGCAGAAGAAATTCGATCTTGCAGTAAAGAACATCTGATTGAATTGGGTGCAATTGATTGGCAAGAATTTCCTGATCGTTGGCCAAATATATTTATTCGAAATTCCGAACAGATTCGTAATAGTCATGTTTTATTTCTTGCATCTCTTCATAATCCACAGACAATTTTCGAACAAATCTCCCTCCTCTACCATATTCCGAAATATCTCTGTCGATCATTGAAAGTTCTCTTACCTTATTTTCCGACTGGCACTATGGAACGTATTCAAATTCAAGGCGAAATTGCAACAGCTTATTCTCTTGCCCAAATGCTTTCCGCGATCCCATTGACACGTACAGGTCCATGCGAAGTTGTTATACTGGACGTACATGCATTACAGAATCAATTTTATTTTTCAACAAATATCATTGTCCGTTTGGAGTCGACAGTAGATTTACTCTTGGATCAATTGAAGGCGCGAGCCGATCAAAATGAAAAGTACGCTATCGTTTTTCCCGATGATGGCGCACATAAACGATTCGGACAAATGTTTGATGACAAGATCTTTCCGAAATTGATCTGCAGTAAAATTCGAGAAGGTGATAAGCGAAAAACAACGATCAAAGAAGGTAAGAATTGTTTATTCTACATTTCAAAACCGTCAGACGAAACGAACGGTTGTTTTTAGGTAATCCGGAAGGTTATCATTGCATGATTGTCGATGATTTAGTGCAATCAGGTGGAACAATTATTGAATGTGCCCATGCACTTTTACAAAAGGGTGCTGTTAATGTTTCTGCCTTTGTTGGCCATGGAATCTTTCCAAATGACAGCTGGAAGAAATTCGTTCATTCGGAAAATCCCAAAGTTCGTTTCCATACGTTTTATGTCACCAATACATATCCGAATACGGAAGTTTTAATCGATAAACCACCATTTAAAGTTTTATCTATTGCCCAACTTTTATGTAATATCTCTCTTACTTAAATAAAATCAGTTTTTACATCGATCAACGAGCATGAAGTTTAAAAAAAGTTGTGTATGTTTAAGAAAGAAATTTCAATATCAGAAAAACAAATAAATGAAGTGAAAAGCGAATCATCAATAAAATATAATGTCTAGCATAAAACTTTGTGAATACGTTGTAAAGGTTCGACGGGTGTTGAACTAACGTGAAGAGATGCATTAAGGTCTTCTAAATATTTCGGATAACGTCGAAAAGCATCGTCATTAGCATATAAGATTGCCCAAGGTTCATTTTCTTGAACAGGATCACCGATATGTTTCAACAGACGAATGCCAATTGAAAAATCAATTTTATCCGTTGATTTCAATCGACCACCGCCTAAAATCAAATATAAATTCTTTATGTAGAACTTTTTGAAAAAAGAATCTGATCAAAATACCAAGACGTTGAACGATAGTGCCAAGTTTAAACGAATCAATCGATTGAATAAAACCTGTTTGCAAAGCGATAGCTTGATGTTGTACATGTGCTAATTTTAAAACTGAACTAACGACTGTTTCGTCATCACCAACTAATTGATCAGCAATCGTCTTCGATACGCCTTGTCCAATGATCATTTCATGGAACTTTTTCAACGCTGTACCGTTCTTGAATGTTTCACGAATAAGTTCCCGGCCTTGTTCAATAGTTTCGGCTTTATTTACAAGTACAAGAAGTCGGCCACCTAGATAGACATGATTATCGATCGATTTCCTTGTTCAAACTCATATTTACCTTGTTCACAAACAAGTTCTTCTAAATCTTTCGAATGGCCCGTTTTGTATTTCATTAAATCGAGTGATTCATGAATTTCAATCGCATTGCCAATGCAGAATCCAATGGGATTATTCATTTCGGTAATGTAACAACATGTTTTCATGCCTAACATTTCCGATACTTTAAAAAGCCATTCGGCTAACACCTCAGCTTGTTCAGCTGTTTTCATGAATGCAGATGCACCGTATTTAACATCAAGAACTAATGCATCGAGATCTTCAATAGATTTTTTTGATAAAATCGACGAAACTATAAGAGCATTATTGGGTACGGTTGCTGTCACGTCACGTATAGCATACAGGTATCGATCAGCTGGATTGAGTTTAAGTGATTGAGAAAAGATTCCACAACCAACTGTTGAAATTTGCTCGAGAATTTTTTCATCGGTCAATTGTGTTTGATAGCCCGGCATTGACTCAAGTTTATCCAATGTGCCACCAGTAATGCCTAGACCTCTTCCGGCCATCATGGGTACCTTTAGATCACATGCTGCAAGTGCCGGTGCCAATGGAATGCTAATTTTATCGCCGATACCACCTGTTGAATGTTTGTCGACAACACAACCCCGATAGTGTGGCCATTTTAATCGTTCGCCACTGTCTCGCATACTCATTGTTAACGAACAAATTTCTTTTTCGCTCATACCTCTAATAAAGATTGCCATCAGCATAGCTCCAACATGACAGTCTTGGACATCACCATTCGAAAGTCCACTGATAAATTGTTTGATTTCATCAGGCTGAAGTTCATGTCCATCGCGTTTTTTTGCAATCAAGTCTGGAATCGATGCATGATGGTTATTCACATTCATTGTCTGTGCTACGCTAGTCATTTGTAAAAGATGTGATTGTTCGTACGTGTATGTTTATCTTATCGTATGAAAAAACAAAAGAAGAATGAAAACAAATAAAATGAATATATATACACACCCCCCTTATGTCTAATGTGAAATGATCCAGTGATCGATAAGAACGTACGTATCATGTTTTGATTTTCTAACAACAAAAACACATTTCGTATATGTAAAGATTACGGACAAACCCAAGCTGATTCTATTTGTACTAAGAGGGCTGAATTTTATATTCGAATGTATTGATGCAGAGTAGACAATACCAGGAAATGTTTCTGATTTCCTCTAGACAATAGTCCATGAAATTACTCGTTTAAATGTTCGCATAGACAAAAAAGCAAACATAAACATGTTTAATAAAGAATCACTCAAGTGAAACATTGTATCGTAGCTGTCGCAATGTAGTACGATATGGGTAGTAATACGATTCAAAAACAAAACGATAGACAAAACAAATACTGTTTCTTCCTTTATCAAAATTGCATTCACGTATCACTATCATAAGTATTGATAAATCATAATAGATGCATAATGTAAATAATTTGTTTTTGATTCACAAGTGCCTGTAAAGTATGTGTACAAAATGGACGTTTTTCTCTGGTCGATCATCGTCTGTTTATCTTATCATTACTGAAAAAAGAACAAAAGCAGCCTGTATTCTGATAAAAGATTTGATAAATGATAGAGTTGCAAAGTACAAAAAGAAAGAGGAAGAGTACAATTATTGCTTGTTACCTTTTGTAAATTTGGTTGTCGGGAGCCGGGACCCGGTGGCATATTATCGTAGACACCATACTACTTGTAACTGATCTTCTCCACAAAAATACACTGTTATGATGAGGATGCGAGAAAGTGCGAACAATAATGTGCTCATTGATCTGCAAATAAATGTTCCGATTGATCGCGTCATCTTTTTCTTATCTTGCTGAACTGCTCAGGATTTTCCATCTATCGAAAGTCATTTGATACTTCTTGACAATGTCACTTCTTTTTTCTAAAAAGAAGAATAATCGACCGATAACGTTGCCTTCGAAATTTTGATATTTATTCATTGAATTTAATCTTCGGTTAGAATGTTATCATAAATGAGTAAGTCGACGGTTGAATTCGACAATTTGGAAGATGATGAGGGTTTATTTCAATCAAGAGTGCTGCGCAAGATCCGCTCAGTAGGAATGATTGAATACTCGAATTCAAGTTTCGAATTTGATCCTACTGTACATACCTATGCCATAGCCCCTAGTAGTTCATTGAAAAAAGCACGTAGACTTCGGTCGTCTATTAATTTTTGTCTCCGTTTGCATAACATGTGTGGTTATGATTTTCGTCTAGCTTTTAGTTGGGACCTCTTCGCTAATGTCATGACAGGTGTAGTTGCACCAACAGTGTTTGTTAAAGATAATAGTCTAGTAAAAGATCGTACCTTTTAGTGTGTTTTAATAATCATCGTTCTCAAGAACATGTAGAGAAAAGTCTACACGATCTTATGACAAATCTTCGACCGACTTCTGTTATTCCAAATGGCGTCCTATCGTAATTTTATTCGTCGTATCAGATATTCTAATTATCTTCGTGTTTTTATTTATCTATTTCATTGCTCATTTAAGAATAGTACTGCCAATGATCAAATGATACGAACTCAATTTTTGGTTTCTCTATCGAAATTGATTTTTTTTCTGCAAAAGATCATTTTGAGATCTCCTCTATGTTTTTTTAGTTATTAAAGTCCCTCGATTTTGCTTGTGTTGTGCTCAACTAACCAGTTTCATTCACGTATCACTATCATGACTGTCACGAAAGGACAACAGATGAATCACAAAAAATAAGTGATTTCTTTCGACCATTGCACCTACAAAGTATGTGAACAAGATGGATGCTTTTTTTCTGATCGATGACCGAATAAACAATAACGTTGAAAAAAATTCTTAAAGTGAAATACTCAAAACACATTGAATTTATTTATACGTATATGAAATGCTTACAATATTTTATCGAGAAGAAAAAAAGGGAAGAACACGATCACTGTTTGTTATCTTTCATAAATCTTATCGTCGGGAACTAATCATACCACGATCCGGAGGCATTGCTGTGGCCGCCACGAGATGCTGACGTGGGGTAGTTATTATCATAGGCACCATTGTTTGTAACTGATTTTCTAGAAAAATACATTGTTATGACACGGAAATTCAGACTTATTCAAACGTACCGTTTCTTTTTACGTTTATCAACAACGAGCGCACTAAAATGGAGGAGAAAAAAGTTCAAGTGACACGAAAATGATAGAGCTATGTCTTTACTTTGCGTCTAACTCCAAATGTTCTTCATCCTTCATCGCATTTTCTATTGCTGCTTGTATCATTGGAGAAACCATCGGACCTTCATAATCACGAGTGGTTCGACTAGGAAAGTCTAATTGAAGCAGAATGATGTTTTCGTTCTAAATAGACAAGGAACCGAGTGAACACAAAAGAAATTTCCTATTCACAGAATCTAACTTTGAAACGAGTGATTTCATAATTATCATTCGATTGAGTATATTGAAGCGGTGAGCGACATTGTGCACTGGCTGAAACAGGTCGAGCAACCATTTGATCCCTACGATCGAAGGAAAACGAATTATTTCGTGTTTTGCAAAGTTCAAAACGTCTTACGCTTGTTTAGTTAGTTCTTTTAATGTCCAACAACTTTTATTGTCATCATATTGTACTCGTTTCAACAAACGTTCACGTTCATCTTGAGGAACGAAATTTTCGATGACCAATTGGAACAATTTTGCTTGTTTTTGTATTTCGCGTTGTTCTTCTTCGAGTTCTTCTCGAGCAGATTGATGCTTATCAATAATCTCTTGTTTTCTCGATTCTAGTTTCTTTAATGCTTTCAGTAGTTTATCGCGTTTGCTACGTTTATCTTCAACTTCATCTTTCGTGCTTCGATAGTTTTCATTTGCTGATTGTTGGTTTTGTTCGTGCTGTTCTAATTGTTGTTGAATTTCTCGATTACGACGTTCTGCTTCAGCAATCAAACGTCTAAATCACAGTAGATTCGAATATCAATTTCAATAAATGTGAAAGTTTATCGAACTTTTTTCGTCGTATAGCTTCTTCTTGTTCGCTGGTATGCTCAACAATATCTTTACCGCCCGAAATTAATTTTGATTCCATTTCTTGAATCTTTCGTTGCATTTGACGACGCTCTTCTAGTTCACGCTCGATAGCCTTCTTTTGTTCTTCAAGTTCTTTACCTAACGCTTCGCGTTCGGCTTCTACAACAAATTTCTCATAGTTAAACGAAAAATAACAATTCAGCTAACCGTTGATATTCTTCTTCTGCATGATGGATCGTTTTTCTTCGTTTAATTTATCTTGTTGTTCCTTTAAATAAAGTTCTGCGTCTTTCTCATCACCTTCGTCACCGTCACCACCCTCTTCACCATTTCGATTTCGACCACGGTGTGACTTGCGACCACCTTTGCCTTTTCCTTGCAATTGTCCCTTCAATCGAGCGATCTCTTCTTGGAATTTTCGTAATAGAGCATCTTTTGGATCTTCATTAATACGCGGTTGATTTTTGATGTTCTTCGCTCGATTAGCATATCTAATACCAGAGGAGAAAAGTAAAAACATGCATTTTCGTCAAGAAATTCTTACCGCAGGGTTGTCAGTGACTCTTCATAGTTATAATCAGCCGGTCCGAGCGTAGCAATCATAATCGTTTTTGAATTTCCACCAAGTGAATCTATAAAAACATTCGTAGCTAACTCTGTCGTTTCGATTGTAATTCGTATATTTACTTTGTAATAGACGAGTCAGTTTGGAATCACGATACGGCACATGAGAGTTACCATCAACAAGAGCAGAAATAACATTACCAAGAACAGAGAGGGATAAATTAATATTCGTTGCTTCTTTGAAACGGTCGCCCTAGATCAATGGGAAATGAATTCGAATGTATGGGCGGATTTTATTCGATCCTTACCGTAGAACCGGTTTTGGCTTGCCGTTCACTACCAGCCAGATCGACAAGATTCAGTTTCCCAACACGAATATGTGCTTTACCGTCTGCACCGATCTGAAGGAGATTATCTCGACATGTTCTTGCTTGACCATTAAAGCAAAGATCTTACTTCACTACTTTCGACTGTAATGACAAAAATTGCATGTGATCGGGAACTATGTTCATTCATATTCGTTGCTCTAATTGAATTTAATGAATTCGTATAGTTCTTGCGAATAGAACATTCGCCTTACCCAGTGGAACGATTCAGATTTCCGGTATTCATCACATGTTCGATTTCTTGAGTATTTTTCGTAATAAATGAACTGAGATCATGTACATGTACACCCTCTTTTGGGTGTTCTTGTAATTGCAAGCGTTTATTCTGATCTTTTGAAAGAAGATCACGAATACTTTCCTGAAATAATGGCCTTTGCGTATTTTTTCAAAGATGCAGTTTGTTTGATCAACTTACGTTGTATATTTCGAGATACGATGCTCGAACAAGAAATTGCCTTGACGTTGTATGCGCGATGGCATCGAAAATATGTGCAAATGAGGACGGAATGATCCCACGTAATTCCGGTTTCGAACGAATACCTAAACAAATGTATTTTTCACTACCGCACGTCGATATTTCACTTTACCTTCCATAGTAAACGTTTTTCCCGTGCCGGTTTGTCCGTAAGCGAAAATCGTACCATTGAAACCTTCCATAACAGAATCAACCAACGTTCGAGCCGTTTGTTCATAAACATTTTTTTGTTCAGAGCTAAATTTCACAAAATAGAATAATGAATCGAAGACGACAAAACTCGTTTCATTACTTCCAATCGTACACTGCATCAAAATAGAAGTTGTGTGAATCATCACCACTACCTCTTCCTGCGGATCCGTCAGTCATCGGACGTCGAATGGATACTTGCCGACGTTGACCATCGATCTCCACTACTCTAAAATCGATACAGATAATGTGAACAGTTCATTTAGAATAAGGAGATTTAACGAAACCTTTCACAGCCCTTCTCTTGTTCTTTTTCATTCATCGGACGACATCGGACAACAACCCGAACAGATTCATCTTTTCCTGCTTTACTTGACGCAGTAGATGGACGAGGCTAGAAAACCGAAAATGACGTCATAGGAAAGACTTAGTTGGAAACAATGTGTTTACCATTTTCGCGTCGAAATTAAAATAGAACTGTTAGACTTCTCTTGCTTCCTGACAACCAAATTTCGCGTCACTAGGCAAATTTCATTGGTTTAATATCAGCCAATCATATGTTATCTGATGAAATCATCGACGTCAAGTACTATGGAATTGAAAAGTAAATTAGCAACGTCAAATTTTTAGTTTTCTTCTCTGATGGAATTTGCGAAGTCATCAGAGAAATGACAACATACACCAATCAAAACAGTACGCTGAGTCACTCTGATTCGTATTCGCATGCGAAATCCGAATAGTAGTTTCCTATCTATTTACTTTATTTCATCATTTCCACATTGATTTGCGTACCAAAGATGATGTAACGGAGTTGTAATCAATATATAAGGATTCAGTTGATAGCATCAACATCAATTTGATATATTTCAATTTTTATCTAGATGGCTACAAGCGGTTCTGATCAACCCAATAACGAAAATACAAATCCCACGGTCGGCGAAAGTAATCAACAAGCTGCAACCGGTGAAGGACCTCCAAAAACAGCGAAACAACTGGCAAAGGAAGCAGAAAAGGCTGAAAAATTAAGAAAATTCGAAGAAAAGCAAAAGGCAAAAGAGAAAGCTGAAGAAGAAGTATATTTACTATTACATCAATTCAAATTTTCTCTTTAAAATAATTTTGCTTATAGAAAAAAATGAAAGAGCAAGCTGGTGGAGGTGCCAAAGCAAAAGTTGTTGTTCCCGACATCACCGAATATACATCTCCAACCGGTGTTGGCGAAAAAAAAGGTAGCAAAAACACTGAGTAATCACTTTTCATACATGCTCGTTCTCTTACTCCCTAGATATCCATTGCGAATTACCCAAGGCCTACAGCCCCAAATATGTCGAAGCAGCGTGGTACGACTGGTGGGAACAACAAGGTTTCTTCCGTCCGGAGTACTATGATGAGCATCCACCATCGAATATTTCAACACCGCGAAAATCGTTTACTATGGTTATTCCGCCACCTAATGTCACCGGATATCTTCATTTAGGTCATGCAATTATGTGCACCTTAGAAGATACGATCGCCCGTTGGCATCGCATGTGTGGTGAAACAGTCCTATGGGTTCCTGGATGTGATCATGCTGGTATTGCCACACAAGTTGTCGTCGAGAAGAAGCTCATGCGTGAAAGAAAGATCACTCGGCATGATTTAGGACGAGAGAAGTTTTTGGAAGAAGTCTGGAAATGGAAAAATGAAAAAGGTCAGTTCAATTGTTCTCCGTACTCAAATTCGTTTCGTAGATTAAATATTTTCGCTACAGGTGATCATATTTACGAGCAAATCAAAGCTTTGGGTTCATCGTGTGACTGGTCTCGAAAAGTATTTACTATGGACAAAGGTATGTCCTATGCTGTCGAAGAAGCATTCATTCGTATGCATGAAAAGAAATTAATCTATCGTTCAACACGGCTGGTTAATTGGTCATGCACACTCAAGTCGGCTATATCAGATATTGAAGTATTTCAAAAGCTGAGTTCATTGAATTCTTATAACTGAAAATTCTATTTTGACTAGGTCGAAAAAACAGAATTGAAAGGTAGAACCTTAATCCGTGTTCCTGGTTACGAAGAACCAGTTGAATTTGGTGTCTTAACGTATTTCGCATACCCCGTTGAAAACTCAAGTAATTCATAACTATCCGATATCGAAGACTATTACTGTTTTCTGTTCCCATAATTTTGTAGAAGAAGAAATCGTTGTTGCCACGACACGTTTGGAAACGATGCTTGGTGATACCGCCGTTGTTGTCCATCCGGATGATGATCGTTATAAAAGTTTACATGGTAAATTTGTTCAACATCCATTTTTACCGCGGCGCATACCAATCCTCGCTGATACCATGGTTGATCCTTCTTTTGGTTCTGGTGCAGTTAAAGTTACCCCAGCACATGATCCAAATGATTTCGATTGTGGTCGTCGTCTCAATTTACAGTTCATTACATGCATCAACGACGATGGTTCGATGTCAGCTGAATGCGGTCCCTATGCGGGCAAGCCACGTTTCGAAGTTCGACGTCAATTGTTGAACGACTTGAAAGAACGTGGTCTTTATCGTGACTCGAAAGAAAATGAAATGATTCTTCCCATCTGTAGTCGAAGTAAAGATATTATCGAACCATTATTGAAACCACAATGGTATGTCAATTGCAAGAAGATGGCTGAACGTTCGATTGAAGCTGTTCGAACGAAAGAATTGAAAATTTTACCAAATATTTTCGAACCTGTTTGGTATCGCTGGCTAGAAGATATTCGTGATTGGTGTATATCGCGACAATTATGGTGGGGTCATCGCATACCATCTTACTTTGTTAGTTCACCTGATATCGAACCAGGAAGTGAAACTGATGATAAATATTGGGTTAGTGCACATTCGCGAGATGAAGCACTTGACAAAGCAGTACAGAGATTCAATGTTTCGAAAGACAAAATTCAATTGCAACAAGGTAAAATCGATATTTTCTTTTCACGACGAATATAAAATTTTGTAATCTTTTGAATAGATGAAGATGTTCTCGATACGTGGTTTTCATCCGGTCTCTTTCCATTTTCATCCTTTGGTTGGCCTATGGAAACTGACGATCTCAAACGATTCTTTCCAACAACTTTACTCGAAACTGGCCATGATATTCTCTTCTTCTGGGTTGCACGTATGGTCATGATGTCATTAGAATTAACCGATCGTTTGCCATTTACCGAAATTTATCTCCATGCCATCATTCGTGATGCACATGGTCGTAAAATGTCAAAGACACTGGGTAACGTCATTGATCCACTCGATGTCATTAATGGTATCACATTGGAAAAACTTCAAGAGCAATTGAAAACTTCAAATCTTGATCCGAAGGAATATGAACGAGCAAAACAAGGCCAACAAGATGATTACCCGAAAGGCATACCCGAATGTGGTACTGATGCATTACGGTTTACATTGTGTTCATATGCCAACCAAGGTAATTAATACACGATTTCATGTTAATGGATTACCTTTTGGAATGAATCTAGGTCGAGATATAAACTTGGACGTTTTACGTGTCGAAGGTTATCGACGTTTCTGTAATAAACTCTGGAATGCCATTCGATTTGCCATGTCAAAGAACTTGGATATCAACAATGAGAACTGTTTTCAACCACCTGCCGAATTTAAAGTAAATCAACATGTTATCCGTAGAAATCCGATTCAATTTGATTGTTTTCTAGTTAACTGGTTATGAAAAACCATGCGATTTATGGATTATAAGTCGTTTGAGTTACGCAATTGAACAATGCGAAACCGGCTTCGAAAATTATCTCTTTCCACAAATCACCACCGCCATCTACAACTTTTGGCTCTATGAATTATGTGATGTCTACATTGAATACGTTAAAAAAGATCTCTACGCCAAGGAACCAGATCCACACAGACAAGAAACAATTAAATTGATCTTGTACACTTGCTTGGATAATGGCTTGAGATTGTTGGCACCAATTATGCCTTATGTCTCGGAAGAACTTTACCAACGATTGCCCAAACCGAATGGAGGAAAGGATGCACCACCAAGTCTTTGCGTTACACCTTATCCAAAATCGAGTCAAGTAAAAGAAATTCTTTTAGCAACATTTCCTTGAAAGTTTATTTCGACTGTTTAGTTCGGTCAATATCGTAATAAGGATGTCGAGACAAATGTCGCAAAAGTCTACGATTCGATCAACAAAATTCGTTCGTATCGATCGGCAAATAAAATTGTTTCCAAACAAAAGGATAATCGTAAGTTTTCATAGAACAAAGCCCAAAGAAAAACTCCATTTCTCTAACTTTAGTTTACATTCGCGCTGAACCTTCCACGGTTGCATTGTTTGATGAATACGCTGATTTGATTCAACCGCTTGCTAACATTGATACAATTCAAATGCTCAAAGAGGATCCATCAAGCGCCGAGAATACCTATACGAACATCGCTACAACATCGGATTATACGTTTTATTTTCGTTCAAACTGAACGTTCATTTTGAGTTTGTTGTTATCCGTATAGTTGTTATCAGAAGTTTATTTATTGAAACATTTCATTTCATCAAAGAATCGATGACAAGAAAAGGACAAGAACTTATCTTTTAGATTAATATCATGAGTTTAGATGAAGAGGATACTTCCCATTCTCTTTCCCAAAAAGCTAGTCATGCTGTAAATGATGCGTCGCAGCTAAATGAAGAACAACTGAGTAAATATGAAGTGTGGAAAACTCAACCAGGCATGGCACAGATTAAACTCCAGTATGTTGTTTTGAATAATCGTTAAGTAATTCATAGAAATTGAACGATCTCTTTTTACAAGGTATATTGATTTCGATCATGAAGTTCGATTAAAAGTCGAACATTTAAGTGAGACGGATAAGAAATTAGTTGATGAAGCAAACACGGAAGCAAATGATACGGTAGAACCAAAGAAAAAGAAATTCAAAGTAAGCCACGGCCTGTATCATCATGTAGAGCTCACTGCACGTTCAAAATTTTCTTTCAGGGTCAAAACCGTAAGCATCTAGAAATCAATGCAAGATCATCCTCGAATTACAACGACCATCGCTTGTGTTTCTTTGTCATCCGCGGCGGGCTAGAGAATTGCCCGTACCAATCAAAGTGCAAACATGAACACGATCTCGCCAGTTATCTTTCTCGACGACCGGCAGATCTTTCTTCGAACTGTTACATGTTTGATACATACGGGAAATGTGCATTTGGTATAATATGTCGTTTTGGTCAATCTCATATTGATCCTCTCACTGGAAAAAATTTGGTTGTCCCCAGACCGAATCAAACTTATGTCGAGTCATTGAATAAATATCCTCCGATGTTGAAACATTTATTACGAAGGAAAAAGTATAATTATACACTATCTGATCGATTAGTACGAATAGCAAATAAGCAGATCACAAAAGCGAATGTTGCGAAACGAAACAACCCATCGGCAGGTGAAGCAGAGACAACCAACGAACAGCATCATGATGAACATGATGTCGGTGAAAAAGAAGACCGATCTTTGGTGGATATCTATTATTCGGCTCTTCAAACTAATACCAATCAAAATCAAGCTGAAGTGAATATTGATGACTCATTGGAATGAATATATTACATTCTTTTAAACATTTTTAGACAAACGAAAATCAACAACAGAAGGAAGCTGATGGAAACGATGATGAGCAAGAGCAACAAACTTCACGACCTGTTCCCTATCGAACTCTTGGAACAATAACTGATGCTGACATGATTCGTTTGAAACCTCGTGAAAAAGTTCGAATTGACTTCAATCGTCGTCTCTATCTTGCTCCTTTGACTACTGTTGGCAATTTGCCATTCCGTCGTATATGTAAGGAATATGGTTGCGAAATCACTTGTGGAGAAATGGCAATGACTACATCATTACTTCAAGGACAGCAATCCGAATTTGCTCTCTTACGGCGTCATCCATCGGAGACGATCTTCGGTGTTCAATTATGCGGTTCATTTGTTGATACAATGACACGAACGGTTCAAATGCTAGAAGAAAATTTTGATTTTGACTTCATCGATATTAACTGCGCATGTCCAATCGATCTTGTCTACAAGAAGGGTGCTGGATGTGCAATAACACGTCGAACAATTGATTTTGAACGCATCTGTCGCTCGATCTCATGTATATCAACACATCCGATTACAATTAAATTACGCACAGGAATTCTAACATCAGAAAACAATGCTCATGAAATAATCTCACTAGCTAAATCGTGGAAATCTGAACATGACGAAAATCATGTTGTTGACTTGTTCACTTTGCATGGTCGATCAAAAGAAATGCGTTATTCGAAAAATGCCGATTGGAACTATGTGAATCAATGTGCTCAAGTAGCTAATCCGATTCCGTTGTACGGTGTTGGAGACATCTATTCATTCGAGGACTATTACCAACGACTGAATGAAACCAGTGTTAGTGGTTGTATGATTGCACGTGGTGCATTGATTAAACCATGGTTATTCACCGAAATTCAAGAGCAACGTACTTGGGACATATCGGCGAGTGAACGCTTTGATATGCTGAAACGATATACAAATTATGGTCTAGAGCACTGGGGTTCGGACCAAGCAGGTGTAGAGAAAACACGACGATTCTTACTGGAATGGATTTCATTTCTTTATCGTTATATACCTGTCGGTCTATTAGAACGCTTACCACATCGATTAAACGAACGACCACCGTACTTCTTTGGACGAAATGATCTTGGTAAGCAAAGCAATAGCATTCTTTGAATGATTTTGAAAATGTTTTATCAATGTTCTATAGAAACCTTAATGGCTTCGAAACTCTGCTCGGACTGGGTGAAATTAACCGAACTTTTGTTAGGCAAAGTTGCTCCGGAATTTCAATTCTTACCAAAGCATAAAGCGAATGCTTATGGTTAAAAACATTACAGTATCAATTTTGATATTCTTCGTTTTGTGTGATATTAATTCCGCTATTACTGTTATTAAAAAATAAAAGCCTTCAATATCCGCTGATATCGATATTACATGATAATCGCCCAGTTCGATCGCGTTTCTCTTTCGTTCTAGATTTGTAAATTCTCCACGTGGTAGACAAAAGCGACATCTATTAAAATAGTATTTTTCGAATAATTCCGCCAGTATTAACCAATCTTTAGTAAACTAGAAAGAATGCCTATTCATTACAATCAATCTTTTATTCAAATCTAGTCTTTCATTTTATCTCATTTCGTGAGATGTTTTCTTGAACAATAACCATCTTAAATGACAACCGAACGCATTTCTCCAATACTTTCTCAGACCATATCGAAGCCTTATCATCGGCGTCAGAAAGCGAAGAAAAACAGTGATAATGTTTCTCCAACAAATCCAACTGACTGGAGTAAGTATTCTCTTCAGGTTCAACTCGTCATTCAAAACGCATTGCTTTTGCTTGTACAGCTATACGCTTTTGTATTGTTGGTTCGGCATGTTCAAATCAACAGTTATTAGCTGCACTTGAAGATCGGTATGTCTACGAATGTATCAATGACGAACGACAAGCCATTCGAACACTAGCTGAAACGAAAGCATTATTAGCTCAACGTCAATTACGTATTTACATAGTTGATTCGTTTGACGATTGTATCTTTCAATATATCAAAGAAAATGAAGATATTTATACCATTAGTTCCGAACTTGTGCTATCATGTGCAGAGAGAGAAATCGTAAGAAATTTTCACTTTAAAAAAAACAGAACTGAAAGTATCGTTACTTCTCCAAGGATATTCCTGTTCCAAGAAGAAATCGGCCTTTGTATTGTCAACATTTATCATCAGCTGTAATATGCTTTGTGGGAATTCGCAGAGATACACATGTAAAATAATGCGAAAACAATGTTTCGATGAAACTGACTCTACTATCTAATTTAGACGGAATTCAGTGATTATGTTCATTATCTTGGTGGATCGGTTCGAAAGGATTACAGCGATCAAGTAACTCATGTCATCTCTCATGCCAATATCGGTGAAAAGTATCTGGTAAGTTAATTTCGAGTTCAACAATTAGGTATTTCAAAAGTATTGTGGTAGACTGCTTTTAATATGGAACGAAGTGAGATTTTAACCGAAGACTGGCTATTACATTGCTGGAGCCAGCGAGATAATCGACAATTTGATCCGTTTGATGCCGAATTTCTTCGAATGCATCGTGCTAAGCCACTGCACAATCTTAATTTGTTCTTTTTTGGTTTTAACAATGAAAATGAATTACAACATCTACATAGTTTGACTCAAGAGAATGGTAAGTAACTTTTGTTGTGCAAACATCTCATGTAGATCATTTGTCTATCGAGGTGGATTTGTCACTAATGAAATAAATGAAGCAACACATGTCGTCGTTTCGGACACCAATCTATTTATATCTACCTTTCCATCTTACACACGGAGACATCGTCAATATACCGTTCATGTGCAGGTAAATTTAATTGTCGACGAATAGTACACAGTTTTTCAAATCTGATCTTCTATCTAGTGGTTTTGGGAATGTTTATGTCTAATGGGCAAAGCTGATGAATCTATGTATGCAGTGAATCTAACGAATAATCAAACGACGACAACGACACCAGATTCATCGCTGTTGTTACTTTCACCATCGACACACGGTGATAGTCCCTTACTGGATACTTCATTGAACACGACTGTTAAACGAAAACGTCGTCATAAACATTCTTATATAGCAGATCAAATTGATATTACACCGAATTCCAAACGTTTTAACAATAGCATCAATGAAAATGACGAGGAATGTCTTCTAGGTAATATAGCAAACGATGACCGAGAGCCTTTCTTGCAAAATTATACTCTTGTAGAAAAGCCACAGCCGAGTATGAAGAAAGACAACAAACAATTGATTGGTATGGAGTTGCGAGAGACCGAACGAAACTACGTAACCATGTTATCCAACATCATTCGAGTAAAGTCTCATTTGCGCTGACATTCAATCATCGAACTTTGATTCGATTTCTTCTAGATTTTCAAAAACGAAATGGAAAAAGATGATCGTCGAAACGGTCCTATTCTCACTAAAGTAGAAAGTACCCAAATCTTTGGAAATATTGAAGAAATCTATCATCTCCATCTGTCCATCGCTGAACAACTTGATCATGCTATCAATGAAGATGAATGTATTGGCTCAGTATTCTTAGCCAATGTATGTAACAACGTGACTTTTCTATAACGAATTACCATTTTCGTTTTTCAGTCAATAGAACTCTTACGTGTTTATCAACCCTATACCAAGTTCTATGATAAAACGATCGAAGCGATTCATACACTGGAAAAGACCAATTCCCGATTTTATGCATATCTCAAAGTAATCCGCAAGATCCTCTTCGTCTGTATCAATAAGACGTTTTCTTTATGTGTGAATAGATTTGTGAACATAAATCCGAATTAGGCAAACAACATCTAGCTGATCTGATGATTCGACCGATCCAACGTCTACCCAGTATTTTGTTATTATTAGAACGTTTGCTCAAATATACATCAGTAACGCATGTGGATTATCAGTTGTTGATCAACTCATTGGATAAGTTACGTGAAATTGCAAAGAAGCTTAACGAAGAACGTGGAAAAACAGAAAAGCATCTATCCATGTTCAATATCGTCAATAGTATCGATAACTGTCCAGTAAGCTTGTGCAAAAAAAGCATTGAGTCTATAACTTTTCAGTTTCGTTTGTAGCCCGAACTACTGGCGGCACATCGTGATTACATCGAAAAATTTCAAGTCATCGAACTTTCACAAGAACTGACAACGACACGAACACAGCTCATTTTGTTTCTATTTTCTGATTGTCTCGAGGTTAGTATTTCATTCTATCACAACACAATATTTATCTTCAATTTTAGCTAACTAAACTACGTGTGAATACATGGAAAACGCCCGGTATGAAACCTTCCAAATCATACAAACACGTTGCATTGATTCCTCTGAGTGATATTCGAAGTTTATACGACATCACTCCAACGGGATTAACATTAGATGGTAAACTAATCGAACTATTTTCACGCGAAATCAATCCATCATTTTCTTTTTTTTTTTGTAAAGAAACTGAACAATTTGGAATACTTTGTTCCATCGATGGTCAAACACGTCAACTGATATTTCGTATCATTAATGGCAATACGAGTAGCAATAGTAGTGCTAGCAATAATCATTCCAAATCCTTTTTTACTGATTCAATGTCATCCTTATCATCAATATCAACTGTATCCAGTTGTACTCGACATGGAAATACAAAAAATGATGTACTCTATCATTTAGCAAAAGCTATCTCCGATGATCGATGTTTACTCGATACAGTAAGATATTTTTTACACTAAACACTTATCTTTCTCTTGTTAATAGTCTTCACTGATACATCCAATCCATCATTCGAATAGTAGTCATCATATGTATTGTTCTCAAACATCGTTGGAATATTCCGAAATCGATTCCAGTTCACGTTCAACAAGTAGTTTGAACTTACTTGGTTTAGCATTAAAACGGTAAGTTCAAATCATGTATACTGATGATTGCGATCGATTTCTTGATTTCTAGTGGGCTACATAAGGCAAACAAACGATTAAGTCGAGCTTTTTCATTCAGTCCAGAGCTTAATAAAAGTTTGATAAAAAAAAGTAATAGTCCGATAAATGGCTCACAAGATGATCGATCGACTAGTTTCGATTCGACTAAACGAATGAGTGTCTCTTCCCGACAAGTAAGTCATAATATTTCTAGTAATATGCTTGATCTACGAATGAGCTCATTTTCTTTTCTAGGAATCCTTCATCACCGCTATTCATCCTTTAACTTGTTCGCCATTTATGCAATCGATTCAAGAACGTGAGTGAAAATCTTTGCTTATAACTCATTTTAAATCTTCTGTCTTTAGACTGAATGTTTGACACGCTCAATCTTTTTTCCGTTCTTTTATGTCTGATATATTTCACTTCTCTTTTGTACATTGATAAACTGTTGTGCAATAGTATTCGAGTGTGTGTGTGTGTGTGTGATTTTTCCTTGTTCGTTCGGCCTTTAATTGCGGAAATTAGTTCGCTTTTGCGACTGATAACAAAAATCTCTCTCTCTTCTTTTGTTCTTCTCTTTTGCTCAAAACAGGAAATATCCAATATATTATTCTCTTTCTCTTCTTTTAACGATTAATTCACTTTTTTGGATTAATCTTCTACAGCACTGTTTCGGTTGACCATATGTTATTAGTCTTTTTTCTCTGTGTATCAATCAGATGTCATTTAAAATACGAACGAAAGAAAAAAAATGGTAAAATCCATTAGTCATGTTTTATTGCGTCAGATCACGTACATTTCGACAGACAAATGTGTCAGAGACAAACATCAATGTATATATATACACGTTATTTTAGATAATGGCGGCAAATAATACAGTGGACGATCTTAAGGTACAAGATTTGAAAGTCGAAGAATCGACAACACCAAAACCAGAAGCAACTAGTGGCGCAACTGCAGAAAAACCTGCTAAAGTAAAGAAGGACAAACCCAAACAAGACAAGCCCAAACAGGACAAACCTAAACAGGACAAGCCCAAGCAAGAAAAATCTAAACAAGAGAAACTTCAAGTTATGGCTGAAGCAGCAGCACCGGTTGAAGTGCTCGAATTCAATCGTTCACCTGAAGAAGTCGAAAAAGCATTGAAAGATTGGGCTAATCAACCCTTAACAGCTAATCAACGTAAACCTGATGAAAAAATGTAAGAGGAACTATCGCTGAAGAATTTCTCACATTTAATCTGAACATTCTAGATTACCTAAGTCCGATGCCAGAAACGTGTTAATTACCAGTGCGTTACCTTATGTGAACAATGTACCACATTTAGGTAATCTCATTGGATCATTGTTAAGCGCAGATGTCTTTGGACGGTAAAGTTCATGAACTTTCTCTCTCTCTCTAACTTGTTCATTTTATGTTCCAACTCTAGTTATTGCCGATTGAGAAATTACAATACACTGTACATTTGTGGTACAGATGAATACGGTACAGCAACAGAAACGAAAGCTTTGGAAGAAAAATGTACACCGCGACAAATTTGTGACAAATATTATGAACTACATACCAAGATTTATAAATGGTTTCAGCTGGATTTCGATTATTTCGGACGAACATCAACCGATAAACAAACTCAGTAAGGATTTTCTTCTTTGAACGTGTTCAATTTTTTACACTTACGTCTATCTATTGATAGAATTTCTCAAGATATTTTTTGGAAGTTATACAACCGAAATCTTGTTCTCAAAGAAAAAGTTGACCAACTATATTGTGACACGTGTCAACGGTAAAGATTTTCCATATTTTTCGAGTGATTTAAATTGATTTCGTTGTAGTTTCCTTGCTGATCGCTATGTAGCTGGTACTTGTCCAGATCCAGCTTGCCGGTTTGATGATGCACGCGGTGATCAATGCGATAGATGTCAAAAACTCATCAATGCTGTTGAACTCATCGAGCCAAAGTGTCAAATATGTCGTAGTACACCACAAATCAAAACGTCGGAGCATCTCTTTTTAGATTTACCTAATGTGAGAGAATATGTCTATTCTCGAAAGCCTTACATTTGTTGATCTGTTCTAGTTAGCACCAGATGTTCGAAAATGGTTCGACGAATCGGTTAAAACGGGCCATTGGACAAACACAGCGAGTGCTATTACCGAAGCTTGGCTGAATGAAGGCCTTAAACCGCGATGTATTACACGAGATTTGAAATGGGGCACACCAGTACCTTTAGAAGGTTACACTGACAAGGTAGTATTGCATTGTGATAGATGTTAGTTGATTAAACTGGTTTTTTTTCATAGGTGTTTTATGTGTGGTTTGATGCACCAATTGGTTATCTCTCGATTACAGCAAATTATACCGATGAATGGGAAAAATGGTGGAAACAACCGGATAAAGTAATTGCTTTTCAGTCGAAGGTGGAAAGCAAGGATTATTTTGATGGATTTAGGTTGAATTATTTCAATTCATGGCTAAGGATAATGTTCCATTTCATTCCGTTATCTTTCCAGCTTGTCTTCTCGGATCACAAGATAACTATAATGTTGTTAATCATCTTTCAGGCATTGGTAAATATGCCTTCCTGTTAGAAGTAACAAATCGCATTTCACTCGCATCATTTAGATTATCTCAATTACGAAGATTCTAAATTTTCGAAAAGTCGTGGTATTGGCGTGTTTGGTGATCATGCTCAAGATACAGAAATTCCATCAGACATCTGGAGATTTTATCTCTTATGCATACGACCGGAGAGTCAAGTAAATGACGACTTGCCTCTATGTTCTTCATTTAGATTTCATCTGTTACAGGACAGTGTCTTTTCATGGAATGATTTAATGTCCAAGAATAATTCAGAATTGTTAAACAATCTTGGCAATTTCGTCAATCGGTAAGGCGATGAACTACTTCGAAAGATCAGTATACGAATTTCTTGTGTACATTTTGCAGAGCCATCGCTTTCTGCGAAAAGAATTTCAGTGGTAAAATTGGTGATGCATCGAAATTGGAAACACCACTTGACCAAATGTTCGTTGCGCAAATTTCATACGAATTGAATGCTTACATCGAAGCTATGGAACGAACTAGGTAAAGCTAATTTCTATTGAATTTCATCTCATCTTCGGTTTCTAGACTTCGTGATGGGCTCAAGTGCGTCTTGCGCATGTCTCGTTACGGTAATCAATATTTACAATTGAAACAGCCATGGGCAAAATGTAAAGGCTCGGATGCCGATCGGTAAGTGTCAAATACTGACAATGGTTTTGGAAGAATTCGTTCTTTTTCTGTTAGCACCGATGCCGAGATCAGTGTTACTCTTGCGTTAAATCTTGTTTATTTACTTTCGTTGGTTCTTCAACCATTCATGCCAACAACCTCGAATGAAATTCGACACCAACTGAATGTCGAGCAAACTGTTTATGCTCTAGAAAACTCTTTTCGTTGTTATTTGCCCGCTGGTCATTCGATTGGACAAGCAGTTCCGTTGTTCAAACGTGTGGAAAAACCATTGGCTGATACATATCGCGAACGTTTCGCTGGTAAACGCAATTGAAAGTTTTATTTTTTTATGGATATTGTTACGATTTAACCTGAGAAGAAAAAAATAAATATCACCTATCAACTCTGTTAATTAAACTTTCCAATGGTACGAATTGAACATTTATTGTTTCTCATTATAAACAAGAATAAACACAAAAGAAGAAGAAAAACTACATTGCATCAGACATGGACTTCGTGTTTTGTACATACAATTCATCGAGACAAGCAGAAAAAAAAACATGTAGAATAGGAAAAACGAAAGAAGGAAAAAATAACGATGCTAGGAGGAGAAAGAAATTGACTAATAATATCTGACATATGCTTGAACTTTATTCTTTATATCAATCGTTCTTCCGGTGGTGGCTTTAAAATCATACTGAATTCTACACGCGAAGTCTGACCATTTTCATTTAATGCTGGCCGATAGGTACCACGTGATCGACGACTTTCACGTATACGACTGATAACAACTGACAATAAGATGATTGTCAATAGTAATAGCACGGCAACACCAGGCCATATGACATAATGGTACGAAAAGCCCAGTAGAGCAAGAAATTTCTGAACAGCAGAAACATATATGAAAGTTAACATAGAGCAGATTATATCTCACCTTATTCTCGCATTGATGTCCACCAAATGCTCTTGGACAAGCGCATATGTACCCATTGATTTGATCGATACAGCTACCATTATTTCGACATGGATTACTTTGACATTCGTCTATTTCTGTCGTGCATTTCTCATCTGTGAATCCTATTAAAAATGATATATATATGCAACGACGATGGTCTCGACAATATCAAATCAATTACCTGTATCTGTACAGTTGCAACGAAACCCTCGTTCGCTATCAAATATGCATGTTCCATTGTTAAGACAAGGCGCAGATTCACACGTTGGATATTCGCAATGGTCACCTTAATTAGACAAGTTTATTTTTCATTCGAAATCTTCAACCACTACGTACCCATAAAACTCGATGAACATTCGCAATAATACTCTTCGCCGTGCGGTTTACACAATCCTTGATTAAGACACGGTGAATGCTGTAAACATACATGTTCCCGTTCACATCGACTACCCAAGTAATTTTCCAGACAACGACATGAATAACCACCTCGTTCATTTGAACATATACCATTATTGTAGCATAAAATTGTTGTTCGATTTAGACATTCATCGACATCATCTTGACATGCACTTCCAAACCATTGTTCAGTACATAGACATTTAGCTTGTCCATTGGGTAATCGCTGACATGTACCATTATTTTGACATTTCAATTTCAAACACAAATCATTTTCACACCGTGGTCCGTCATATCCATTTGGACATCGACATGCTGTTTGAGGATTGTCGACATAAAGACTTGTTGTTTCTACTACGCACGTGCCTGTATTTTCACAAGGTTTCACTTGACCAAAACATGTCTCATCAAGCGACACTGAACAATTGGAACCAATGTAATTATCTGTACAATTACAAACATAACCATTGATTAAATCCGTGCACGAACCATTATTAGCACATGGCGATGATGCACATTCGTCGATATTGGTCTCACAACTAGAAGAGAAAAAAATCGATTACACTCGAGCTTAAGATTAATGATATCTTATCGAGACATCATTCGTTCGATGGCTATCTGTCCTGTAGACACGCGTCTATATCATTTAGATTCACACCGATGTTCGAGTCTTTCGATTTTCACATGCCTATGTAATCAATTCTATTCTTTACGCGTTTGAATCGATTCGATCAAAGCAATTATATTCACATTTACTACCGAGAAACGCAAATGTGTCTCGCCGCATGCACTACTGACCGGCATCAACTGTTTCAAACAGTCTAAATGATCGCAAGAAGGGAAGTACATCTGTTTTTGCACTTACTATTTTCCAGTAAAGCCTTGCTGACATTGACAGGTATAGTAGCCATCAGGTTGGTCGATACAAACACTATGTTCAACCGAACAGTTATTTCCTTGGAGACATTCGTCGATATTTTTTTCACAAAAATCACCTTCCCACCCGTGATTACACCGACATTTACCACGATCGAAATCACTGATACATTGTCCATTATGACAAAGAACATGTTCACACACATTTTCAAATGAACAGTTATTAATTTGTACGTTTTCAAGTTGTTCGATTTGAATTTCATTGATATAAGTCAAATTATCATTGTTTAAGTCCTGATAGAATGGAACGTAAAGATCAGTATCTATTAAGACATACTCTAAACAGCCACGAAAGCCATTACCAATTGTTATCTCAATCGGATCATTTAATACAAAGATCTGATCGTTATCAGTCAAATTCAATGCATATGTAAACGTATGATTGAAAACCAATGTGGAGTTTTCCAGCCATTGCAAGTGAAATGTTGTCCACTGTTGAAAAGTTTGGTTGTCTAATTGAATAACTAAATCATCAGTTAAATTCGAATAGCGATAGACTAATTGGTTTGCTGATAAATACAATGAGAAATAATTCAAATTAAAGAGATTCTTGATTGTTAATAAATGTGCTGATTGTGAATGTGCACGAAGACGAAAAGCTAATTCATTCGATGATAAACTTGTACTGTAATTCCATAGACCTTTCAGTCGACTTGAGCTGCCTTCGAATGTTCCAACAGCTAAACATTGTTGTTTCTCGTTCGTTGTTTGACAGCGAAATCCATCCGGACAAAGACTACTGTTATTATAATTACAGAGATTAATTTGTGAGCAGTTTTGTCCGAACCAATTGTTTTCACATTGACATCTGATTGTAGATGGAAAGAAGAGAAGAAAAATAAATAGAAGCAACTTGTGAATCATAGGATGAATGATGAAAATGAAGAATCAGTAGATATATAGACACAATGATTTGAACTTTTCGCCCTCAATGAATGGAGAGAAAGAGAAAAAGTAATTGCATTGTGACCGCCGTTCTGTGTCTCGTGCAGACTTACCTTTACTATTTCTATTAAAGTACAGTTAAGGCGAGAGAAGAGAAGAAAAAAACTTCGTCCCAGTCTACTTATGAGAAAGGAAAGCGCAATCGAGGTGACACAGACAAAAGAGAAAAGGACAGTGGCAGAGATGTGATTGTGTACACTAAGCAAACGACTGGGTATATATCTACTCAAGGTTCAAAAGTGCGTTAAACAAAAAAGCTAGAATAAAGTGCACCACTTCAATCTGGACAAAAGACGGGATGGATGTATTTATTTAATTTCAATCGTTCAGTCATTCGATCTCGAGCAAGTTTTCTCGCTTTTGTTTTTGTCGTCAACTTACATGTAATGTTGTGAATTTGTTACAAGACAAGTTCCTTGATTTTGACATGGATTATTCGGATAACAAGGATTACTCGTCAATGGTTTCATGTTAGCGATGGTCATGTTAATATCTTTTGTTGATTGATTAGGATTATTGAGTGAGAGAAGTTGATTGTTAATTCTTACATCTTGCAGCCAACCACTTAGAATTCGATCGGGATTCAATTGAAATTGATTCGGGACGATTCTGTTATTCAATTTTATTAATGATTCGTTATAAATGCCATCGATGATCAAACGATTATTATTTAAATCGAGTTGTATTTGATGTGGTCGACCATCATTCAGTTTTTGTTCGTTGCGTAATTCGTATTCTTGAAATTTCGGTTCATGATCAACGACAGTCAATCGAAAACGACCGTTTACTAACGATCCGAGAATTCTCGCTCTGTTCGATAAATCTCGAACTATTCGTATAGAGTTTGCCGAAGAAATCAACTCGAATAGTGTTCCATTCGGTTGCAGAGTATTGAAGAAAAATGAGATATTCGAAATCGATTTCGACAGACACACATCGACGAAACTTGATTGATTGAATAATACAATCGGTGCAACTAAGAGAAAGAAAAACAATGAATATTGTCGATCGAAAACAAATCTTTTAACTCTACTTTGATCACATTGTGTACCGAAGAATGGAGATTGACATTCGCATGTGTGGTAAAACCAATGATCATGACATAATTCATTCTTTCGACACATACCTGCACGACAAGCATTCGTTCTAAACGATCAAGCATATTTTTGTAGGCAAGAATCAAATGAATAGCTTACTTTTCACAGCCAACATTCAGTCTGTCATTCGTTTCGACCAGTTGATCGTTTAAAACAATGGAATATGCTTGACTGTACGATATTTCAATTTGACGAACACAGCCCGAATAATTTCGATATCCGAAAACGATTTCTTTTTGTAGTTCTATCTCTAATGAAGGATGTGGTACGTAAAATCGTTGTGACATGGAGTTTTTTCCGATGCGTACATCGATCCAGAGAGGAAAAACTTCGATAATGATCATATTCCATTGATCGGGATGATCGATAAATGTTGACAACATAAGTTTCTTGTCAAGATGAGTAACAATACGATTTTGAATTAGTTCCTGTTGAAAACGTTGACCAATGGCAAGAAGTGAGATCTGTTTCAAGGTTGTACGAAATTCATATTGAATACGAATGGGTAATAATGATGAACGATATGGTAACACTTTTGATATGTTAATTGATGTATTACGTAAGTGAAAAACGGACGAAAGACTCAAACGAGATATCAATGATTTGCTTAATTCTTTCTGTTGACGATCACAGTTATAGCCAAACCAACTCGATTCACATTGACATTGATAACCATTGATCAAATCAATGCATTCACCATGTGGCGAACAAGGTTTCGTGTAACATTCATCGATGTTAACTTCGCAGAAAAGACCAGAAAAACCAGGTAGACATAAACATTGTATCGTATGATTTGTTATCTGACACGTGCCACCATTCAAACAAAGACTGGTGTTCGATGTTGTTTGACATAAATCGATCGGTTGTTCACAAAATTTGCCTTGATAATTGAACGGACATTGACATTCGAAAGTATGATTATAATCAAAACATTTGCCGAAATGTTGACATGGTTGAGATAGACATGGTGTTCGATAGATCTCACAATGAGTACCTGTATAAGTCGATGTGCAATTACACTCATAAGAATGATTTCGGCGCTGACATTGACCAGTATTCAAACAAGGATTGCTGTCACATGGATCAATTAATTCTTGACAATAGGTGCCTTGCGCATAAGGAGGACATTGACAAGTGAATGTATTCAATTGCGAATGACATGTGCCATTGTTATAGCATGGCTGACTGGAACAAAGATCGATGTCGGTAAGGCAATCAGGACCAGTCAAACCCGATGGACAATAGCAACGATAATTGGTAGAATTGAACCAGAAACAAGTGCCATTATTTTGACATTCGCAAGATTTCGATTGCATTTGTTTGTCAGGACAAGAGATGAGATCTAAACGGAAAATTTGATAAAGCATTTGTTCACGAAATCAAATTTTTTGACTTACTTGTTGGGCAATTACATCTGTCTGCTGGTTGTTCATTGACACATGTAAAATACGCATCGAGCTGTTGATCTCGTTCGTTTTTACATGTATTTGTGGATAGTTGCTTCAATTCATCGAGTTTTTTCGTATCATTCACAACACACAATTGAGGATCTACACATTTAATCGATGAATTCGCGTGTTTAAACCGTAGACAATCCATTGGCGAATATTGACATCGATCACCTAACATTCGAAAATTCTTACAGTTCCTCGAAATAATATTCCTCGATCTTACCGAAATAGCCCATCGAACATTGACAATGAAATCCGCCAAGATAGTTGTGACATGTTCCATTATTCATACATGGATTGACAACGCATTCATCAATATCATACTGACATACATCGCCAGTATAAGTTGATAGACATCGACATTCAAAACTATTGATCTACATATAAAAGTGAAGTTTTCTTTGTATTCGAATTCTTCAATCATTCGTACTTTGTTAATGCATGTTCCATTTCGGTTACAAGGTTGTGAAAGACAGTAATCAATTGCTTTCGCACATGTTGGTCCAGTCCAACCAGCTGGACAATAGCATCGATACGAACCAATTTCATTAACGCATCTAACGAAGAACACATGGCAAATAGTCGAAATATTCTTCGTGACGAATGACTTACGTTCCGCCATTCCGACATATCGATGGAAAAACTGTACATTCATCGATATCTTCTGTACAATGAATACCTGTATACGTTGGCGGACACATGCAACGATATTGTCCACCGATGAGATTGTAGCAAGTGGCATTCGAATGGCAAGGTGACGAAAAGCAAGAATTCTGTTCAGTGCAAGAACCATCCGGATCTAAAATCAACACCCAACACTTACCTTTCTCAAACAGCAAACAAATAAACTAGACATACTTCGTTTAAAATTTGTTTTACATTGACAATCAAATGAATTTAATCCATCGACACAATGCGTATTATTCTTCGCACAGACAATACCTTCACAATCATTAATATTCGTTTCACATCGATGACCAGTGAAACCCGTTTGGCATGTACATCGAAACACGACATTATCACTTTCGAGAATCGGATGACATTTGATCGCGTTGTTTAAACAAGGTTGAGATAAACATGGATCAAGTGTCTAAACCGGAAGTTATATTTGACTTTCATCATGATCTTTCATATGCATACCATTTCACAATTTTGTCCACCGAAATTATCAAAACAATCACATTTGTATGTACCCGGAAGATTAACACAAGCACGTGCTGCCTTACAGGGTTGTATCGTTTTACATTCATCGATATCTTCCGAACAATCAATACCCGTCCATCCTGGATCTAAATAAGTAAACAAACATAGTTTTCTACTTTAATTTTCTCATCGATATTAATCCTCTATACCGCAAACACATGTATAACTATTTGGTAAATCAATACAATGACTATGTTTCGGACAGGGACTGGATTGACATTCGTCAATCGGATATTGACATTGATTACCAGCAAAACCTTGAAAAAATATTTACAAACATGAGCGACCGATAATTGCTCCTACCAGATGGACAAACACACTGAGTTAGATTACGTAATAAGTCAACATAGCAAACACCTCGATTTTGACAATGATTTTGTAGACAACGAACAGGTATTGTTTTCAATCCGCATTCCAAATCTAAACAAGAACATTTTCCATTGGATACATCTCGTACGTATCAAATCTTACCCGTAAATGGTCGACAATCAAATATTTTAAAAAGTGGACAATACTGTTCTGCACTATTTGTTGATGTACATGTTCGAAGTTCTAAAACAAACAAGATTATTTCTGTTTTCAATATCAATTACTATTACCACAAGTTTTAATGTTTATCAAACAAGACTTGGTATTCATCTCAAAACCTGAGTAAGGTAACAAACATGTGACATTCGTTTGTTGGTCGTCGACAAGTACATCAACATTCAATTTGCTCGTCGAATTTTTAACTGGATAATCAATTAACGGTATCAAACGCGTTTCATCGCCACCAAATGATATCAATACTTTCGAGAGATAATCGTCGAATGTGACGTTCACATAGTGCCATGTATCTATCTCATGGTAATAATCGATCGCTGTTTGAAACTGATAATCGAAACTAGCTGAGTAGGGTAAAGATAAATTGAAATGTCCAAATTGATATTCGAATGTTTCATTTTCGTATGAATAAATAATATGTAAACGAAAATCTTTTGTTAGAAGTCGAAAGTATTGACTGTTCGCGGGAGTATAATGCTCGATATTTAATAGATCAATATTGGGTAAACAGGTCCGGTAACTGAAGGTGATACTTTCACATGAGATTTTGTGTAATAATAGAAGAATAAATAGAGAATAACAAATGGAATTGCTGCTTATTTTACCTTGAAACATTGTCCTTTTTCTTTTCTTCGTCAATAATGACAATGTATGTGGACAACAATCATCTCTCTATATCCAATGTATACGCATGTCGAACGAAAGAATGACGACGACAACGACGACGGACGGACAGGTCAACAAAAACATAACTTAAAAACATCAAACAAACAAACGAAAATGCAATCGAAGGGACGAAAGCGAAAGAATAGAAAGTGATTGATCCTTCTAGAAGCGAAATGAATACGAAGGAGGAAATATGCGTATATTTGACATTTGAATTTTTGTCGTGCATCTACTTATTTGCCGCTCTATTCAAGCAACGAAGAAATTAGATATACTAACATTCGATAATCTCTGTTTCTTCTTAACTTAGCATGTATATGTCAATATCAATGTAAAGAACGACTGTTCAACACGAGAGATTTACATTTTACCTTTAGGTTCAACAGTAGTGATATTTAGTTGTTGTTCACTGATCGTATTTCACACTCAATCATTACGGTTGAATTGTAATTGTAATTGAACGTTTCTAATGGGTGTTGACATACGAAGTGAAATATGTGTGGCAATATAATCATATCTATGACAGTGAACGATGATTTATCGCGATTGTTGAAATGCAAATGGAATGTATTTATCATTGTCGATTGAGTTTTAATCTCACGAAATAAGTGGATAATGATACTTTGATGTCAATCGACAACTACGAACACAAGTGATACTTCATCAGTGAAGTGATAAAGACTTTCGCTTTCTACTTTGTATAATGTTCGAAAGAAATCGATGAATGTGTTTTGGTTTTGTAAGCAGACAAACTAGCCATGAAATGATTGGAGGTATCAATTCGACAGAGACGCGTTTCTTTTCTGTTCGCTGCATTACTCACGTTGTCAATGATGTAAACAAAACTCAGTCGACCGTTGCTTTTCGTACCTCATTTAATCATATTTCGTGAACAGCATGGGAGGGCATAGTACGAGGGAGAAACTGAATAATTTAAAACATGATATCGTTCAACTGATTTGGAAGATCGTGTACGATTGGTCAGTTTCTTTAGCGACATTGATCGGTTATAATTTATTGATATCCTTATTGCCAATGATTATGTGTTTGTTTTCTATTATAAGTTTAATTTTTGCTGATGATGTAAAAGCTCAACAAAACATTCGTGATCGTTTGATTCAAACTTTTCCGGAAGGAACTTTATCGGATGACATGGCCGCTTTGTTCAAGTCGATATCAAATCAAGCTGGTATCGTTTTCGCCGTTTCATTCGCTATCGCAATATTCGGTGGTTCACGTTTACTAGTTTGTATTGATGATGTCTTAACAATCATCTATCGTTTACGTGAACGAACGGTCATTCAACAAAATATTCACGCAATTAAACTTCTTTTAGCTTTTCTTATTCTAATGCCTATTTTAATCATTAGTTCATCGGTCTCAGCAGTGATAATTACGGCAGAGACAGCATATCAAGCTGGAAGTACACTTACAAGTGGAATATTAGGTTTTACCATCTTTGAATTGGTTTATTTATACGTGCCTGATCGAACCATGTATTGGCGTAAAACGTATGTAGATGAAGACTCGTCTCCTTATATGCGTTCATTCTGCATATATTTCTAGATGGGCTGGAGCACTTTTTGCTGCGGTTGGTTTACAAATTCTTCTCACCGCTTTTCCGATTTACGTTCATAATTTCATGACATCTTATGTTGGTCAATTAGGTCTTGCCGTTATCACAGTTTTGTTCTTCTACTTTTGCGGTTGGCTACTGGTTATTGGTGCTCAAATTAACGCCTACTTTTTTGAACATATCCAACCACTACCAGATAGTCTCGGTACTGTTTTAAGTCGAAGTGTTGATCCTGAAAAAGTGGTTCTAATTAATGATGCTTCGCAACAGAAGGATAGCATGATAACATTGAAAGAAGGATTCAATCCGCACGATTGACAACGGCCGGCAACAATTTTCATGACGCATTTATAAGAAGTTAAGAAGGATTTCTTGAATAAAGAAAAAAAAAGATAGAACAATCTTTCGTTGATGATATCAAGAGCAGAAGAATCGTAGATAAGAAACAATACTCTTACCTTTTTGTCGTGTCTATCATTGTCAAAGAGCTTCTTTTTTTTTGTAAAAGCACTTTCGTAATGAGTGAAGAGTTTCAACAAATTCATGACCTATACGAAAAACTACATGAGATTTTACGAACAAATCAATCATTTGCACTTCATGATGTTCTAACTGATATCTCAAGGCTTGCTACACATCTGTCATTAGTATTTTCGTCTATACCTATCGATACTGTGGATATATTTGAATATATTCTCAAATCATGTCTTGAATTACTGGATACGACTGAATTTATCGATATCATCGTTCAACATCATTCAGTTTTGTGGACATCGTTCAATGGGTCATTGTGCAAATCGCTGACTCATATTTATGGATCAGACATCATCGATAGGATGACAATATCCGCTCGACAACAAATGTCCTACCGATTACTTGATCAATTGAAACTATCGAAAAGTTTGGAAGCTTTTCTACAAACGAGCGTCTACTCACGATTGACATTTAGTGAACAAAAGACACGTAGTTTCGTCGGATGTATTCTGATTTTAATCTTACGACAATTAAGAGTTCTCAAAACGAATTCCATTGATCTCGAACTCGATAAATATCAAACAAATCTTTTTCCTCGGCTATTCCATTTTCTCAATGATTATTTCGTCACAAACGAACGCTCACAAATGGATCTTTTAATTCATGAAATCTTATCGTTTTTTGTTGTTATCAGTTGTTCGACAAAAACTATTCCAATATTGATTCAGATCGATTGTCCACAATTATGTTTACAATGGTTAACCTTACCATATCTCAGTCTTGATGAATACAAGTTCACTCTCGGAATCATCTGTAACATCGCACGTCATGATGATGGAGCTGCCATTCTTCGATACCACAAATGTCGTCAAATTTTAAATCAATTCCGTAATGAAATATCCGGACAAATTCTCGCTTTTATTCTTGATAATGAACAAAATGAATACTTTACTCTGACCAGTTTTATAACAATGGTTCTATGTTATCAGTCGAATGAACTGAACAACGATTCGATAAGAGCGTTTATCAACGACTATTTAATAGATGCAATTTTGCGCACTATTTATAATGGTAAATTGAGATACTTAGGATTTCATTTAGTGGAATTCTGGATCGTTGTGATGAAATTATGTCGGGATGATTATTATATGAATTGCATTTTAGAAAATGAGAAACATATCAAAATGCTGCAATTAATTACCGGAAATTTCTTGTATTATTCTGATTTAACAAGAATTAACGATCTTTCGAATCGACTGACACTCATGGCAGTGATTAACATTCTTTGGAGTATTTCATTTCATCCACGATATCGAAAGGATCTTCTTGAAGATCTAATAGTAATCGAACGACTCGAAACGATTCGTTTGAATGATCAACTTGACAAAGTCGTACTCTTTGATTATACCCCACGTCATATGTATTCATTAAAAAGAGCAGCGGACGGTGTGCTGCATAATTTAGGTAGTAAAACGTCAATTCCGATTCCACCTTGTTTTCCACCAAAGAATTCGGTTTTTTCATTAAGAATAAGCTATTCTCATGACGATATGCATTTCTGTCGAGAATTGTATGATGTCTTAGTTAAATTACCTCAACTATCCATATCTATTGATTTTCAAAATGGAAAATATCTTTGGAATGAAGTAGCACAGACGATTCAGCAATGTCATTTGGTACTCTTGCTTGTTTCTCCATCTTTCTATCAGAGTTTATCGTGTCGACAAGAATTTATCTATGCGACAAGCACATTGAAAAAGTCATTCATTCCAATCTTGATCGATGCTGATTATGAAGCGAAAGGTTGGCTTGAAACACGAGTAAAACATATTTGTTTCGGCCGAGAAGATTTTCAAACGAATTGCAACCAACTATTATCTTTGATCGGCGAGCAACTCTCGATAGAACTACCATCGGTATCATCTCTAAGAAACTCGAAGAATATTCAACAATGGAATAGTTCGGATGTTCAACAATGGTTTGAGAATCATGGTATTAAGTCTGAATTGTATGAATTTTATCAATTTAAAAGTGGACATGAGTTGTTTCTCTATGCTCAAGCAATGAGCGGTTATCAGTGGACAAAAGAATATGAGAGAATAAGATTACGATTTGAAGGAAAATTTCAAGAACAACAACAACATTTATCTTCGTATGAATTTCTGAAATTTATCAATGCATTGGAACATCTGATAAATAAGTGTTAGGAATCCACAGAATTCCAATGCAATCTGATTGGCTGTTTATGAGGCAAATGATAAGCGAGATACGAGAATTTATTAATGATGATGAAACACATTTTTTCCCCAGAAAACAACAATTTCTGTGTTGAATAAAATGAAATTTTGAAAGATAAATTGTCATGGAAAATTTCCTCATTTCATACATTTTGTTCAATCGGAGGCCAATCTGAATTTGATAGGGCTCTATTATTTATTTACGCTTTCTCCATTCAAACAATTACCAACATTTATCTCAACGATTGTTTTTCGTTCTTTATTTTAGATTTTTGACTAAAAAACCGTCATCATGGGTCGTATGCATGCTCCTGGGTATGTTTTCCTCATCTATCTACCATTCTTTCATTTCGATATTCGTATCTTTAGCAAGGGTATTTCAGATTCTGCTTTACCCTATAAACGAACAGTTCCATCAGTAAGTCAAGTCTGATTGAGATCGAGCTCATCGTTTGGTTTTTTACGTTTCCTAGTGGCTTAAGTTAACATCAGAAGATGTTGTAGATCAAATTTGCAAACTTGCTAAAAAAGGTTTAACGCCATCACAAATCGGTAAGACGAAGTTCTCGTGAAAATGGTTTAGATGTAATCGAAACTTTCTTTCAGGTGTTATTCTTCGTGACTCTCACGGTGTTGCACAAACACGTTTCGTCACTGGAAATAAAATCTTACGTATCATGAAAGCAAAAGGTCTTGCGCCAAGCAAACCTGAAGATTTACATCATTTAATTAAGAAAGCTGTCGCCATCCGTAAACATTTGGAACGTAATCGTAAAGATAAAGATTCCAAATTTCGTTTGATTCTCGTTGAAAGTCGTATTCATCGTTTGGCAAGATATTACAAAACCAAGAATGTCTTACCGCCAACATGGAAATACGAATCGTCAACAGCCGCAGCTCTTCTTGCTTAAATGAAATAGTTTTTTTTGTTTCGTTTTTATATGAAAAGAAAAAAAAATCTATGTAGAAGAAAAAACAACCGGTTGAAATAAAATTTAAAACATCAAGCAACGTTTATTTCATCGTTTTAGATAGTCATTTTGATCATTCTCTTCATTACTATTAAAGAAGTCTCATGGCCACACAAGAAATCATTAATATTCTCGAGCGTACCGGCACGGGATGTAAGTGTTTATATGAATCGATCGAATTCGTTGTTGATTTTGTTCTTTTCTATATACAGCTCAAGCTGATTTGGAAAATGCACGAAATTTTCTTGAGAAAGCGGCTGAACAAAACTTAGTATGTAATACTCATTGACAAAAATAGGTGTTTTATCGAACTTGCATATCTCTAGCCTGAATTATTAAAACATCTGTCTGATATTCTAATTGCTGCTACAAACAATCCAACAGCTCGTGCACAAGCAGGTAAGCTAAGAATGATTTTCGGATCAACTTTACTATATTGATTTCTTTAGCATTACAATTGAAAAATGCACTCTACTCAAAAGAAGAAAGTTTAAAACAAGCCTATCAAGAACGATGGCTGAATATGCCAGCGAATATCCGAGATCATATCAAAACAAATGTAAGAAGTGTCAGATTTATTGCTTTGAACTCTTCATATTGTTCTTTTTGTAGTGTTTCAATGCACTTGGTACTGAATCATCTAAACCGTCCCAAGCTGCTCAATGTGTTGGATATATCGCGTGTGCTGAAATACCGCGTAATCAATGGCAAGATTTGATACGTAAGTGTGTTTATATGATCATCGAATTTGGTCATCGAAATTTTGATGAGCGTGTTGATGAGTGTTGATTGTATGTGTGTGTACCATCTTAGAGCGCCTGGTTGACAATGTGACTACCGTGGGCAGACCTGATAACATACGGGAAGCCAGCTTGGAAGCACTCGGTTATATATGCCAAGATATTGTAAGCTTATTCATTCATCCGTGTGTGTGTTTTTTTTTCTGTTGTGCGCGTGTTGATCTATGCTCTTTCTTCGTACGTATCTACATATTCTCCCGAAAAAATCAACATTTTCTCTAGGATTCGGATGTTCTTGTACCACAAAGTAATGTAATATTAACGGCACTTGTCTATGGCATGCGCAAAGAAGAAACTAATGATAATGTTCGACTTGCGGCAACAACAGCTATGCTCAATTCATTAGAATTTACAAAGAATAACTTTCAAAACGATGTATGTATTCCCCAACATTGTATTTAGATACGGCACGTTCATTTCCCTTGTAGAATGAGAGACACTATATAATGCAAGTCGTTTGTGAAGCAACTCAATCAACGAATTTAAAAATTCAAGTCGCTGCCTTACAAAATCTTGTCAAAATTCTTTCCCTTTACTATGACTACATGGAATATTATATGGGACCAGCTTTATTCGCTGTAAGATACCTTTTCGACCTTGATTTGTATTCATTCGTGCTTTTAGATCACAATGGACGCAATGAAGTCAGCTCGCGATGAAATTGCCTTGCAAGGTGTTGAGTTTTGGTCCAATGTATGCGACGAAGAATATGAATTGCAATTACGCCAACAAGAAGTAGGATTTCCTTTTCCGTTCAATACTATTTACATTCGTGGAGATGTTAATGTTAGGCACAAGAACAAAATCGACAACCAGAAAGAACAAGTCGGTACTATGCACGTGGCGCTTTACAATACCTCGTTCCAGTTTTACTTCAACGATTGACTATGCAAGAAGAAACTGATGATGATGATGATTGGAATCCATGTAAAGCTGCCGGTGTTTGTTTAATGCTACTATCGAATTGTGCGGAAAATGCAATAACTCAACATGTCTTTCCATTTGTTAGTGGAAACATTAATCATGCTGATTGGAAATTCCGTGAAGCAGCAGTGATGGCATTTGGTTCGATTTTAGAAGGACCTGATGCGACCAGTCTAAAACCAGTTGCTGAACAAGCTGTGCCATTCCTACTGAAATTATTACAAGATCCAAATATTGCTGTACGTGATACCACAGCATGGACAATCGGACGTATATTTGAATTCGTTTCCCAAGCTGTTATGACAAGTGACATGATTCGAGTGATTGCAGAAGCACTTGTCAATGGTTTAAATGATTTACCACGTGTTGCAACCAATATTTGTTGGGTATGAGATCGTTGCTAGAGAGAGGCGAAGAAGCGTTTTAGATAAGATTCAACTTGTTATTTTAGTCGTTTTCCAGTTTAGCAAGAGCGACCTATGAATTTGCCGAATCATCCGACGATGACGATACACCCAAAACGTATTTATTATCACCATATTTTGAAGTTATTGTTAAGAAACTTATTGCAACAACAGATAGGTATGCAATTGCATCTACTATTCTTTTTTTATCTGGAATTATTTTATAGACCCGATGGCAATCAATCAAATTTACGTAATGCAGCTTATGAAGCATTAATGGAAATGATTCGACACAGTGCCAAAGTATGTAGAAAGAAAATGGCAGATTCCTAGAAATAATTTATCTTGTAGGATTGTTATAATACTGTTCAAAGCACAACGATAACCATACTTGACCGTTTAAATCGTGTTATATCTGTTGAAAACCAAACGATCAATCCAAACGATCGAGTACAGATCACTGATCTTCAGTCCTTGCTCTGTGCTACACTTCAAGTAAGTGAAACACTAAATTCATTGCACATAAACGAAATTTCTGTTTTTCTGAACATTTGAAGAGTGTACTGCGTAAAATGCATCCAAATGACGCACCGTTAATATCCGATCCAATTATGCAAGCTTTACTATCTATGCTTAAGACCACTAGTGGTAGAACAAGTGTCGTACAAGAAGATGCACTTATTGCTATTGGAACTTTAGTTGAAGGTAGGAAAAACTCTACATGAATTCATCGATAAAGTATTTGCTTTTGTAGTTTTGGGTTTGCATTTTCTCAAATATATGGATCACGTTCTTCCCGTTCTATACGAAGCTTTGAATAATCATGTTGAATATCAGATTTGTGCGGCTGCTGTTGGTGTTGTGGCTGAATTATGTCGTTCATTAAATGATAGATTAATACCTTATTGTGATCAAATCATGACACATTTATTCGGTTGTCTTAACGTAAGAATCATCTTGTCACGCTCTCTGATTACAAAAAAAAACGCCTTTATTTTAGGATGATAAGTTACATCGTTCCGTTAAACCGCAAATTCTAAGCACATTTGGTGATATTGCGTTAGCTATCAACGGACATTTCAAAAATTACCTCGAACTTGTATTGGGCACTCTAAATCAAGCTTGCCGTGCTCATGTAGCGAAGAGCGATTACGACATGATGGATTATTTAAATGAGTTACGCGAAGGTTGTCTATTGGCTTATACCGGTATCATTCAAGGTCTTCGAGGTTCAGCAACATCGAACATGGTCGCACTTGCTGAATTGCAATTAGTCACAAGTCAACTAACATTTATAGTGCAATTTCTTGAAACCGTAGCACGTGATCAAAACAAATCGGATGCAGTTGTTAGCGCAGCAATTGGCTTGATTGGTGATTTAGTCACAACGTACGGGCAAGCGATGTTACCATTTGTTGAACGTGAAGCACTTGAAAAACTATTGAATGATGCTAAACGATCGAAACATGCAAAAACCAAAACATTAGCATCATGGGCAATGAAAGAAATTCGAAAATTAAAAAATAATTAACGCTTTCTTTTCTTCTGTCTCTATTGTGTGTGTACGTTTGTGTGTCTAGGGAGAGAGTGAGAGACTTCTTTTCTTCTGTTCAACAGACATCTTGGCCTTTTTTCATTATTCTAGATAATTCTCGCACGACTTATTTTTCTTGTCTTTATTTATGTACAATGTACCGGTGGTTTTTTACTTTTCCTTCGTTTAATCTCTCTCTCTCTCTCCAATTGACGATGATATCTTGACTTTTATCATTAACGTTCTTTCATTCCTTTTTCTCTGTGTGTGCTACTGGTGCTGTGAAATCCGTGTGTGAGTGCGATGATCTATTTTCTTCTTCTTTTTCTTCTTCTGCTTCTTTCATTCTTGTCAATTTAATAGCATTCTTGAATAAAACAGAACATTCGCACTATCGATTTTAATGGCAAGCCATGTTTTGTAGTGTTTAGTGATAATCATCCGAGAAAGCCATGATTAACAACAGCTGCAAGAGATTCTAAGAATTCCTCTACTCAAACTTAATTATCGGTCTGTGTTACAATCAAAATATCAATGTTATTGGAGAAGCTAATGATCTATCATTAGATGAGCTTGATATTTTCCTCGAACATATCATTGATTGTTGCTGATGATAGCGCAACGAACGAGAGTGATTCACTCGGTCGGGTTTTGTTTGATAGATAATTTACATAAGAATTTCCACCGACTTCTATTTTGAATGCAACTAACATTAATTGTATTATTTAATCAAACATGTTCTCTTTTCATGAACATGCCGATTTACAAAAGAAAATCTTTTTCTCTCGTATTTGTTATGTTAAATAACTTCGAAATACAATGCGCGTCCGTCTGAAAAATAGACTCACAGAGGACACGTTTATACTTAAATGAAAGGATTGTGTATGTAACCGTCGAATAGACAAATGACCGAAAAAACTTCATTGTGATGAATGTAGACAAGTCTTTTCTTCAAATGATAATCCTTTTCCCCAATTATACATCAAGTGATTGTCATCGATAGCAACAGTACAATTATACGGCGAAATTACTACTATTATTCCAGGCAAGGACAGAGAAAAATAGCAGAAAACGCCAACTGACTTTATTCGATGATTGCTCGGCAAGACATATCAATTCTTTCTACGTGAGTTACAGTACCACTAGGATTAATAACAACCTCAGCATTCAGAATAAATGTTTAGTTCATCTAATCGTTAAACATGTGCACGAAGAGATATTATCATTATATGATTATCATCAATTTCATCTGTGCAATTACTGAAACAATTTCGAATTCCTTCTCATCAGCACCCGTATTTCTCGGAATTACAAATATTACAGATGATATGCCTGATGAACAACGACTTTTTTATACTTTAATGACCGGTTATGAAAAAGCAGTACGACCAACTAAAAAGGCAACTGATGCTGTAATCGTCAAGCTTGGTGTTACACTAACGCTAATTATGGATCTTGTAAGTAATGAAGTGATATTTAGAAGAGAATACATGTTTATATTAACATGTATTCAGGATGAAAGAAATCAAATCTTAACTACAAATATTTGGCTCGATCAGGTATTAAAAACAGACATGAAAACGAAAATATTTATATTGTTCTCTTATCTGGTTAAGGAATGGACTGATGTGTTTTTCCGATGGAATCCAGCTGATTTTGGTGGAATCAAAAAGATACGTATACCTTGTCGTCATATTTGGCTACCTGATATTGTCTTATACAATTCTGCTGACGATTACACGCAAGGATATATGCAATCGTTAGCTATGATTACGTTTGATGGGACAGTTTTTTGGCCACCGATTGTGAAGTTACGATCAACATGTAAAATCGATATAACTTGGTAAGGAAGGGATTAGAAATTGATCTGTTTGGTATTCTCATTTGAAAAACTAGGTTTCCATTTGATGATCAAGTTTGTTTTCTAAAATTTGGCTCATGGACATATGATTCAACTCAACTTGCACTAACAAATCGATCCGGAAATGTTGACATGATCAACTATGTCGATAATGGTAAGTGATTCCTGAAGACTTTGTTTTTATCGATCTATTTACGAAATAAAAAGGTGAATGGAAATTACTATCATCATGGACTGTTCTGTCGACATTGACATATCCATGTTGTGATGAATCGTATTATGATTTGAAGTTTTATTTTCACATTCGTCGTCGAACATTATATTATACATACAATGTTATTATTCCTTGTATTATGTTATCTTGTCTGACGTGTTTAACTTTTTATTTACCAACTGAATCAGGAGAGAAGATATCGTTGGGTTTGACTGTACTCCTTTCATTTTCTGTGTTTATGTTACTCATTGCTGAGTCAATGCCAGCCACAAGTGAATTTATTCCTCTGATAGGTAAAGCGTGATTTGATCTTCTAAAATTTTCAACAAACACTTCTTCCCTATACAGGCATTTATTTTACATTAGTCATGAGTTTGACCAGTTTATCCGTTGTCTTAGCTGTTATTGTGCTAAATGTTCATCTGTACGGCTCTGCTCTGAAACCTGTACCACATCGATTACGTCGTATACTTTTCCTTCATGTTGCACCATTTTTGCGAGTCAATCTGCATCGCGGAACGATCATCAATGATCGACAAAATGCACATTGTACATCGACCGCATCGATACCACGTCGTTCGACAACGATCTACAATGCTATTTTCGTCAATGAAAATGATCTTGCTAACAATAACACTTCACAAACATCTCGACATCCATTTTGTTCGACATCAACAGTCTTAAATGAGAATAATTCCGATACAAAGAATGAACTTCCACCGCCTCTACTATCAAATCTACAATCGACTACACAAGCCTTACAAGAATGCAAACGTTTGCTTTGTGAACTCAATGGGACAATTCGGTGTCCGACTGACACACGTGAAGAAGACATAATTGCACGCGATTGGCAAAATGTTGCACTAGTTATTGATCGTTGCCTTTTTTATATGTATCTGACATTGACAATTATGCTAACAACATTTACTTTACTTCTAGCACCATTACTCAAAACTGTACCAAAAGCTCCGGAATATTTCCGTTTGAATATTACTCGAGTGTAAATATACGTAGATTTCATCTGATATTGTAACTTCAGAAAAGATCTGCATACAATCATCGGTTGACAATAGATGTGATACTACTTTTTCGAGACTATTCTAATTTGAGCGTTTGAGTTCAAAATTTGTATGCCTATGTTTTAATGAAACGAAATAAGAGAAGAACCGATCGAAGATGTCGTCATTTTCAACGTTACTAGTAACAGGCATCATTAAAAGCGATTATCGATATAAAGCTAGCGCGATGAAACAAAAAAATCATATAAAACATTTTAAAGTTCAAGCACCAAATCTAATTTCATCGCAAACGTTTAATTGACTTTTCTAAACAAAAAAAGGACGCTAGTCTTCCAGAGAATAGCCCACCCCAAAGACTTTATCCGTGTTCTTTTTTATCTAAGCATTTTTACCTACCTATCAATTGTATGTATAAGTTTCGTATTCAAACTGCTTGTAAATAAAATAGTATCGAATAAAACCAATCGATATATTAACTATAATTCTTTACATTGAAAGCAAACGTTTAATATATGAAGTAACTACCGCGATTTGAAATCGACGGTAAATGTTTCGGAAAAGAAACACGGTGCGATATGAAACTGTCTTCTGTCGTTTGAATCATCTTCGTTTAGCCATGGAACTCACAGGTAAAAACAATTCAGTATGAAACTCTTTTGAAATCTTTCGGATCGTTTCATTCTTGCATATGAGTGTTTAAACTGTCTAGAAACATTCGACGAGAGTTCATTAGCAGATGAATAAAACCTTGAATAGTTGCCCGTGGCGTCGATTTTGACAATTTTTATAGTGTTTTGCCTAATTACGGTAAAGTCTGATTTCGATTCAAATCTGACGGTTTTGTAAGATGGCAAAAATATTTGCTCAGCTAGAAAAATGACAGAGGTAGACCGTAGTTAACAGAGATTTTTAAGGTAGTTTGCAGCGCATGCTGTATTAGACAACTAAATCAAAATATAATTTTTTGTAGGCTCGATTGTTGACTTACTTATTCAATGTTTCCTTCCTGCCGTGTTAGAATATTTAAAAAAACTTTCTTCTCTCTTCTAACTAAAATATAATTACATTTTTTTTTATGGTTTCAGCATTGTAATGTATGGCGTTTCTTTGAATGGCAACCATTCTTTTCCTGCCAATTACAAAAATAAAAATCGTCGAGCATTTGAGAAAAACTAAACATTGGTATGAGCATCTCACACGTCAGAAAGCGTTCTTGGAAAATTGAAAGAAATATTTCAAAAAGTATTAGTCTATACTGTCTATTTTGTTCAATACTTGTGATTGGTGTTTCAATTTTACTTTGTATGTTGATATATAATCACATTGAGCACTACAACATCAATTCAGGTAATTAGACGTTCTCTTTTACACATATATTTAGTTTTGCATAGAAGTTTCTCTACGTGATGCTTTTCAATGGAAATTCGATCATTATTCTTCAAGTTCATGGGAATTGTCTTGGTTGAATAATATTAGTATATTGCAAGATAAAGTTTGTGAAACATTGTTGAGACCAAACGAAATAAAACGAAGTATTCAAGCACTGAGTTCTATTATTGAATTTCACAAAGAAATTTTTCATCAATATCTTCAATCGAACAAATATGATGAGATTTTCTCGAAGATTTGTTACCGATCTCCATTGAACCAGATTGTTTGTCAATATATTGAACCATTGGTCGGTCTTTTACGTGATCCGCTAACGATCTGCGAGTATGATAACATTCCATCCAACCTTCAGATTGATGAAGAGGCTGCGATGCAGTCAAAACGATTCTTTCTTCTTGGTCCATCTGCACCGTATCAAAATTATCAAACACCAAGTAAAATCATTGCTCCGTGGCTTTATCGCCAAGGTTCACAGAAGATTCTTTTTGATATTGGTTGTTCACTTTTTACGGGAACAACCAATGAGACAGGTTCGAGCTCATTGACAGGTGCTCGATGGTTCTATGAATATTTTCGTTCACATTCGTTACATTTTGATCGTATTATTGCGTTCGATCGAGCTAATTATCCGCCACACGTGTACTGGAAACAAATACCTGCTGATCTTATGGGAATATTGACTTATATTTCTGTAGGAGTTGAGTCAAATGGTAAATATAATCCGTGGAATATCTTAAAAACAATCGCGAAACGTGATGATTATGTTCTTATTAAACTTGATATCGATACACCTACATTAGAAATGGAACTTGTAGAACAACTTATAAAAAATACATCCATTTCGTCATTAATTGATGAGATGTTTTTTGAAATGCATGTAACAGTAAAGGAAATGAAACCTTATTGGACAGAACCACCTGGTGAATTGAAAGACACGTATAAACTTTTCAAAAAACTAAGACAAATGGGTATAAGAATGCATTCATGGCCTTAAATATTTTTATCTTCCACTTTCGTGAAAATATGTCCGAAGCAGTACTACTTTGTTTTATTAGTTAAAATAAAGTCAAATAACCATCTTTTGTCAGCAATTCTTAGGACAAAATATTGAATAGAACCACTTTCGCGGACTTTGCAAACTCAGAAGGAAGCTACTTCGTCATTGATCAACGATATAGGAATCGAACTAACAACTACCTAGAAAACAATTACTTTGGGAATCTAAATGGCAGCTTGAAGAAGTAATTTTTATCGCCATAGTCACTAATGTTACATTAAAATATACATCAAGTAATTCACACGTGTTGAGAAGCGAAGATATGAATGTATATCAAACGAATACTCATACGGTTTCCTTTCAGCGCACGTGAAGTAACTCTTTTTAGTCTACCTTGATTTGAGAGAAGTATTTCAATAAAAATGCGTGTAATCATGTTTTTAACAAAACAAAACAAGAGAAAAACCAGTTAAAAATCTCGATTTCACCAATGTTACTGGTAATAGTTATTATTATAACGATTAGGATATTGTTGTTGTTGTTGTTGTTGAGGGTAGCCACGACTGGAATTCGGACGATTGCCTTGTGGATTATTTCGTTGTTGTTGCTGCTGTTGTTGGTTATAGTAACCATAGTTCGATGGATTTTGTTGATAACCGGATTGATTTCGTGGTTGCTGTTGTGCTTGATTATTTCTTTGCGGCGGAGGTGGTTGCACTTGTTCCTGTTCATATTCTTCTTCTCCCTCGTCGTCGTAATAACCTTCCTGAAAGGAAAACTAGATTGCAAAACGCATTACAAGTGAAATTTATTTACCTCATAAGTTTCAATGTCATCAAAACTCACGACATTTTGTGAGTCATATCCTTCGAACATCACCGCACATCGTTGACTGTCATACATGATGTTCATGATAATCGCTGGATAGTACTAATAAAATTTATATACAAATAGATTATTCAAGCTTTTTCTCTAAGGATAACTTCGACATTCTTACTTCATTATCTTCATAATATCGAGCTAAAACTTGATCACCGGTTTCGTACGGAAAGATTTGTTTCTAGAATCGAATAGAACTTCTAGCATTGTTAATCATAGAGGAAATAAGTTTACCTGCATGGCACTCGATATGCGAGGCTGATTCGAAGCAGATGCTTCCTGACCAGATCTATTGTCACTTTTTTGTGTTTTGGAAGACGGAGCTTTTTGCGTGGAAGCTAACAAAAACTGATCGATATGAGATCGAAGAACAAAGTCTCTTACTATTTGGTTTTGACGAAAAGAAATCAAACAAAGTCACGTCTTTACTAGGCCGTGTTTCTTCGCCTCCATCATCATCACGTCCTCGACCTCGCCGATTACGTCCAAAACCACCTCGTCTTGGCCGGTCATCATCATCATCTAAATTGCGTCTACTCGTCTGCGGTCGTCGCTTGTCATCATCAGTTGGTTCATCAGCAATTTGATTTTTCGCCCATTCTGGCACTAAACAATGAAATCAAACGATCATTTGCTTTTATTGAAAACAGATGATTACATCGAGTGTTCGCTTTGATTGCCGCAGCTGTTGCTGCCATATTCACTGGTTGATTAGAAATCGATGACAAAGTAGAAGAGGGTCTGTCCGTAGGTGCTCGTTGGCCAGCCAGTTCGAAGCCTTTGGCAAGATTGACACCTCGGATAACATCTTGTCTAGCAAACCGTTCCGTTTTCGATGTCTGACTCATCAAAAGAGTATCGATCGCAGCACGTCGTTGACGAACAAATTCCGGATCTTCTTCAGTCGTTTGCTGACTTTTCGCCACATCCATGGATCGTTGAGATGTATCAACTACGCATAATCAAAATAAAATACAATTGAAAACACATTGCAATAGTCTAACCGGTAGTTGCTGTTGTATTTCGCGCACCAAATGGAACCCACGGTGGTGGCGCGCCTTCGCCGATCAATATTCGAACGTGTTTACCCATTAACTAAATTGCGACATTGTTTTCAAAAATATAATTTCAAAATGAACATTCGTACTTTAGCTAATTTCCATTTTTGAACAAGTTCAGTAACTGTTCCACCGAGAACTTCACATGTTTGATCATTGAGTATGTAAAAACCATTTACAATTTTCGTTTTTGCTTTCAATAAAAGCTTTACACCAGGTGGCGTATCCAAGCTAATGAAATTAACAGAAAAAAGGTTTGATATGTCGATTTTTTGTTTCTTTTTTACTTAAAATTTCGAAGTGATGGTAGAATAAGTGCATTTTGAAATACATGGCCATCGGTAATCGATAGACGATAAAGATGCGATCGACCTGATGATGATTCATTATCTTTTGGTGCTGTGACATTGCGCGTCTTATTCAATTGCACAATGTACGGTTTCGATGTCTAATTTAAGAGTATAATAGATGAAATTTTTCATTCCGTTTCTTACTTGATCCTGTTTTCCTAAATCAGGTAATGCCTTTTCACCAATTTGTCGTAAATCGCTCTATAGATAACAAAGTACAATAAAATTTCAATGATGTTTACTGAAACTTACATCGAGCAGTTGTTTTCTCAAATCATCCGGTCTTTGTCGATTTCCTTCAAAAAGTTCTTCTTTGACTGTCCATCCTGCATTGATCAATTGTTCTTTCACACTCATTTCTATAATGAATATCTAAAAGAATTCTTATATTTTAGATAATAACAAGAAAACAAAAAAATAACATCGTGATTATATTTTAATATCTTGTAAAATAATAATATAGAAACAACGAAAAACAAACACCACTATTCATTCAAACTGATTACTGAAATTGAATTCTCATTCGAGTCCAAGAATATAATTAACACCTTGAACAATTAGAAGAATCAACGGTTGCCAAGCGACTAAGTATCGAATCCAGTCAAGTAGATTTCCGTACAGCACATGCGGTTTCTAAAGATAACATTAGTCATATCATTTGTAAAATACATCCATGAAACCAACCTCCCACGGATTCGGGAACAATCTTTTTAGATCCACTTTCTCTTTACAATATGGACATGTTTGCTTTTTACCAACAATACACCAACCACGTATGCAAAATTCATGAAATCTAAATAAATTGTAATAGAACGTCACTGGCAACGAGAAACTTGCATACTAACGTATGTCCACATTGTAATTTATATGTTCGTTCAATTAACGCTTCATCGTTATTTTGAACAAGAATCGGATTAGCACAAACTGCGCATGTATTCGATTCTAGTGCACGTTTTGGAAGACCACTTTCGGAATAATACTAAAGTGAATCGATTTGTTTCAATATTTCACATTCTTCAAATTATTCATCATACTCCTATTTTCGACGCCATTCGATCCGTACAAGATTCAGCCATATCTCGACCGAGTACTCCATAGTAGATTCCATAGAACATGCTTAAAATTCCAAAATCAAGTGAAGTCTAGCAAGAAATATCCAAGTCAACATCTATTCAATTCATAGAACAAATCTTTACCTGTGGAGATATCAAAAGCAGACTATTAATACCGATAAAAGTCATCATTATAAGAAAATACCCCGCTATAGCAAGACCATATGAGACTTTATAGACAAGCAGAAACCACTTATACACCAATCTGACAGATAAATCCAAGAAATGCCCTTTTTTGTCTACGAAAATCACCGATGATTTACCTTGGTGTGTTTGGTTCGATCGGTTGTCTCGTTGCTCGCCGTGTAACATAAAAGGTTATGCCAGTAAAACAACACCAGATGATTATGAAACGAATGTAAATAAATCTGATGGATAGTCCAAATGGAATTAACCACATGGCAAGAAGAGTGAAAAACTATACGAGAATGAATACGAGATCGGTGATTATTCTTACTTGATAGGATCGAATATGATAATTTTTCCATAGTAATAATACAAATTGGCAGAGAATGAGTGAAATAAGTAGAACGAGTATCATTTCCATGTGCATCGCTTCATGTCCTTTATGTTTTTCATGTATTGCTTCATGTTGAACACGGAAGCGTTCTTCAGGACTGAGTTTATCGAGTTCATAAGTCTAAATCATTACAAATTTTTCAGTTTAAGCATAAAATCGATTGAAATTTTACTATATTTCCTAAGATGACTGTTTTTCCTAATAATTCATCGTCGAAATCCATGATTCCTATCTGAGCCAGTAAAGTAAAATAAAACGTGGTTAATACACAAGTCATCACTGATTGGTGGACGTCATTCTCGAATAAAAACTCCGGCGCTGAAAGTAAGTAAAGTCATTCTGCCATTCCATTTTAAGATAATCCGTTGATGATGTTCAAATTCATCGTTTTCATCGCAATACTAAAACTCGCTTCAGTAAATAAATTTCTCGAATTAGATAATCATCCTAATTGTCTATTTGTTTTGACAGCCATTTGAGAGTACAAATGACGATACTATATCTCTCACTCTTGAAGACAATGCCATTGATGGAAAGTTATCAGCGTTTACTAAAATGAACATTCGTTCATCACATTCTGCAAGTCTCGAAGTCGTACCATCACGTACTCTATCATCTCAACAGTACGAACGACTAATCGAGGTTAATTTATACAATTAATTTCTCATAATCATTATAGGATATTTTCTTTTTCTTCTTTTAAAGGAATTTCGATTAAATGCACATTCATATTACACTCTGAAGGTCAATTTTAAACACCGCCTACTTCAAGACTATGTGATGACATCCATTCCTATGGTACTGATCTCCTTACAAAGTTTCTCCAACTCTTCATGTCATATTTTAGTGTCTTGTTGTACAAACACGATTTCAATATATGATCGATCTGTTTCTCAATGAAAACGGCTATATTGTCAGTGCACATATCGCAACTAATAATGCAACGTGTACTACATTGAATGTATCAACATTAGATACGAAAAATGATCTGACATACAAAGTCTCCCTACGTTTACAATCGAGTGATAATGGGCCACAGTATGAGAATGTTTTTAGATTTGTTTTATTGTTCTTTTTTTGTTTTAACAGGCCAGAAATTCAACATTTTCTTAATAAACTTAAACGCGAGAAAGAAGCCAAATTAAATACGGACAGTGACAATCGCCCATTTGTATTGAAATATGTAAGTAAAAACAACAAAAAATATTTGAAGAATAAAAAAGCCGCCTTAACATTCTAGTGGAAATATCTGTTACCAATTGTGATCATTTTTCTTGTCCAAGGCGCATTTCCCGATGGTGGTAGTGGTGGGCGCTAATCGTCGACTTTTAATACGCATTTTCATTTCATGTTGTTTTCATTTTTCGTCACATAAACAAGTTGTTTCGTATCATCCGCGAATAAAGTGATTTTCATTAGCAAAACACACACACACACACATAGCTTTATCTATTTTTAATGATACAACGATTGAGGATTGTGCGAATAACTTGACGTTTCAATGTGAGTATAATCAAGCAACTTATTGATTTAATACTCTTTGACAGCTGGTCGTTGTTCAAGGACAAACGATGTCTATTCCTATTTGTACGATCAGTCTTCATTATCAAATATTGATTTATGACATAGTTACTATTTGATTTTCAAACAAATACTTTCTCACCTTATAAATCGAATGTAACAACTAGTAGAAAACTATCGGTTTGTTATTCATCGAGCAAGACATGGAATTACTCATGGTTTAGTTAACATGACACCTCTTCAATTCTTTTTCTATACCATCGAATCACTTCTATTGTGCGAAATCATCACCTAATGGGTATTGTTGACATGACCGTTTTGCTTTTACACTATTCTACTATGACCTGTTTGTAAAAATGTACGAAAAAGAAATCCGATTCCGCGTTGACACTTTTTTATGAAAAAAAAAGAAAAGTTGATTCGTCTTATATCATCCGATGAACGAGACGAGATAAATTTGCAGGTCTTTTTTTCTCTTTCGATAACCTTGAATAATCAATTATAAGAAGAAGAGAAAAAAAAACCGATTACTTCACTTTCTTTGCTAAGTCACATAGAGGAAAAGGAATATACCTTGAAATCAAACCGACCGATATCATACGTTGATCAATACGATTGCAATTTGTATGAATAAGTGTATATCGCTGCATTGGAATAACTTGAATGTAAGAATGCTTTGTTAAGTAATTTAATTTTTTCTGATCGAAAAATATATAATCAGTATGAGTCAATGATCGAGTTCGATAACAAAAGAGAAACAGCAGGAAAGAGAGACAGGATATTTAGTCTTTCTTACATTTCTCTTTTTTTTTTATAATGTAGGTAGAAAAGAGCGAGAGAAAGAGAAAACATGAGTAAACGACGAGAAATCAAATCAAAGATAGGAGCAATGTTGTGGCGACGAGCATTACTCATACAGAGAAGAGAAATGTAAGTTACGACGAGTTTATTTAACAAAAATATGATTTACATAACAATTACAGTGATATAGTTAAGCGTAGATATTGTATCGAGAATTGATAGACTCAATGACGTTTACGTGAGGACAAAATCTTTGTTATATAAAGAAAATCTCGATCAGAACATAATCGGTATTCTATGACGAGACGACAACTGATACGTCCTTTAAATCAACATTCCGTTGTCTTTTATTAATTGGATAAGAATTAAGATGTCAGTGTAGTATTCGATAAACCTTAGGAAGTTTTTCTTTTTTGTCTTGGAGAAAGTAAACGAATTCATTTTTTGAAACTAAACCTTGCCAGTCGGTATCCATCAATCACAGTCATTAGTTTTTTTTCCTCTAAGATTGCTACACCACGTCCTCGACTGAATATTATCATTTTCGATATCGCGAAGATACCAACAGAAAAAATCCCATCTTGATATCAAACCTAGCTATCAGTACTCAGAAATACAATTACCTTCATCTGTACAATCAAAAATCATCGTATGTTCATTTTCCTTGTTATACTTATACCTTCTCTTGCCTCCCTTTTCCTCCTTTCTTGTCAATCAAGGTGACACAATGCGCTTGTGTTCGTCTTATTTTTACTACTTTACATATGACAACGAAGATAATTAGGCTATATATATATATATGTATATACACTAGTTATCAAAACTTAATCCAATACTTGAGTCAACTGTCGTAACGTTATTCTTTTCTATTCAAACAAGTCGAAGGTATATTTTCTGTTCGTATCGTGATCATCATTGAACATGCCATGTGATTTAGCTAGGTAAAAACATTCATCAAAGAAAACCGAACCGTTCAACGATACGTCCAACTTGTTCTTCGAATGCTTTTTGCTTTATTTTATAGATTATAAAAGCATGGAAGAATCGAACGATGAATGTTATAAACAAATCCTATGCTTCAATGATTGTATCCAACATCATGAAAGAAATTTTCTAATCAAAATCAATCCAATAGATCGATTACGTTTCTGTATATTATTAGTTCTGATCTTGACATCTCAGTCCAATGCTCTGCCAACTCCTCCGAGTAGATACGACACATATCCTGTTGCTATGGTTCAAATTGTCGATCGCGTAACCACATCGACGTCTCATCCACAAGTGAATTCATACAAAATCTACCGACGTATTCCTCACTCGAGTTATTCGAATCATGCTGTTGAGCATGCGTATAGTCCAACGAATATCAATCCTCAACAAGAGTTCAAACGTGAACGATATCGACGCACAATGATCGAGCGATTGTTTACAAGTTTCGATGAAGATGGTTTGTTATTGTTCGAGAAATTTGCTCGACTAGTTTTATCTTTTATTTAGTTAATGGGCAATTATCAAAAGACGAATTGTATTCATTGAGTTTGCGCTTAAATATTTTCCCAAAGTTTCATCGGTTTCTTAAACAAACATCAACAGGAAAATAAATGGAAGTGCATTAGATTATTTTGTCGTTTTATTTCCGTGTTTTTCTACGTTCTGCCCGCATAGAACATTGTTATCTAAATACAGATGAATGAATAAATGAAGAATCAGATCAAGAAATTCTCTATTCGATGGAATTTAATCTGCTATTGATTTTCTTTCAAGAATCTTATGAAATCTGATCTGTTTTTGTTCTTCAGACCACTGTGTAAAAGTTTCTATTGAAAAAAAAACGAGTCGGTTATGCTAACAGCATTGTATATGATCAGGTTTATCTGAGCAATTTCGTTTGATGTTAGACTTTCCTTGTTGATTATACCGAGCTGCGACTTCTTTTGTGTATTTAACTGATCGAATCTTTTGAATAAATGTCCAATTATTGTAATGAAAACTGCCATAAGTCATGTTCGTTGTTTGATATCGTTCAGGTGGATAGCGAATACAAATGGTGTTGTTCTGAGGTGTTGTTTTGTAGAGGTGTTGAAGAGGGCGATAACAATTTGGTAAGTAGATTCTCGACGAAACTGAACGCACCATTTTAGATCGAAAAAAATGTCATGAAAACTGAACTGCACAAATGAAAGTGATGAAAATAGAGAAATGAATTTGCTCAAAAGCGCTCGAAATTTACCAACAGCGAACGAATTATTTAGCACAACAACCCATGATGTCTGTAAAGGTCAACTAATGCCATCTATCCTTTGCGTGATCGCGTCTTGACATCTTCCAAATTGTACCTTGAGTAATCCAAAACATCTTGCTCATATATTTGTTTGGTCGTTATTACTCATTTTCTTGAGTTGATACGAATTTAGTCACGATGGGCACTAATGCTGAGTTCAATCTTCGATTTACGAAAAAAATGATCGAAAGGGAAGCATCCGCAGCGGAGAAAAAGTACGAAGCAAGTCGAAAGAAGGCCTTGGATGCACTGAAGAAGTCAGGTGATGTAGAAACAGCCCGTATCTACGCGGAAACAGCCGTTCAAAATCGATCAGCACATAATCAATTTCTTATAATGGCATCGCGTATCGATAGTGTTATTGCTAAAGTGAGCAACCTGTGGTCATTTTTGAGCGACAACACAAGCATTTGATTTTAGATTCAACAAGCAAATGCGCAAAATGTGATGGTGAAGAATATGAAACAAGTTAACAAAATGCTCGAACATGTAAATAAAGATATGAATGCATCGGAGTTGGCTAAAGTGATGGAGAAATTCGAACAAGTTCGTTTCAGATTCTGTTTTTCATATTCGATAAGATGATTCATATCTTTTCTAAGGCATTCGAAGATTTCGATGTGAAAGAACAAGTTATGAGTAATGCCATGAATCAAGCTATGGCAACGAGTTCACCAACGGAAGCTGTACATGATCTTTTACGGCAAATTGCTGACGAGAATAATTTGGAAATTCGGGAACAACTCGATGCCATTCCAAATATTCAACACACGATACAAACACCAGCACAACAGGAAGCTGCTGCACAAAGCAATCGTTTGGCTGCTCTTCGTCATGCACAATAAATTTTCGACTTCATGTTTACCCCATTAACGTTATTACCCTATTTTAAACATGTTTTATGTAAACGAAACGAATTTATCTTGATATTTCGTTCATTTTCTTTTTAATCATAAAAATAAATGACATTCTTTTCTACAATAATAATCTTGTTTGAATTCACCGCGATTCTCACCGTTAGTATAGTTCGCACTGACCTATGTTAAATAAGGATTCATAGATCAGGCGCAGGTCACTACAAATATAAAACTTCATCACTTTTCTCAGATCAATACTCCCAAGCGTATCAAGGTTACAAATGTGTGGGTTACTACGCCACGTTCGATACGGTTTATTCCCCGAGATATATCAGTAAATTTCACGGACTGTTAACCAACTTAACCGCTGTACACTTACGTTGGTAGTTTTTGCATACGCTTTCCATGACTATCCTGTGTCGTGATGGGAAAAAAAGAAAAAAATATTTTGCTACAGACGTATCTAGTTTTTTCCCTTTCTCCAGCGCTGCTGCACAGGAGAAATCGCATAAAACTGAATAAATAAGAAAAGAAAGGAAGAAAAATAAGTATGTAAGAGCGTCGACAGTGGGTTTTTAAGTAAAAAAAAGCGCACACGTGGAATATCGTACAACAACTAAAATTTGGAACTATGAGTTTGACTTCGAGAGTTTTTCGCGACGAATACTTGGATACTATATTTTAGATGAGTTGGATGGGAAATTATCAAATCATCCGTGTGGAAGATATACTTAGAGCTAATATCCGTCCGACTGATGTGAGTAACAATGTAAATATTGTAAAAAGATGTAGCTGAGACTTTCCGTTTTTTCTTTCTATTTTAGGTTATCAAAGACATACAATCTCTACTAGACGCATTGCAGCCTATGACAATTATAACGAAACCTAATCTTAAAAAAGCACCGGGTCTCCATTCAAATGTGATCCAAAAACTGAATACAAAGGTTGGCATTTACCACGTATGATGTTTGAATCGTGTTTTTTGTTGACGTATAGGTGCATGCATTGGAATTATTGAAATATATTGGATATATAGACGACGGAAACGGACGATATGTTTATGAACAAACGAATTCACCGAATGAAATAGTACAACGTGAGAGAGCCGTCGAGGAATTTCAGAGATTTCATGATTATTTGACGAGCATCAAAGATGAGCATTCGACTAATTATCCAGACTTGCAGAACGTAAGTTTTTCTTTGGAAACTGCATACCTTGTCGATCATTACTCGTTCAGATTTTACTCTCGTACTCGGAAGCATCTTTTAACGATGATTTGGAAGTTGGTTATGAATGTAAGTATAGTACAAAAAAGATTAAATGACTATTTCAATATACTATCGTTTTCTCTAGTTGAAAGATCATGGCAGTAAGTGGAACTAACACGATTTTCTCGTCTCAAATGAATATTTTTTCTATATCGATGCAGAACAACATCAAATTCATCGCCGTTCGCAAGTGTGAGTAGATGACTACATATAAAAGATATTCAGGATGGCTTGGTTTCTCCTAGTTTGACACTGCATCACCAGTAACACGGTCATCATCTTCATCAAAACTGCCCAGCTTTATGGCAGTCCAAGAAGGCAATGAAAAAACAGATGAAACTATTCGTTTATTCAAAGTATGTCAACGATATTTAATTTCATTCGATTAAATTTCAATCATTCTAGCAAAGTATCGTACCACAACATGGAGCACCGACTCCACACAGTTACATTCGTCGAACTTTGTTACTGTTATTATTTAAACAACTCTATCCGGGTAGCGTTGAGCTTGGCGACGAAATCATTGATGGAGACATTGACCGTCGAGTTGAAAATTTGAAAATGAGAGACAGAGATAGAAATTTGTCGACAAGTAATGAAGTTTATTTTGAATGTTTGATTCGAGCCAGATTCGATGAAGATGCTGCACTCGAGATACTTCGTATAAAACGACCTAACCTGGTCAGTTGAATATCACATTGCCTCATTAATAAGCCTCTTCTTTTTTATGCGCGCTTAGCAACCTCCTCCAGAACCAGTAGCGCCTCCTGAACCGCCAAGAACTTCAATCAATAGTTGTACACAACATTTACGAATTCACTGGAATGCAATTATGAATAATGCAAATAGAAATCGAGCTGAACCGATGCCGATACATCGGGTTGATGTAAGAGACTTACACTCGTGTCTTTTGCCTTCTAATCACTATTATTCAGGAATGGAAATCTGCGACACATGTTGTCGATGCTATTATCAAATTTCGACAACAGCATAATGATCAACAGATGGATAGTGGGCAGGCCGATGAATTCGCTGTTTCAGTAGGATATCTCGATAGTAAAACAGTAAGGATTTGTGACTTCATATCTGTACGTTTAGAGACTGTTTCGATTGATCTACAGTGAGTTATCTCGTATTGTTCATAACTTATTGCCAGTGCAGATCGAAATGTTGGCTTCTGCTTTGTGCCGTGTCCCACTTGTTAGTCTCCAACATCTGAATATAACTGATATTCGTGATATTATCAAATCCTGTGATCATGGGAATATTCCAAATGATTTCGAAGATGACGCTGTGAAACTACTATCATTAGAATGTCCAATTTGTTTGGATTCGTTTCCCCGCAGCAATATGGAAGTCATGTTTTTATGCAACCACATATGTTGTTCAGATTGCATTAAGAATTATTACCGTACAACTATTACAACAATCGAAAGCGCGGATTGTCTGAAACGTTTGGCATGTTTTCAGGAACAACACGACATACCTGACGAAATCAAACTGAATTTTTTTCAATATTTAGAAACAAAAGTAAATAGAACTAATCGTTTACAGCTGAAGAAACTCATCACTTTGCTTTGAATTTTCATTAGCTCAATCAATGGTTTGCCGATGATCAACTGATTCTTGGCATATACCATGAAAATCTCTTTTTAGCAACGCGAGACACTCAAATAAAAAAATGTGGCAATCCACGAGTAAGCTCCTTAAATTTCTCGCGATAATAACTAAGATACAAATGAATCTAGTGTCCTGCTTTCTTTGATACGGGCAACCGTAATAACCGAGTCGCTCCTATTCAATGTCCTCATGCCGGATGTCAATTTCAACAGTGTCAACAGTGTTGTCGAAAGTGGCTTGACGAACATAATGATAGGACTTGTGAACAGTACACTGATTGGTTGAGAGATAACGACCCTGATGATCCGGAAGTACAACTTATGCAGTATCTAAATACAGCTGGAATGACATGTCCAAACGAGCAATGTAAAGCTGTTTATGAATAGTAAGTGAAATGTTGTCTTTATTCGACATTGACATCGTAAGGAGCAGAGTTTTACACTATTTCACCGAGTTAAACAGATCGAAATGTATCGTTGTAAAGATATCTCGATCGGAGCCAATCTGATCAACGCATAGGCTTCTTCTAACGATGAATAGAGTTGATAGCAACGACAAGGCTCGCGTGTAACCTTACTGTATTCATTACTTAGGCTACAGCATCAATATATTTTGTCACGCTTCGTTAGTTACGTTTCAATCATGAATGTTTAGTCTTTCATTCCACTGTTCTCAGTCGAGCAAAATATCGACTAATGAAAGAAATGTCTGAATTCTATGTAAATCTATTGTATTTATAGTAAAGCTGGCGGATGCGAACATTTCACATGTCCTCGATGTAACACGGAATTTTGTCGCACATGTTCTGCACTGTTCTACAATCCAAAAAAGCAAAAAGTAATAGTTATAATTTGACTGAGAAACGAAGATAATTGTTTACTTTTCTTCAATCTAGTCTTGTCCACGAGCACAATGCCCGTTGCGGAGTACATTTCATGCACATTGCTGTCTGAATTGTTATCGTGAAATTCGTGATGTTCCAACTGAGCAACTTATCGCATTTTTAAATGTTCGTATTTGATCTTCCATTTTTCAATACATCTACATTTTATTTCCAGAAGCATGGCATCAACGTCGCGGAAGAACTTCGACAAAAACCGGTTGGTAAAGACGGTATTTGTTCAGTTGAAGATTGCAATCATCAATTGTCGGACGCAACTGAAAATCGTTTCTGCGAGTATGAAAAACTTCTTTATTCTATATTCATCTCATTCTCATTCACCCATAGAGCGTGCTATAAACAATTTCTGTGCTTATTTGTATGGCGTCGTGAACTAGAACCATGGTAAAATGAATGACTGAAAAGACATAGTTTTATTCTACAGAAAAATTACAGGGAGTTGTATGATGACAATGAGCTCCGGCAGAGACTTCTAAATGCATCCGTTCCCATCCCAGCACAAGCAACACATGATGTGTACATAACAGTAAGTTAGACGATGTCTAGATATTTCGTTTTGTTATGGATTTGATTTGTTTGTTTAGTTGGCTCAACAGCATTTGCGACAATTTTTGGGACAACCAAAAAAAATACCGAGAATGCATTAATAGGAGTTTGCAACAGATTTTGGATACGGTGATACGCTCACAAGCTAAGAATTGGATATATTTAAACCGGAATTTTTGTATTACATAAACTTTTGATTTCGATTGTTTTGGGTGACTTTTAAAAGTAAATTTGTCTTTTCTTTTGTAGATTAACGTATGTTATCAGCCATTATTTGATGAATCATTTGAAAATTTCATACGTTAGCACACATTTGACGTCGTTTTCTCTTTCATACTAGAAATAGATCCATATTTCTGCGAGGTGGTATTCATATTAGAAAAAAAACTTTTTACCGAAGTAGATATTTGTGTACGAAACGTATTCTGAACGCTATGAAATGATTTCTGTTTAGAGAAAAAAAGACTTCCGTACAAAATTTCAACGTTTTGTTCATCTAACTAGCAAGGAAAAACCGATCATGAGTAGTGCTACGAATACTGGGACACGTGTGCCAAATTTAGAGGAAGATCTCTATAACAGTGGTCACCCCAAAAGGTATCAGGTAATTATTTTTTAGACAAAATGAACTACATAGGTACAGCTTATCTTATTTATGACTTGCATATAACACGCATTACTGTATTGCTCAGGTACCGCTAGTACAGTCAGTTTCACGAAAAGCAAGAGATTTCATTTTGCATCGAAACAATCATTAGAAATAATTGAGAATATCTTTTGACAACTCCTTTACAGAGCTTTAATGATAATCGATCTGGTCAAAACTATGCCCCTCCCGTTTCATCGTCAATATCGGTTGGTACCTTCACTCGTCAATCCTCTCGTTGTGCAACTGAAGTAAATATTGACATTTACTTATAACGAGCAAGTTTTAGGACTGATTTTACCCTAGAATTTACAACAATCTCCACGTATACTTGATCAACAAACAAAGTTTGTGGTAGATCAACTCAAAGTAAAAACTTAATTTCTACAGCTTTTGTGTCATTTCGATAAATCTAATGTGCATAGTCTTCAATACAGAACAAAGGAAATCAGCAGGAAATAGACGAATCTTTCGTAGAACGGGAACTTTCAGAAATTATAGCTAGACGAACATTACAGGAAGATGACCTCGACAAACGGCGACGAACTCTTCCAGAAGAATTCAGGAACTGTTCTGATGACGTCTTCAAACAAGCGTTAATTTTTGGATGTGATTGTCGTAACTTTGATATGATTTTAAAAGAAAAAATTCAGAAGGAAGCTCTATCCCCAAAACCATTGTTCCCGAATAGACAAACTGTGGAAAGTCTCAAAAGAACTTTCCAAACACCAGTCCCATTCAATTTATTTCAAGCTGTTCTCAGCATCAAAGGCGATGAAATCCATGTAGGTTTTTGAACTCTTCCATATCAACAGACTATCCTCAGTTTGAATAAAGAGAAGATGTTTACTTCCATAGTAGTTCGATTGACGGATAACATTGTTTCTTTATCTTTCACAGCGTGCTGTTCGAATGTTTTACAGTGAAGCGCAACGTTTGGTTCCTGGTTTGGAACACTACGAAATCAATGATGCGCACGAACAGGTCCAAGCCATTCGTTTAACACACTACCAATCTGATGATAAACGTGTACTTCACGATCTAATTCAATATCACCGCACGTTTGACGAAGCCTACTCTTATTTGCAAGGTCTTGCTGCACAGGACGCGACAGACGTAAGCCATTTGATTTCCACTTCAAAATACTTATTAATATATATACACATTTTAGGTTGAAAGAGGTGCTTTATCAGCATCAAACAATACATTTCGTCATCAACCTACACCGCCAGAACGTAGAGAATACAGTGACGAAATTAATCCAGTACGACATCCAAATGCGATGTATACTCCTTCAACAAAGACAAGTAGTTATCAATAGTGCTTTTTGTTATTCGTCATATCCCATATTTTGTATTTTGGGTTTTTAGCATCCGTATAAGCAACATCGTACAGATCTAATAATACCAGCCAAAACCAACACATAGACCATACAAGTAAAATATTAAATCGTTGTTTTATCTCAGCAAACTTCTATGTGTAAATGTTCTCTTTAGATACAGACACTTTCGAATATCAGAAGTCTTAATTCAACTTCTTCTTGTGTATTGTTTCTTTCTATATATGTTATTAAAACACGATGATCATTCACTGAATGAAAAGGGTTCTAATGCAACATCGATATCAACATTAGCATACTTGTTATAGTCGGTTCAAAACGGAATATGAAATATCATATCATCAATTTAAAGTTTAGAATGTCAACGAGCAAGAAATTCTCATCTAACTAAAAGAACTATCTATGTAATTCACTGTGATATCTCTAATGAATAGATACATTACCCTGAAAAGTATATAATTATTAAAAACACCTGAAGAGTTTTGATTCTATACCAATCACCCTCAAAATTGTCCTCTCGCACTTGTGAAGCTGATCATTCCAGCGTGAAATGTTGAGAAAGAACTAACCTGATTCAGTGCATTCATTAATGAAACAAACATGTCGATATATTTGATTGGATGTGTCGATTGAAATAATTCGATTAGAGGAGCAAAAGTTCTCTTTCTCTGATTGATCAACAAGTTTTTTCTTTCAATACTTTGTATCTGCCAGTCGTGGGTGAGAAGAAAGACTTTCAGCGACTCTTTTTTTCTTTCGCATATAAATATAGACGTTGTGACACAATCATTATTTGATTATGGTCTGATGTAAGACACTCATTTTTCTCGCGCAGAAAAGCATAGGTATTAATTAATCGAGAAAGACGTATCAAGAAATTATATTTCCAACCATTTTTTTCCTGACAATTCGAGCGTTAATCAGCTATTACACGTCCAATGAATATCAGTGAAACTAGACATGTTTCCAATGATTGAATATCGTAAGTCGTTTCTTTTTTTTTATTTTATTAATCGAAAATTTTCGCACAGGAATAGTGTATGATAGTTCCATCTGCTTCTACATATCAAGGTTTCTCTCACATCTGCTGTGAGTGAATCTTTAACTCATTGTTCCAGGAAAAAAAAACTTCAGCTAACATGCAAAGTTCTCTCTCTTTCTTTCTTGATGTTCGTATCGGAACAATGTCAAGATAGGCTTTTGTTGCTCACTACTATCTGGCAAAGAACGTCGAGAATATCAACAACGTTGATATTTTGCTATTCATATCTCCGTGAGGCATGTGTAATCGTGAATGACCTAATAGTAAGCTAGTTAGTTAGTCGTATCTTCGCGTTTTATTTTCTTTTTTCTTCTTCTCGTCGTTTGTCACCAGAGAAAATTCTAAATAACTTGTTGCACTAACGTGCGCATTAACTCAACTTTCTTCCTTTAAGCAACAGATACATTTCTTTTTTTTTTCGCTGTATGCATCTATGCATTCCGACTAGAATGAAAAGAAAACGCGAGAACGTGCGCTAGTGAAACAATAAAAATAGAATTTGTGCACTTTTGTTTGCCTTCCCGAAGTGATCTTGAAATAATTAGACAAAAGATTTTCTTTTTTTAACAGATGAATTCTGAAACATTTCATGTAAGTATAACTTGTCGACGAGGCAAAGTTTTCTCTCTCGGAGATGAGATCAAAAGAATTCTCGTCGACGATAATTACTACCATGTGTCTGCTGTAATTAATCTCTATTCGAAATACTAGTAAACGAGTTTATTATTTAATGAAAGAAAAAAAATGTGTGTCCCGTACTCATTGATCACTGCCAGAAGTTCCCGTGTTAAATATACACTAATAACTTGAGACGACACTAATAGAATGAAGTACGCGAGAGAGAGAGGGAATGAAGAGATAGATATATACAATAATGGATTACGTCTAGTTGGATAATCTATAGTGTGAGATATGATCATAATTGAATTTGACAGTTCAAATAGTTGGTTTTCTCAATGTGTGATGTATTGGATCATGTGTGTTGACGACGAGGGTTGCCTGAATAAATTTGACAATGAGATGATCTTTTTTCTTCTCTTCACACAAGGAAAAAGACAACGAGATGAGATATCGTGAAATGTATTTTCTCTTTGTTTCTTTCTTTTTCTTTTTCTATGTTAGATTAATCGAAATACTTCTTTTACAGATGGCTTACAATGTTTATCATCCGTTTATTTTCATTGTTTAATAATTTATTGATTTCTTCTTTGTTGAGATAGTCTCGAACGAAAAAAAAAACCCGAGACATGAGCGTATTCTCGAAAGAAAATGCACATCAATCATTTCTTTACGAGTATTTTATTTCTGATCGAAAGTTTATCATTCATCAATCCAATTATTTCTTCACTATTGGATAACAATAGTCAGCAGAAGAATGACACAATGTCCTGGCTCATTTATTCCACATCATCATTTCGTCGTTACGATTGGAAACGTCGATTTCGAAAACATCTCGAGACGAAAACTTTCAATTTGACCGATGTTCACACAACTTCATCAACGAGTCAAACGCGATTGTTTTCGACTTCGAACGGAACGAGCAAGTTCACTTTCATCTTGATCGTTGTCTTCAACTTTTTTCATCTAGATTTCACTCGAACGCAAATCAAAGTTATCGTAACTGTTGTTCTCATCATTAGTTTCATTATGATAATCATTGCTATCTTTCGGTTTAGGTAAGAGAATTATAATTCGCATGATTGAACCAAATGTGTATGGTTATCAGCGAGATGATTGAAAAGAAAATGAATTGTGATCAGTGTCGAGACATGAATCGATGAGATGTTGAGTTTTTCTTTATTGCATAAACATCTAATTTCAAATAAAGGAGAAAGAAGAAAATGGAGATAGCATCGATCATTTGTAATTATATGTAAGTCAAATTGTCTTGCGACGAAGTGGTCAACGATGAAAGTTAATCTTTGGTGATGGTTTGAAAAATGATGAATATGATTTTCTTTTTTCTCTATCTAGAAATGCATGTCGACATCGAGAAGAAGATAATCCACAAACGGATATATTGCGCGCTCGCGCTGCACAATACAATGAGCCCAGTTCGAGACGTGGAAGTGTTGGAGTAAGTCTTCAAGATGATTTCGTGTGCAAAGAACTGTGACATAATAAACGATTCAATAGAGACACGCAAGGAGAGTGAAAGAAGAAGAGGAAAAGAAAAAGAAAA